AGAGAGAGAGAGAGAGAGAGAGAGAGAGAGAGAGAGAGAGAGAGAGAATAAAACAAACAAAAAATGAGAATAAAACCAGGTTCAATTTAAAACAGTTGACATTGTTATTTATTAAGCGATTTTGTTCATTTTTGCAAAAAAAAAAGTTTGTTTCCCATTAATATTAGCTTAATTAATGTCTGCTGTTGGTTAAGATTTGACGACAAAAAAGAAATGCGAAAAAATAAAATGAGAAAACTTGTGCTCAAGGATTTTTTTTTGGGAATTAAATGTATATGATTTACGCATTGCATGCTGCCAATTCTGTCTTTTTTTGATTTTCTTTTCGTTTTAGGCAATAAAAAAATTGGTATAATCTTGTCTTTTTTTTATATAAATTGCTTGATTTTGCTATTGTTTAAGTTGTTACATTGCTGTAGTTCTACGAACTAAGACGATGCCGGGGGCATATTGAGAATATTAAACAAATGTTGTTGTTTTTGTGTACGGTATCGTTTGTTTTTATTGTTTAATTTTGATCAGCAATAGATGATGTTGTTTGGTTGAGTAGCAAAAAGGAATTTTTTTGTTTTATTAAATTAATATAAATGTTTTTTTTTTCTTGTTTAAATGTGATTTTGTTTTGCGATTTTTTCATACGATGATGAAAAAACTAAAACGAAAACCTTTATAATACCGGGCATGACGACAACTGTTAATATATTCACACAAAATACATAGAGATTTTTATTTATGCTGTTTTGTTTTTGTTGTTCATTTGTTGTTTTTTTGTTTATATGCTGATTTTGAGTTGAGTGATGCGCTGGTGCGGACCATTTAGTTTTCATCAACTTCGGCTTCTTGTTCTTCGTCGAACTCAGCGTCTTCATCAGCGGTGGCTTCTTGATATTGTTGGTATTCCGATACGAGATCGTTCACTATTTTCGAGAAGGTGAGAAAGAGAAGAGAAGAGATGATGGTGAGTAATGTGCAAAATTTATGTGCATTTTAACAATACAACGAATGATTGAAATGTCCAAAAAGAAGAGAAAGTCTTCAGGAGATTGAATGAATTTAATTAAAAGATGAAAAAGATATGAAATAAACTTACTGTTGCTCTCGGCTTCGGTGAATTCCATTTCATCCATACCCTCGCCAGTGTACCAATGCAAGAAAGCCTTACGACGGAACATAGCAGTAAATTGTTCAGAGATACGTTTGAACAATTCTTGAATGGCGGTTGAGTTGCCAATGAATGTAGCTGACATTTTCAAACCACGTGGTGGAATATCACAAACGGCTGTTTTCACGTTGTTTGGAATCCATTCGACGAAGTAGCTGCTGTTCTTGTTTTGAATATTCAACATTTGTTCGTCGACTTCTTTCATTGACATGCGACCACGGAAGATGGCAGCAACAGTGAGATAACGACCGTGTCGTGGATCGCAGGCAGCCATCATGTTCTTGGCATCGAACATTTGTTGTGTCAATTCTGGAACGGTGAGGGCACGGTATTGTTGTGAGCCACGTGATGTGAGTGGTGCAAAACCAGGCATGAAGAAATGAAGACGTGGGAATGGTACCATATTGACAGCCAATTTACGTAAATCGGCATTCAATTGACCAGGGAATCGAAGACATGTGGTAACACCGGACATTGTCAATGATACCAAATGATTCAAGTCTCCGTAGGTTGGTGTGGTGAGCTTAAGTGTTCTAAAGCAAATGTCGTACAAGGCTTCATTATCAATACAGTATGTTTCATCGGTGTTCTCAACCAATTGATGGACCGACAATGTGGCATTGTATGGTTCAACAACAGTGTCTGACACTTTTGGTGATGGTACAACTGAATATGTGTTCATTATTCTGTCTGGATATTCTTCGCGGATTTTCGAAATGAGCAATGTACCCATACCAGATCCAGTACCACCACCCAAGCTGTGAGTAAGTTGGAAACCTTGCAGGCAATCGCATGATTCGGCTTCTTTTCGTACAACATCTAATACGGAATCGACCAATTCAGCACCTTCGGTATAATGTCCTTTGGCCCAATTGTTACCGGCACCAGATTGTCCGAACACAAAATTATCCGGACGGAAAATTTGTCCGAATGGTCCTGAACGAACTGAATCCATGGTACCTGGCTCCAAATCTACAAGAACGGCACGTGGCACATATTTGCCACCGGATGCTTCATTGTAATAAACATTGATGCGCTCCAATTGCAAATCACTGTCACCATGGTAGGCTCCGGTAGCATCGATACCATGTTCATCGGAGATGATTTCCCAGAACTATAATTCAAACGATTAAAAAGAATGAAAAAAACAAGAGAAAATTTAACGATTTTGTTCATTTGCTTATTTATTTGGTAATTTAAAACAATTTGAAATGTGATGAAAAATTCATCGTTTCGATGTAACTATTTGTTCCCATACTATGAAATTGACTATACATTAAATAGTAAATAGCCAAAGATTAACTGACGGGTAGTTTGCTATAGCCGCAAATGGTTGAACGGAAAGTGTCATTTGGACTCTTCCAAAACAGTATCTGCGGCAAACATTGAACAAGTTATACAATGATGTTAATGATGAATGTTGGGCGTATGCCATAATTAAATTTTCAACATTTTAATTGAGCGCTTGTTGTTAGCACATGCTAGTAATGGATTGTAATGAACCGAAGCACACATATGTCATTTGAATGAACGAAATGAATGGGCGTTCTTTTATTGACGGTTTTTTTTAGATATTGTTGTTGCTGCTGCTGTTATTTGAAAAACAACATACAAAACACACCTATGCAATTGAGATATTTGATGTATCATCGTGCTATGAATTTTGAGCATGGTTACTTTTTAACAAAAAATCAAGTCAATTTCAACAGTTCATTAACCAAATGAAATTTGAATGTGAATCTCATTAACTTAGTAATTCATCTGATCTGAAATATTCATTTTGATTTTTGTTTTCTTCGTTCGTATACGATTTTGATTTGAAAAGAATCTTCTGTATCTTGATGGATCACAATATGCGAAGCAAATCATTTAGGTGAAACAGATTTGATGCGGTTCTTTTTTCTTCTTTCGTTTATTGTGTGTCATTGGTTAGAAGCATTGGAAAGAGTTATGTGTGTGTTCGAAATTGCAGTTATTATATTAAATAATAACAATTATTATAATTCGTACCCGCCAAATGGCTGGCACAAGGATAGCGTAGCACAGTAGGGGAGTGCCAAGCAGTATTGCGACTATACTCCATAACTTTTTGCCCACCAAAAATAACAAAAAATACACATTTTCCAAATACAATTTCCTTCACCCAAAATACACAATCACAACTCTCTCTCTCTATCTCTCTCTTTGTCTCACTCCCTATTAAACTCTATTTGGCATTTATTTAAGTTTTGTTTTAATTCAAAATGACAATGAATGAATCGATTTATTTATGTGCATGAAATGAAATAAAGGTAAATCAACAACTCTCTTCAGACATGAATAGGAAATTCGGTTGTAAACAACAAAAAACTGCGACAGTTACGTGAAAACTCTGTTATAATCACACAAATGAATTAGAATTTGTATGGCTTTTGTCATAGTAACTGGTGAGTTGTTGTATTCGTTCTCTCTTTCAGTCTTAAACTCAATGAAATCGCCCCCTTTCGATGGCAAAAATAAATTTATAAATGAAATGTAGGGAAAAAAAATGGAAAACAAATTAAATCGATTTTGGTCGTCATACTTATTTGAGTTCTTGGCCTTTTTCAAAATCTCTTTGGTTTTTTTTTATTCAATTCAAATTATGAATTGATTGTGGGGGTTAGAGGACAGTTTCCGCAGTACAGTAGAATATTTGATTGGACATTTAATTGGTTGTGAGAGCCATTTCAATTAATGGTTGATTAAATGATTTATCGATGTCAAATTAAAATCAATAAATTTGTTAAATTATGGAGTCAAAGAGAAATAACCAAAACAACAACAATTCAGAAGCGTTTTGTGAAAGTAGATGACGTGAATGGCAAAGAGAAAGAGAGAGAGAGAGGCCCATAAACGAAGTGAAACGAAAAAATGTATTCCCTAATAAGGACATGGCATACGCGCATTTATCCATAATTTCTTGTTATTTTTATATATTTCCTTGAAAACAAATGGCCTATGTGTGTTTGTGTGTGTATGAGTCGGATGGCCTTTACTATGTCATTCTTATAAATGCCATAAACAATTGAATTTCACATTGTGATCACAAACGCCATGGACAGATGTTCCAGCGCTATGTTCTGATTTTCTTGACGTGGTTGTCACTACTTCAGTTGTTGTTTCGATTTGTTTCATCGTTCATTCATTATTAAAAATTTCGTGTATCACAGACCCAATTGTGGGTATCCTTCATTGAACATAATTGTGGCATGGGCGTGGAGCGGAAATTTGAACATCACATCACCCATTTCTAATTGAAAATCATTTTTTTGCGTGCTCAAAATGCATGGATTTTTTTATGATGAAAAAAAAACAACAATGTAATAATATTATCGTCTTGAGCTGATTTTCATCATTGTCGTCGGCGATTTCGTAAACGACAATACATTGATCCAAATTCAATTATAATCCGCTTGTGTGTGTGTCGGCTCTTTAAGACAAAATTCGATCGGCTTAGGTGCGGTTCGAAAGTTTCATTTATTTATTTTTTTTATTTAAACTCTTTTAAACTCTCGCAACGATGACGAAAAAAAAAACAATAAAGAAAAAAGTACTAATTTTGACTGAAGTGCTTTCATTGTATTTGATCTTTATTTGTTCTTCTTTATAATTGGCAAACAAATTGGCAAGAGTTTCGGCGGTTTGTTGCGTCATATGCTCATCGCTTAATTAGTAAGGATCGTTTTTTTATTCTCAAAGAAGAGGCGACAACAACAGTTACTTGTTAACATAACCAAAGAAACACCGTGTTAGTTTTGGCTTTATTGATTCAAAACGCAATCGAATGAGAAGCAACACAAAAGCATAGAGCGAACGAGCCAGCCGACAATGAGAATGGCCATAAAGATAATGATGCACATGTATTATAAAAAATGGTTGTTTGATGAGATGAAACACACAGGAAGGCGATAATTGTTGAGCAAGAATAACGCCGCTGTTGTCGCCATCAACAGCAACGCATTACAATAGCGCACAAACAAATGTAGATATAAAATGAAAAGGCAAATCTTACACATTTTCTTTTATTTTGAGAAAGAGATAATTGCAGTGCGGTGTGAGAGATCAAGAGAACGAAAATGCATTGAAAATCGGTACACACAAATACACCGAGATAAATAATCTAGCCGGTTGAAATAGGCAAAAGAAAACGCCGCAACAATAAATTTAAAATAAAACAACAACAAAAAGAGAAAGAAAAAACAACGAAAAGAAATCATAGACCAAAAATGTCGACACTAACAAAAATAAAACAAATTCGAACAAACCGAATCAAAATGTATGCTGGCTGCTAGTTGCTGACGTGTCGTGTGCGCCCGTGTTTTGTTGCTATTTTTCATTTAAAAAAAAATTCGTTCATTCGCTGTCTTCATTTACTTTCACATTGTATTTTTGTCGATTCTGCCATATCGTTGTTTCTCTTTCCCCCCTCTCTCTCTCCCTCATTTCTGTTTAGTGATTTTTCTTTATTTTAAATAAATATCCGGTTCTTGTAATTTGATTTTCCGTATGTGGGCAAGTGCCTAAAAATGGCACAAAATCACCACGCCAATCTTGCGCGCACACACATACTGGAACCGCATTCGAAATGAAAGCGGTAGAGCGCGTTCGCTTGATAGCCTCATTCTCAGACACACTCACTTGAAGTTTTACAATGTCTTGTACAACAACCACGAAAAATTAATTCGTTTTTATTCATGTATATATTTCGTGCCTTTTTGTGGTTTTCCATGTTGGTTTTTTTAAGTATTCTTCTGGCTGATGTGTTTTTTTTTGTTGTATGTGGATAAACATTTAATTCTTCGGGGGTCTGGTTTACCCACGTTTAACAAATGTTCAAACGCCAATACATACCAAATTGAAATCACCAGAGACTATTCGTTACATCACAATAAAAAGCAATAGCAACAACATCACACGAGAAAAATGAACAAAACCGAACCAAATAGAATTTGGAATATAAAAGAAACAGAATATTAACGATTTAATTTCAAGCTTGCGATATTATTTTCCATGATCATAGACATACACTTAATCTCTGAGCGGTGTGGAAATCAAACACTCTTGAAATGGCTTTTAAATTGTAGAATCGAGAATTAATGTCGGCAAGTACATCTTTTCAACAGCGAATGAAAAATGTTTTGAAATACATTCAAAAAGGCGAGCATTTTCAAATATTCAATTCAACCGGGTCGATCTCTTGTCGACGCGATGCGTATCGCATCATACGCTATTAATAAGTAAAATGGAACGATAGCATTGTATTGGTCGGTAAATGAGTGTGTTTGTGTGTATGGCATACCGGTAAAATTGTGTATTTTGTTGTTGTTGTTACATTGTAAGACTGAAAATCATTTTGTCTCTCTATTACTGTGTCCACGAATCACATTCAAATATCATTCGTTCATAATTTGTTGTTTTACTGTCGACCCCAAAAATGGAAAACACACAGCGATGAAGTCAACATTTCACGTTGTCGACGATTGAAAAATATTTATTTGCCTAAATGTGTCCGTTGTGTATATGTGCATGTTTCACATTCAAAAAGGAAATATTTTCAATTTTATTTCCATATTTGGCCATACACAAATAGAACTCAGAGAATTAACAGCCACACACACACGGCAAGCGGCCCCAACTGGTATTTCATGTTGGTTCATTCATTTGTATGCGAAAATGTGAAACGAAAAAGAGAAAGAGAGTGAACCGAAGCCGAAGAATACATGAATCACGGACGTTAATAATTCGCGTGTTAGATTCTATTTTATTCCTTCGAGAAGTAATCGAAACAACAACAATAACAGCCGAATGCCAAGCACGGCAGAGGGAACAAAAAAAAGCAAGTAAAAGAAGAAATAGATGTATTGAAGCAGCACATACATTTTTACGATCGACAAATGTTGGCGACAGTTCACTATTTGGGCAGACAACTACACATGCAAACTAAATCATTGTACGAAACAAAATGATGAAGTAGAATAAGAAAAATGTCTCACACATAAACACATACAAATTTTATGGACGGGCATGAAATAAATGTGTGAGCGTGCACGCGCGCGCGCTCATTCGGCCAACCGAACCAAATGTCGCGCAAAAACATTGCTTACTTACACCGAATATTGCATGAATTTATTTCTTCTATTTTATTGTTTCCCTTTTTCGATGTCTCTCTGTCGTTTATGATGTACTGTCGTTTGAGTATGTGTGTGTGTGTTCGCTTTGAGCCGAAAAGGCGAATGAGTGAACGATGAGTGACAAACACACCATATCGTGTGCTTGCTGGCAACACTTTTCGTTCAATATAAACGGATTCTTTGAATGCATCGATTTTTTTTACAAATTTATTTGGTGAGTGTGTGTTGCTATCTATATAGTTTTCCCTTTTCGGTTACGAGCACATTTTTTTTTTCTTCATTCGCCATCAAATCAAGTTGTTATTTCTCCATAATGCGGCCATTCGTTGAAAAATATATGCTCGAATTGAAGTGCATATGCAATCACTTCTGGCCACTTATGCTAAAACCCATTAATTTTGGAAATGATATGGTAAACATTTCTTTTTCTCTCTTGTTTTCTTTTATTATTTTATTTTTGTTCTAGCGGTTTCTTCTGAAACAGTGTGTGTGTGTGTTCGTCATACCAATTGGAAATGATGGCAACGAAGTGAATGCAGCAATGCGATAGACGAAAAGAGAATGTTTGATAAAAAATGTTTGATTGACTTTCGTTTCGAAACGACTACAATTTTCTTCAATTTAGACATAAGAGACGGCCGTGCCGGAGAGAGCCAAATTCAGCGATAGGGAGAAAGAGAGCTGAACATTAAGCGTTTCCAATGCATGCATTTTAATGCAGACATCGTTTTTCATTCGTTGCGCTACGTCGGTGTATATGTCACTTTTGAGCCAATTCCAAATCCACAACTGTTTTTTTTTTCTTCGCCTCTTTTCATTCTCTCTCTCTCATTATACGATTTTAACACAAATGAATGCAGTAACAGCAGCAGCTACTAAATATTACAGAAAGTCAATGACCGAGAAATATAAAATCAAATTGCAAGCCGCATTTCACTTCACACAAGCCCCACAAGAGTGAATGTGAAGAAAATGATTTAAAAAAAAAAACCAAAAGAAGAAAAACTTGCCGACAAGGCACCAAACATCTTGGTATTCGCCATTACCAATGAGACTTTGTAGCGGCATCCGCTTAAAACGTGTTAAAACAAATGCTCGTTTTTCATCACAAATGAATACAAGATAAATGAAAATAAGAGAGAAAAGATATTATTGTTGTTGTTGTTATTGTTACTGCTGTTGCTGCTGATTCGACCGTTGCGGTAATTTGAAATTCGCGTTTGCATGCGAAACACATACGAGATCATTATTTTTTTTTGTGATGTATATACAGTGACGTGTTCAAGGGAGCGAGCGAGATCTATGTCTATGTGTATGTTACATGTGAATGTTGGATTAAGCCATGGAAGCTAATTTATTCGTTAAAAATGTTGGCGGTTTGAATAGCGTCACTTTATTCTTTTAGTTGTTTTTTTTTTCTTCTCGAATATGCTCCGTCTCTCTATGTACGAGAATAGTGCTCGTGCGATGAGAATGTATGTGTGTATGATCACAACGTTTTATGCATGTATGCGTAATATGTGTTTGAAGCCTAACGAAATAACGAACATCTGCCATTTTAACAATAAATAGAAAATAAGCCGCCATTGTATCAAAATGTAAGTTTTCTCATGTCAAATGTGAAATTAAAAAAAAAAAACATTGAACTGTTTTGGAAAAATATACAAAATGACGACCTATTTTGCATGTATATTATTGATTTGTGCATAAGATTTGACAACATACCGGAAGAATTAATTTGTCATCGAAATGAAATAATAAACGTTAAAATATGTACCACACGCCGATTCACCGAAATTTCTATAGGCACATTCTTTTTGTTGTTCACATATACACGCACACATACACACCATAGAGACCCACACATACGTAACTTTGATCTCTCTTTCGTTGAACATGGACAAAATTTTAACGGTCATGTTTTCACGAGAAAAAAACGACATTTTTTTTTTCGAATTCAAACGAAAATGAAAATTTCTACTTTGCAAATTTAAAAAAAAAAATGTGAACGTAAAATTGTAAACTTGTGTCAATTTGTGCAAAGCGATGGACTTTTTTTTCAATGTATAACATGAATTTACATGTTGCTTGTTCAATGTTCAGATTTTGATGGAAAAAAAGCCGTACAACGAAAGAGTTGAAAAAAAAATGGATTTTATTTAACAAAACTCACCTTAGCACCAATTTGGTTACCGCATTGACCAGCTTGAATATGAACGATTTCTCTCATTTTGAATTGGGTTGTTTTCTTTTAAATAGAACACTTAAAAAAATTTACTTTCTTGTTTTAAAATGCAAAAAAACTGCAAAAACTGTTTTTCTTTTATTCGTTAGAACGACTTGAATAAAACTCGACTTATCTCTTCAAGTGCCGCACACAAATTGAAGACTGCGATGAATTTTCAACGTTCAACTGCTTTTGAGGTAGCGACAACGCCCAATGCGCAATGCTGATTGGTTGAAAATCTATGCGTGTATTGTGCAGCTGACGTCACTTTCGTCAGTTCGATGGGAATCGATTCGTGTACGAATGACGGAGAGAGCTGAATAATGTGAGCAAGACAGATTGTAAGCGAAGCAAAGAAGCGCGAAATAGCGTGCATACACAGACACAGTGGCAGTTGGTCACAATTCAAATTGAAAGGTTGACTAGAGCGCGCTTGTGCGTGTGTGTGTGTATTTGCTCGTGTACATTCGAAGCAACAAAATCTCGTACGATGATGCAAACGAATGGTGTAGTTGTGGAATCGATAATATCGCACCAGTGTGAACACAGTAACGAAGAATGTTTAAACGAACATCGCCAGAACAAAATTCAATTCTACACACAGTGTAGTTGTGTGTTCTTTTTTTTGTTGGGTTCGTTAGCGCTTGTTCGTTCACTCCAAATGTATGTGCATGTTTTTCCCTAACAAAATTCAATTGCATTATTACAAAAATCGACAATAGCACACACGAAAATGTATGACTCAGGTTTTTATATGTATCTTGTTGGTTTTGTTTTTTGGAGCACCTTTGAAAATATGTATATATTTGGTACAATGGGTTCATTGTTGGTACAGTTTTTTATTTTGTCGGTGCGTCGATAAATCCAACGACAAATTTGACTATTAACTTGGGTCATTTCTCTCAATCACTCGTTTCCATGTATCTCTTGTATGTGTAATATACACCGTGCCGGTATGTCATATTGTTGTCGATTTATCTGTTTTTGTTGGTTGTTTTTTTTTTTTTTCATTGCTCGATTGTAAAATATATACATACGCACTTTATGTATTTTCTGTCCATCGAACAAGAAATTCAATCGAGCGTGAATAATTGATTGGCAAAAGTTTGATCAAGCTTGTGAAAATAGAGAATCAGCAGCAGAAAACAACAATTGCTTCCTATCTCTATAACGATCACATCATTTTCAGATATTTTTATCGATTTTGAATCATATTCAGCTACTCATTTCCATCGAATGTCAAATGAATGATGCTAAAATGCACATTGAAATTGCATGTGCACTGCACGATAATTGAATTACTCAGCCCAACTGGGATATGAATTTGAACGACGAGACATACATACATTCACACAAACATCAGATTCGTTTGCGAATGTCCCGTAATGGTGCACGCCTGTGGTTACTTTGATTGCTGTTTTGTCTTCTTTCGTTGTTGTTGTTTTATTTCTGCTTTTTTCGCGTCTTATGTAATTCATGCACCGCAAATCGTGTCCCAGCAAACAAAACCCCATTTCATCACATCGTTTTAGTCAGAAATACAATCTGTTTTCCATTTGTTTTTTTTTTTTGTTTTGTTTGCTTTTCTTCAAGACGGTTCAGTAATGTCTAAAAATGAGACTCAATCGAGTCGGCTGCATTTATTCGTAATGACATTATTGAGATGGGCAATTTTATGATGACAAAATAGATGAGAGCATATGTTCAATTAGTGCAGATCTCATAACAACAATCATTTCGATTGTTTCATTTCAATCGAAAGACTAACCTTCGTGTGACTATAATGGATGAATTTAAGTTGTAGTAGTTATGTTGAATTATTAACTCATGCTCTTCCAAAGCTTCTTTTTTTTATCTTTGCAACGTTTTCGATTCAGTTTTTTTAAATCTATATTGGGGACATTGCCAACGAAACCACACACACCGTGTTCATATTCTTTTATTTATTTACAATCGAGAGAGAGAGAGAGAGAAAGAAAATGTTCATAAGCGACAAATGGTGGATAGAGCGAAAGAAATGGAATAAAAAGAATTAGAATACATTTGGACAAGATCGAAGAAAAAAAAATGTATATATTAGCAAACAAAAACAATATGCTGATTCCAGCCCACGGTTATTGTATTCGATAATAATCGTGTGTTGACGTCATAAATTTAAATTTACCAAAAACGGGAATAGAAATGAAGAGAAATATAGTCTTAATTTTGTTGTGTGTGCGATTCCATGTGTAAGCAGTCAATTTTATATAAGAAAAATACGGCGAGGCGAGATGCAATTGTTTGCTTTTTGGCCACAAATAGATCGAAGTAGACGAATGTTGTTGATGATGCATGCGTGCGTGTAAACGATCGGTGCCGCATAGTGATGATGATCACATCGCATCTATTTTTATTAAATTAATATGTTGCACGCATTTCTGGAATGAGAAATTAAATATTGTCAATTGAATTTGGATTCGATTTCATGTGTGTGTGTCGTGCCTGAGTCATTTAACTAAATTTTGTCATTTCAACTTTTCCTTCATATAGAATTAGTTTCGATTTGAAGTTATGCGACCGATACGGCAATTGGTTGGCATATTTATGACATCGTTTATAATTGTGAACTCTTTTTTTGCCTCTTTATTGAATTTTTATGAATGTTTTTTTTTTCATTTGGTTCATCTTTGATTTTCATTGGGAATCATTTGTTGTTGACTTTTTCTCGTTGTGGCCGGTTATTATTTTGGTTTTGTTTGTTATGGTCGTGAAGCCGTGTTGTGCGTTTATTGCGTGCATATTGTTGTCGTTTCTGCCACACCGTGCTGTCGACTTTTATTGCTGTCGTTTTTTTCCTCCATTTCTCACTTACCTCTGTCTCATGCTGTTGTTGTTTTTTTTTGTTCCATTAGTCATCGAATGCGCGAATAAGCTTGCTGGCATTATATATTTTTTTTTAAATACTAAACTTGAACTACACGCATCTGTAATTATTTTCTATAATTGTGGCCAACACAGCCACAAATCCCATGTTTCAAATAGAGCAGAAACATTTTTACCATAGAATTTGTGGATTGGCCTCATGGCAACGCCAACAATCAACGCAATGACAGCTAAAATAGAAAATACACGAACCAAATGCACATAATTTCAATCCCACAACCGTCTGACTTGTTTCTCATCACTGTGTGTACACTTTTTTTACGTGTCTTGTCTTCGCTCGCGCTTTCTGTTTGCTTATTGCTTTTGTTGTGGTTTCGCCAAGTAAGTTGCAATTGAAATTGGCTGAGAGACTTTTCCTCGCAAAACAGATAGAGAATCGATATGCATGAAATGTACACATGAAACATACATAATTTATACACCATGAATCGACGCCGTGAAACGTTTAAACACACATACACACATTATGGGTGTTTCGGCATATGTCTGCACCATAAACCCACTAAACTAGTGCACCTGAGAGTTGTGCATGAAGAAGAGATGGCAGATTTGCCACCGTTTACGGGGCATGACCTCCAAATTTTCTGTTGAATCAATGCAGTTTTTTTCATTGAATCGAACCGACTTCGATTAATTTAACATGCACTCATTTGCATTCACAATGCCATCAAAGAACGAAAAAAATATACATGCACTTTTCATCGATTCCATATAAAATTAATTCTCGGTTAGACTCATTATAGAGGCATTGGGTGTTTAAGTCGTGTTTGATTTTTTTTATGTAATTTCTTTTCGTTATCTTGTGTTTATTTTTCCAATAAACTAGATAATTGATTTTGAATTCCTGATAAGAGCGAACAAAAAATGTATCACTGTATTTTTCTCTCCCCCGAAATGAATCATATATTCGATAGCAGTATTATGATTTAAGTGTATAATAAAGAATCAATAGAGACATTCGATCAGCTTTCGGTGAATAACATATGTTATAGTATTGTGAATGTTTTTCGATTGCTTTAGAAAGGTGAATTTCTCATATTGTACTCAAAATAATCGTATCTTTTTTTTTCTTCTTTCTTTAAAAATAGTATATCTACATCTATATGTTTTTGCAGCCAAATGTTTGGCCGTGGGTTCGCGATTGTCCATTTCATTGATATGAGACTGTTTTTCGGTCTTTTATCTCGATACTCTTTTTTTCGCTCATATAAAAATTTCTTGTTTTACCACTCGAAAGAAATTCTCACCATTTATGGTGTTAGCGGTTTTGATGTATATTTTTATATCGGACTTGCGAATTAATTTCCATTTTTTGCGCTGTCTTACGCTTATTCGCTTCTCTTGATATCTTTAAAATTTAGCGTAGTTCTTTTTTTTCTCTCTGTAAGCTTATGAATTCATATATTAATATAAATGAATGAGAAACAGAATGAATAAGAAGCAACATCGATTGTCTTTCGCATGCCCACACCAGATCGGTTTCGTTGAAATCAGAAAATTCAAAGGACAGCTTATGTGTTCGCATTTTGAAAGTTTTCATTGAAGAAACTAAAAACCAAAGCAAAGAGAAATTCAACATTTGTATTGAATCGACAAGTTATCATGGATACACAGCTGAATATGATAAAACGTCACAACGTCTTCGTTAAGTTCGGAAACCTTACAACTGCACTTTTTTTTGGAACGATTTGAATGTTTTATAAAGCTTTGCATTGAATACATTGGCAAAACGGTATGAGTGAAGAGAATGAAAGGATCATTTCTTTCTTTTATGCCTATTTCCATCAGTTTAAACCTTTTTTATTTTTGCATGTCACTTGCGGCTATTTTCAAAATTTCAATTTTCAGGAAAGGTAAATCCATTCTTCAATATCACTGAATTAACATTTTTCGATTTATTTATTAATTTGTTTTGCAGCGGCTTCGAAGTCGAAGATGAAAATTTAATGGGGTTGACTACTTTTGCTTACATTAATACTGTATTAAATGGGAGTTTTTTTATTTATCTATTTGTCGTCTATCATTCAACTACATAAAAACTTTGAAAGTGATGAAATCTGGTTAAAGTAAACAAGAATTGGTGTGGAGAACTTTGCGATTTAATTTATTATTATTTTTTTATTGAAATATACAATCGTTTATTTATTTTGTTTTACGGCAGTTTTATTGTATATTTTCTTCTAATTAGTCCATAAAGGCGGAAGGTTCGTTATAAGAAGAATCGCTATGAAGTTTCATATACATCGATAATACCTAAAAAATTGTTATATAAATGATAAATTTAATATATAATCATTTTTTTTTAATTGAATACATACATAGAGGTACATTCTGTGGAGCTGCTCAGCGGCGAGTTTGCTGTTGTTGTTGTTTGATTTAACGTATCTTTTGATTTCCCTCAGATCAGTTTTGATGCTGTCCAATTTTTTCTGCATTTGCGAATCCTCAAGAGATGGGTTTGGTTGGGAGAAGTATGGCGATGATGGTGGTAACAGATACGAGTTTGGTGGAGTAAGGTCCGTAGGTGGCAATGTATTCTCCATAGAATCTATATGTGCATCCCGACTTGGCTGGTACATGTGTGGCGGTGGAGGTGGTAAAAGGTGAGAGTGTGATGGAGTAAGGTGCACAGATGGTAATGGATGATTCATATTTGAAGAATACTCTGTAGGATCTGTTGATGCATCCTGATTTGAGTGTAAGTGTGGCGGTGGAGGTGGTAAAAGGTGCGAGTGTGGTGGAGTACGGTGCGCAGATGGTAATGTATGATCCGTAGTTGGCAATGTATTCTCCGTAGGAGTTATATGTGCATCCTGATTAGGCTGGTGCAAGTGTGACGGTGGGGATGGTGGTGGCGGTGGAGGTGGTAAAAGATGCGAATGTGGCGGAGTAAGGTGCGTAGGTGGCAATGTATGATCCGTTGTTGGCGGTTTATGATCTGCAGGTGCACCTTTTGTTGCTGTCAGGACAGCACTTGCTGTTGCAATTAAGATGAATACCTTCATTATCTGTGAAAATAGGAAATTAAAATAAAATACATTGTGCAGGATTGTATTATACTATTCTACATCTCAAGTGTTTCTTTCGATTTTCACAAACTTCAATATTTACTTTGATATATTCAGTTATTACTTAAGTCCAAGTCACAATAAATCATTCAAATAACAAAAAAATAAAAAATGGATATAACTTGAACATTTTTTTCGGTAGTTTTCACATTTTTGGATAAAAAAGTCCACAATACTGTAATTTCAAATTAAATACACGAAAAAAACGAGAAAAATGAAAAAACATCATTTTTGATTATTAGATTAGCTAAAATTCAAAATAGCCCGACCTTTCACTAGTCAGTAGAATCGTCGCCAATATTATATTGTAAATCGTTTGATGGTAAAAACTTATACATCTCATAATTGAGTATATTGCTAACGTTGTACAATTGTAGAATCATACTATTCAAGTATAATATTGGCGGCAGTTCTGTCAGTGAAAAGTTTAGTTATTTTGACTTAAAAAATTTAAATCGAAGAAAACACTTGAGGAATGTTTGAACAATATAAGTAATTATTGTATCACATTCATACGTCACTTTTGTCAATTTTCACTGTTTTCTTGGCTAATTTGGAGCACGTCTTCGAACGAAATAACCGAACTTACAAAATCATAAAAATGTAAGCTCAATTTCGCTTCAATTATGGAATGTGCGTTTTGCGTGCGAAACGGTTTTTTTCTTATTTATTTGTTTATTTTGACTAAGAAAAAAATTCAAACACTGCAAAATATGTTCCACTTTGCTTGTGTTGAAAAAAAAAAACAGCTGAATTCAACGTTTATCAAGGTTTCGCACAATTCATGTCATAAAACAAACCAACAATTATAAATATGCATTTCAATATTCTTTTTGTTTGTGTTATCAAAGGTCATTGGATCATCTGTGCCCCGATATGAATGTTGAGTGTCATCATTTTTTTTTTTTTTGACATAAATAGTAAACAATACAATAAGATCTTAAACAACTATTGTCTTTGTGGAAAATAATTTGTGATCAAAATATTAAATGATTTGGTCAGAGAAAAAAATGTTTTTAAAAACAAATCTTGAATGATAATTGAAAACTTTTCTCATCTTAATAAATCTGACATTTTTTCTGTTACTTTACGCAAATTCACAAGATTCTTTCCATCATTTGCAGAAGTGATGCCAACAGTTTTCTACGTGATAAGCTCCTTAATTTGTACCATCTTGTTTATTACTAGTAAAGTAGTTTTTTCACATTTTTTTGATTATTGATCATCATATAATTTTCGAAACAGTATAACGATTTGGTGACTTTAAAATCGAATCAATTTTTTTAAATATTTTTAATACGAAATTAACACAGTTCAGTGCGTCTTGATTTTAACTCATTTTTCAATCGGATAATGTAAAACGTCGGTAATTAGTACGGCGTTCAATCAAACTCATTGAATTTCCAAAATTGCTTACTTTAAATCTCAAAGTGTTTGGATTCATATTGAATGTAGATGCATTGAACTCTTGTAATTTCTCTTTTGAGCCAAATAATTAATCAAAATTCATAATTGACACAATCTATTCTTATTTAACGGTTTCGTTTCATTTTATAGTTTCCAGTTTTTTTTCAGCGGAATTATTCAGAACGATTTACACAACGATGCTTAGATGAACATTTGGAAGAACATAAATTATTGTTTTCATCGAATATTGATTACATTTTCGCATTTTCATTTGTTATTTCGCGTTATTTATTTCATCCCATTTAAAAGATTTTACAATCAAATCGTTTTTTCAAATTTCGGTATGTTTTGATACCAGATTGAACATTTAATCTTCAAAAACTTAATAATCCACATTTCTCTTCAGAAAATTATTTATAGTCCGTAGTTAGTATGAGACGATAATCGTAAAGTGTTCATTTAAATACAAAACTCTCTCGTTCAGTACCAGTTTAAAACACTATAACGTTTTCGTTGAGTGAAGTGTTTTGCGAAACCTTACAACGGAATCGAACCTCATGAATTCATGAATTACAAAACAAAGAGACACGAGAAGAGATTTTTTTGTGCATTTTTTGTTGTTAGAAAACGTCTGTGTGAATTGGAAGAGAGAGAGAAAAAGGTGTGTAGGTTAAAATTGAAAAGTCATCGTCCGTGCCATTAATATGCCTTTCATCGACCAAAACAAAAACCTATTACCACATTCATTGTATGTGAAGATTTCGTACAATGTAATTCAATCGCACCTCTGTATTTTATGAACTACTTAAAATGTGTTCAAAAGCTCCAAAAAAAGTTGCACCGAATCACATGAAAAGAAGAAGTCTGATTTATCCAGTCGGAATAATTTATTGTCCAAAATCCAAAACGAGTGTATCCGATTTAAGCACTAAAAAAGTTGAAAAAACTTTCTTTTGGAAATGGCAATGGCATTAATCTCATCTCTGGATTTTCATATATATTCTTTAGTTAAGTTAAAAAAAAGCAGCGTCAGCATTGGTGGCCCACCCACGATAATCAATAAACCAAAATTATTCGCTTGGCGATCGTACATCGCGTGAAATTCAGCCTTGCGAAAGATACAACACACAAAATGTTGTTATTGCTGCTTAGATATTTGTTGTTTTTTTTTGGAAATCATAAAATTAACTGCAATATCTGCAACATGGAAACAAATATCACAATATTTGATTGATTAACACACGTTCAATATATCGGCAATACATATGTGTATCGATTTTTCTTTCATGCATTATTCAATTGAACAACAAATCAGGCAATTGCAATATAATCGTAATAACGTTCTTTTCACGATACTCTCATAAAATGTTTTTTGTTTTTGTTTTTTTCTTGTTCTTTTGTCGATTTTTTGGTTCGATTGGCATAGTGCAAGATGAATGGCCAAAATATAGTGTGCGATTATAAATATTAAATTTTATTAAGCCGTTTGGCATAAAACTCAACATAATCAAAAAAATGCGTTTCGTTGACGTATAAGAAGTGTATAAAAAAAGAATGACTTTGTTTGGCATTTAACCTTATTCGGATCGTTTGCGCGAGCTCTATGTGAATCATACACGGCTTTCTGTGTTTGGTTACTGTTAAGAAGCGGCTGCAGAAAACGCATAAATCAAAAAATGTAATTAAAAAATATAAATGGTAGCAATAGCAATGAAACGGCGATAAAGCGTGAATTTTGCTCGAATGAACTTCTCTTCGCCGATCTGACGAGGAAATAACCATAGAAAAAGGGGAACAATTTGAAACTAATGCCATCGGTCAAACCGTAAAAAATTTAGCTAAAAAATTAAGAAAGAATGGCGAAGAAGCAGTAATATTTTTGCATCTTGTTGTTTTTTTTTGTCTGCTATTGAATATTTGCTTGTTTCTTCATTAGGTTACATTAAAAATGCCTTCAACAAAATAGCCTATTAAACAATGCCATCGAGACGACGAACTCTTGTTTACCGTATATTTCCGTCTCTCTTCAAATGGTTATGCGCACGCGGTTTTTTCTCATGAATTATTCGCCCAAAAGAAAAAAGAGAAAAAAATTCTCGCGCTTGCCTGCGCATTTGCCATTGACATAAAACAAACAAAACTATGTGACAAAGAAACAAATGTAAATTATGGGCAGCGAGAAAAAAAAAACTAAAACACAAACAGTGGTGTTAGTAGTCATTTGCAATATATCAAACAAGGGCCAAATCAATTTTCGGCCGCGCGAAAACTATGAATAAATAATGAAATGTGTTTGAAATACTAGAAATTTGTGGTTTTATTTTATTTGGCATAAAACTGCAGACATAGAATAAACATATCACATTCACGCGGCATTCACACATTTAAAATGTGCAAGCATTATAATTGCTTTGTTCCATGTGAACAGAGAGTAAAACTGTTTTTTTTCGTTGCTGTAATTGTTCTAGGTCAAATGGTGGAATTATGCGTTGTACATAGACAAAAGTAGCCGCGCGTGAAAGCGTTGCACTGCACTGAAGCTCACCATGTTTGTTTCTCTTTTTTCACATTTCTGATTATAGAAACGTATACAAATGTATCGCTTGTTTTAAATATATGTATCTTTACTTAGCCGCACTATTTCATAATGGGCAACATCAAATGAGCGTGCGCGATACTTGTACTCACAGAGTGCATATGCCTTTTTTTCTACTCTCAATTGCACATACAAGCGCACACACTGACGCGCACATGTAAAATGCAGTGAGTGCACAGAATACTCGCACTGCGCACCATTTGATCACCTTAAATTGTGTGTACTTTGATGGAAATGCGAAATCAAAAAAGCACACTTTGAACACACACATACACAAACATAGACTTGTTCGTTGAACTATTCGTCCACAACATTTATTTCCACATTTTGTGCAATTGTAAAATGTGTGCGCAATAGTGGCACTAAAACTAACTTATAATCAAAAAAACTCAAATGCGAAAAAAAAAGTTCGAATCTGAATTAAAAACCACTTGAAACTGGCTACGGATGACGACGGTTTCGAAGAGAGAACACGAATACAACAAAAAAAAACAACAACAACCAACCGAGCAATAACAAACCAGTCACATTATTGCCGAGATCAGTCTTCATTTTAGTTTTTCATTGCATTTCTTAGAAGCTCATTCAAACGATTTCGGTGTTGTTCCTAATTGCATTCTCAATGAAAAAAAAAAAAACAAAAAACGATGAAATCAATTTATTTTTGAATGAATTTTCTTTTGCTTCTTCAACGCTTTCGATTTGAAAAAAAAAACACGAAAATATTCCAAAGAAAAATTCCAGCTTTGAATGCTGCTACCGCTGCTGCTTGAGTGATTTGAGTGCATGTGCTTAATTTTTTGTGTGTGTTTAATTGAAGTAAAAACAAAGTTGCAGCTAAGATCCGATTCAATAATTATCTGCCCATGGTCTCTCACTCTCGGTTTGGGCAAGAACGTCGGAACTAAGCGATTTTTTTTTGCTCTAGCTGCTTACAGTGACTTACACTGTGCAAGTGAACGTACATGATCAATAGCAAAATATAGTGGATGTGACAAACGACCTACCGTCGAAAGATATCGACATCTTAAACTCGATTCTAAGCGGTTCGCAAGCAAATTAATTCTAATTGTTCCAAATCAATGAGGGGAAAAACATATTTTTCAAGGCAAACGATAAAGTGTATTGGGACAAATTTAAAAACCGGTGACTGCAAAATTCGATCGTTGTGCAGGCATCCGATTTGGAAAGGAGAGCAACAATGTTGATTTTGATTGCTACCATGTGGCATGGCATGTGCTAATGTGATCTAGAATAGAAGTTAATTTTTGTTTTCTTAACCGGTAATCTATATTCGATATAATTTGTGATTTATTACCGTGCGATTCAATGGGATTGTCGCCCAACATTTAATTTTATTTTTTTATTTAAGAATGGCCACTGCTAATTGCACGTGATCAAAGAACGTTCGCATACCGTATTGCAACGATAAAAGCACCGTTTTGAAGTGTGACAAAGTTATACAGTTTTAAATCGATTGACATAATCGTATTCTTGTGGTGACCTGTAAAAATCCAAAATAAAAAAAAAAGCGTGTATCGATAATATCAACACGAATCGACAGAAGACGAGGAAAAAAAAATAATCCGACAAAAAAATAAATGTCGAAAAAAATGTTTTATGGCAAATTGCATCGTAAACTAGACATTGTCTTACTTCGTTGATATCCACTTCCAAAGAAGACACATATATATACAGAGACATATAGACAAGATATTCCCCCAAAAACCAAAAACAAAATAACACGAAAAGTGGCAAATGGCCTAATGTGTTATATCAGGCATAAGCAATAGAGTTAATATTATGTCTTTGACAAAGATTACACGCAACGGAAACCAAATAGTGCGAGACAGAAATAGAGAGTGAGAGAGATAGAAATCGACGATCGTGTATAGCATCGGCCACGAAAATCGACAGTTTAAGACCAAACAAATCACACACAAATGTTGTAATATATATATACAATTATACATATATTTCTTTACTTCGTGTATCTCTCTTCATAAACATAAAAATAAGCGAAAAAGCAAACATGCCGTCACACGCATACATAACACACACCGAAACAAACACACCTGATCGTGCGAATTGAGATAAAGCCATGGAACCCATGAATGTGTCTTGTGTTTTGAGAGTTTCTTTTACACATTGTGCAGATAATCAAATGTCGTTTGTGTCCGTTTCAGTTATCGAGTATTTGGCCATACTGTAACATGCGCCCCAATATTTACACATATGTTGATATCCGAAACGAGTGAAGACGCCAAAGAGTAACTTAAACTAATATACAGTGTATATATGCATACACACACACACTCATACACCCAAAGTAAAATAGTAAGTAACAAAAAAAAAACTCACCCAATCGATCTATCTGATCACAACACAGTATGCAAAAAAAGAGACGTTTTAAAATTCGAGAGATAATTAGTGCTTCAGCAACGCCAAAATGAACATAATAACAAAGACGACCGCCGCGGCACGTCCAGTATCACTAGAGCAGATAGCCGAAGTAGCAATGGCAATCAGCGCACGAAAACGCCTCAGATTTATTCATAATTGGTGGTGTCACAATTGTTGCACATCATCACCATCAACATCGTTTACATCGTCGACATTGTCATTGTCTTCGAAAACAATACCAAAAAAAAATAGTAGTTACCACAGCATCACTAATCAAACAAAACATAATAATAATCATTTAAGCGATCGCATGGATAATCGACTTCAATTCATTGCGTTTGCACTAATTTGGATGGTATTGTTTGTGCATTGCCCAACATTTGTCACGGCTGCAGCAAAAAATTCCGTTCGATCAATTGCCAATAATGATGGGCACGATCCTTATCGATTGCATAGCAATTGGTTTGATTTTCAACGACACTCACTCAATCAACGTTCACAACAACCACCCAAATCACAATCACAAGATATTGGCAACATTTTCACACAACTCGGACTATTCATTCAATCACGTCAACGCAATGCCACCGAAATAGCCGGAAATATCTTTTTCAAATACTATAATACGTAAGTGAACTTAAGCGATTATTTTGTGAATACAATATACATTTACACAAGTACATTTGATTAGATTTAGATTTCATATACATAATTTCATATAACTTAATTGAATGCATCATATTATGTATACTGTGTGTAAGTGTGTGTTGTTGCTGTTGATTTTTTCATCTCTCAAACTGTTTTGTGTGTTTGACATCATAAAATACAAAAAAAAAAAAACGAGAAATAAAATAAAAAACGAAACGAAAGTGATCAGTTGAAAATGGAAAGATAAACAATCCGCATTACGTACAATAAATATTTAAAAAAAACCAGTGAACAAAAGCCAAGATGTGCGCACGCGCACATCACCCAACCAATGAAAGAAACGCACAAAATTTCCAATAAAATTATATATACATACGGCATATTCGAAATTTTGAGATTCATCGAGAAGTTGTCGACCAAAAAAATTATAGTGATCGCATAAATTTGAAGATGAAAATCAGCAAAACGACAAAAAAGAAAGGTGAAAGATAATTATTGTTTGAAGAAGACCAGTTTTGCTTTGATATATGGAAAAAAAAATCGCGGTAAAAATATGCGCTTGTACCGCAGCAGAAAAAAAAATCGGTGAAAATGTTCCCAAAAGCCAATTTATGTAAACTATTCTACTTTCCGTGGTGTTCGCATTCTCTGTTCATTTTGCGTGTTCAAAGTAAAAAAACTACAGCTGTTGTTGTTGTGTTTTTGTTGTTGTCATTAATCGAAATCGAAAAATGAACAAATCAAATCGGATGCTTAATATTTCATTTCCGAAAGTTCGATGCACGGGATGTAAAATAATAGTCTTGCATAATCTTTCGCGGTATGATTTTGACCTCAATACTTTTATCGGTTTTTGTAGCCAAACATTAGAAACTGTATGAAAGATGGAAACAATCGTAAAATATAATAACGCCAACAAACGATATACCGTTCAATAAAGTCTCAGCGCTGTAAATTGCAATAAAAAAAAACCGTAGAAACAAAGCCTTGTCCTGGGATTGTGCGCAAGTTAACATTGTGAAATCGTACAAATTAAGAAGGTTTTTTGCTTTTAGAATATATATACGCGCTAGAAACCACCAAATCCATGTCACCGAACGATCAGAACTGCAAATAGATATATTTACACGGTTTAAAATTTAATCTTTTTCGAGCGCAAAAAACGATCGTTAAAAAAAATATTGAAAGAGAATTTATCGCGCTTTTTTATATGAACTTTATCATTTTTTGTGGTAGATTTTATTGTAGTAAAAAAAAACTACGTAACTTTGTAACATGCAATTCAAATGTATTCTGTTTTTTTTCTTCTCTCGTCTTTTCGCCTTGTTTTTTTTTTCTTGTTTTTTTTTTCTTTCTATCTTCTATGTTGCAGCGAAGGCGAATTGATCCACGAGTCAAATTTCAGCAAGCCTCAAGATCTGTATGTAGCGCAATGCCATCCGACTGCGTCTCAAAAATTTGCAATTTTAATGCATGGTTGGCGTGAATCATGCAATACACCATGGATGAAGCAGTTAATTAAAAGTTAGTTGAATTAAAATATTTTAATACACGATTTTTTTTTACTCTGCCCATTTTCGAGGAATTTCCCGAATACATAATATATTTAATGAATTTAAATTAAATAACCTGATCTCATTTCAAAATAAAAACGAAACAAAAACAAAGAATTGGGTACATATCGCGGAGGATGCATCATATGCATGGATTTTGGTCGATATGCAGCTGAGAGTTATGTACGGCTTGTGCGTGTATTTGACCCAATTGCACAGATTTTAACGCTTCAACTGTATTTACTGGATTACATGGGTTTCGATATGAACAATGGCTATTTGTTTGGATTCAGCTATGGCGGACAATTGGCTACAGAAGCTGGTCGACGATTTGGACATAAGCGTCTCAAAGAAATCGATAGTAAGTCTATAAAAAAAGCTATAGTTTGATCACATTTGCATATAAACAAAAAAAGTTTGCCTGATGTTTAAGGTCAATCAATTCTTGGTCTTTCTCTCTCTTTGTCGCACCTCTCTCTCTCTCTCTGTCTTTCTTTTTCCTCATCTTTGATTGATAACGCATTATGTTAGGCATAAAAAATTCATAAACAAATATCAACATCAGTCAAGGTAAGTGCCTACGTAAATGAAGAATTGCATTGGAAATTTCGCAGCGTAACAATTGTTGTTGCTAGCTGTTATTTTTCATTTTTGTTTCGATCATAAAAATTATGTAAAAATTTGTGTCATCTTCATTTCTGTATTTGGTAGAAAATTTGCTCATTTTTGTTGATACGAACTTTTTTTCCACCTTCAAAATAGTCTTAAGCGCCGTGTGAATAACACAATCTATTCTTGCATGATCCGTTTTATAAACAATAAATGGTCACACCATAGAATGACATTTGATTTTTTTTTTGGTCACTTCCTTGTCATTGTGTTCCAGCACTTTTATACATACATGTCGCATAACCTGTTTCATCTAATGCTCGCATGCGACACAAGATCATTGTCAAATTTTTAATTTTATCGATACTTTACTATATTTAGCATTATTTCCTTAGAATGACCAATAGCATTTTATACAAATGTTTTTATGATATTTACAAGACATTAACACGGAGTGGAAACTTTTATTTTTACATATTAGCATGCGACATGGCCGGCCCCGGTTTTGATCATAGATCCAATCAACCGAATCATAAAGATGCTGCACAAAATGTGCAGTGCATACATACGAGCCGTGACAAAGGTACGCGATTCTACAATTGTCATCAGGATTGGCGCCTAGGTAATTGTGGTCTTACACAAGTTGCATCCAATAGCCCACCACTGGGTTCGCATGGACTGTGTCCATACATGTAAGTGTAACGTAAAATGACAAATTTCGCATAATTACAAGTACTAAATATACGGAATCCTCTTCCGCTTGTCCGGAAAAGTACAAAGTACAAATACCATATTTTTTACCGTTCATATATGAAATATGTATGTTAATCCGATTTTAGGTATGTAAATTCTTTTGATCATGAATTTTACGCTATTGAAAAACCAAACGATTGTATATCGAAGCGAATGGCAACATTTTGGCCAAAGAATTTTAAAATGGGATATATGGAAGATCGTAAATGGTAAATGTCAATGAAATTTTTTTTTCTGTTTGCTTATATCAATCATATTATTTGTCTATATTATTTGGACCGATTGATTTTTGGAACCGCTTAAGTTTCAGCCGCTGCGAAAAAAATGCAATTCTTGAACGAACAAAAAAAAATCGTCTCACTTTGGGTCCCTGAAATATGACGAAGAAATATCAAGATAATGGTCACTGTCAACCAATCTTTTTATCGTACCAATGTCATATACAATCGTTTAATCGTATACTACGATACACAAATGAGCGAAAACTATGAATGAACGAACGCAGTGTTCGTAGTGCGATTCTTTTTTTGCGAATTCTGAATTGAAAGGCAAGGGTGCCATATAGAGGAAATGAAAATGATCCAGAGAAATGATCCATATTACCAAGTTCCCTTCTTTTCAATTCTTTCAAAAATGTTCGACCAAGAAATTTTTGCTTAAGTGGCTGAAAGTCAAGAGGTTTAAATACCATCTCTTCAAGATGGCAATTTTAAAACGTTTTGTATCCCATTTCAGGCAAGTGGCTGGCGAGCTATTTGCGCAAACGAGCCGCTTTCATCCGTTTAATATAGTTGGCAACAGTACGGAAACGAATAGTATAACGAAAGAGGTGTTTCAACGTGATGTATCGTTATCGGTGCCCGAACGTGACGTATCTTCATCGGTTTCCAGTAGCAATGCATTACAGAGACTCAAAGAGCGAATTTTAAAATATATATTTCAGGATCATATATTTGATTAGAAAATAGAATTTTTCCTGGCGACAAAAAGGACGAATTCGAGGTCGTGGGCAGAAGGAGTGGTAAAGAATAATAAAAAAATGAGCAAAAAACGAGTGAATAATTGCTGTATTGTTTTTTATATGTGAACTGCACATATCGTTTTCTTGTTATTGTTTGCTGTTGGTATGAAGATGAACCAATTGCAAGAAATTGTTTTTTTTTTCGTTGTTGAACCACACCGTTTTAGAAAATAAGTTTTATTGTTTTTTTTTTTACAAGCAAAAAATGATTGTTGTTGTTACCTGTAAAAATAGAGTATTTAATAAACGGAACTTATTTGATATAGAAAAAAGTAGAATTGTTTTAGGTGCTGGTTTTCGAAAGTCATTTATTTTATACATTCGTTGTATTCAAAGGTATTTCTTTTGAACAAAATTTGTTTCTCTGGATTTTTTTTATTCATTTGTTTTGATCTTGGGCGTTTCATTTGATATTTTTATATTTTGTCTGATTTAGAAAAAGGGCACTCAAAAACAATTCGTTTACACGCATTGTTCACTTAAACTTAAACATATCACAAGCCAAATGGTTGATTGATTACAATTTTATTTTGATTAACAATTGCAAAAAATATTGAAATATATATTAAATAAAAACATTTTAACAAAAAAGAACATATTTTACACGGACACACACAAAGACGGATATAAATGCCATTTCAAAAGGAGATAAAAATGATATTCATTTTTTTTTTAAATTGCTTTTTTCATGTTTATCTAAAGCAAGATGACCATATCCTCTTTTTGAATCGATGACATTTATTTTGCCATGCTTATTCTGTCCAAAGTACAAAAAATAGTAATAAAAATATATTTTTGTGAAAATCGGTCGCTTATAGAACTAACTCGCAAAATGCTGTCCATTGTTCTGTGATATGATTCAATATTTTTTAATTAAAAAAATAACAAAAAATCATCTGGTTTCATTCTCTCTCTCACACACACACAAAGGTTAAGAATTCGAAATAAAAAAGGAGTGTATTGAAAAATTAATGAGAGATTTAAATCCGTATTAAAGCTGCCTATCTAAGAGAACAAAAAGATAAACATTTAGATGTGCAGCGATTCAGAGATCAAGAAAATCCATTGTGTGATGCTTATTGAATCTGAATCGCGGTTGGAATGAATTTGTTTTCATATTTCGCCAATTTTTTAATTGGCAAGTTTAAGGCAGTTCCATTTCCACTTCTGACATCATTCATAATAATAATAATTTTCAATTTTTTTTTTGTTTCATATGGCGAAGGCAAATATGGTGTACGATGTTACACCATGTCTTTGCTTCTGTGTCAAAATTCTACGTTTATATAGAAATATATAAATATTCAGCAAAATTGTGATGGAATGATTTTTTTTATACAGGTTGATTAGGTCATCGTTTTGCCCATAGTGAGGATGTGATGGCCAACGCTCCGCCTTGTATAAAACGAATGAAATTATCGCCAACTAATGGCCCCATTGCATACAAGCCTTTTGTTGGCACATTCAACACTTCATTTGTGTACTTATCAACGGCGATTGGATTTGTTTTACAATCGACTGGTTTTGTGGGATCTTCACCTAGTCCAAGTGGCGATGATGATTGTGGCGGTAATGGTTGTGCAACCACCAGTGTTTTTTGTTCGGTTACAATGCCAGACGTTTTCTCAGGATCTTTACAATCGATCAGTGTATTATCACAATTGCTACTTAGGCTATTATTATTGTTATTATTGTCATTATGGGTTCGGTTGCTATTCTGTTTGTTTTGGGATTCGGTTGTGCAGTTACATTGAATTGGCCGGCGATGTACTATATTATTATATTTACGACTACGTTCACAGATACTCAAGTGCTTACATTTTGCACATAAATTCTTTAACCAGGCAATTTTTCGACTAAACAAAATATATGGTGATGTTAACAATTGACAATCTCTCATTATATAGCTGCCATCATTGCATGTTTCATATTCAATTGTTTTTATGTCGTCGGTTTTATTGGTTGGGTCGAGAAATTGTAAATCAGCCCGAAAACCAATCAAAATTGCACAGTACGATACTTCAACGGTTCGAATTTCGCCTGTATTTAATTGTTTTAGCACTACTTTATGGAACGGTGTTGTACTGTCTGATGATGAACCGGGAATAAATTCAATAATCGTATGCTCTGGCATCGGGCTATATAAATCGTATGTATTTACACTGTCTTTCATCATTTTGTGTACCTGAAAAGATGGACACCGGTATTAATTATCTAATTAAAACTGATTAGATGTATGAAATTGGAAAATTATTGCCAAGACACACTTACCTCATGGTATTCAGGATACACTGTTTCGGGCAGCATTTTATCTAAACCAGCCGATCGATTGCGATAAACATGAATGACACTGATTCCAGATGATCGACATATTGTCACAGCATCTGCAGCACTCAATCCAGCACCAACCACTAACACCGGCTTTAATTCTATAATACGAAAAAGCAACAATCAGTATTTTATCGTATACATGCGTTTTTTTTTAAATCAAATTAAAATGTAAATTTACTTGATCGTTCGGTATCGGGAATTTGTTCGAGTACTGTAACTATTGCGGGTAAATCATGTTTAATCCATTCGATGGATCCTTCGCCGCTGACACCAAGCCGATTGGCCAAATCGGATGCACCATTGGCAAGTACAACATTTTGACATGTATACGCAAAAAACGTTCCATTGGTGTGGATGCCACGAACAAGCCATCGTACATGTTTATTGGTTGAGCTTGTTATTGGTTTAACGCATGTAACAAGGGTGTTGTTGTGAAAATATCGTTCCAAATTCATTTCCTTAACATAATTTTCATAATATTGAGCAACATCAGAGACGAGTGCTCTGGTTTGTACTTCTCGTGACACCTGCCTTCGCACCGACAATACACGTCGCGGCACTGGCGTTAGCGCCAGTTGAGTTTCAACTGTGTTGTCATTGCTTAATTTAACTTCTACATCATTTGCATGAGCTTTGGATTGGACCTTGGAGCAGACATCATTTCTCTCGGAAATAAATTGATTATGTATATTACAGTTGTTACAACGATTGTTGCTAAAACATCGCCACCAATTATTCTCATTCATTTTATGGGAGTGATGGTGGTTGCAATTTGGTTTCTTTTTTAATTGTTTCATTTCTGTAGCCATTTTATTATTTGTGTTATAATGTTCATTGGCTGCGTCTAAGTGGCGCTTAGCGATCCATGTATTAAAATCCAATCCGGGCAATGACATCCATGCTGCAAGCGATAATGTACGGAGATTTGGATCCATTCGATGCCATGAACCACCCGGGGGTCCAGTGCCCAATACAACGTGATCAATCTGAAAGAAAATAAAAAACAGCTAAATATTCTTTCATCTTTTCAATATTTATCAATCGACAGAAAATCACAGATTTTAGTCGGTGCAGATTTTAAAATCTTGTTAAATTGTTAAATCTCTTTTTTAGACGGTGTCAAATTTTGTATAATTTCCCCCCCACGAAGGGGTGAAACCTCGTAATTGAAATCAAAAGTGACGATTTTCAATTTATGAGTGATGACCTCATCCAACTGTATATTTTGCTATACCTGTATGCATTCTCCCCTTCTCTCTGTGTGTCTTTTATTTTCTCTTTCTTAGTTGGAATTTCTTTAATATAGAGTAATTTAGAATGACAAAATGCACAACTTACTTCTTTATCTGCTTGATAACGGTATTGTAGCATTGATGTCATTTCTAATCCAATATCAGCGCATGGATTTTGTAAACTGTCCAACTGCAAAGCAACAAAAATAAACAATCATCATGAGAAAAGAGAAATGTTCATTAATCATTTTGTTTTGTTTTTGATCATTGCGTGAAAAAATGCGGTTGAAGTATCTTTCGATAAATAGAAAAAAATAAATAAACCAAATGAGTGGAATGCAGATCAAAAAGAAAGCAATATATCTTACCAGCAATGAAACTGGATTTGTGCTACGACCCTCAAGGCCATCAGCCAATTCAACGAGATCTTGTTCGACTAAACTTTTATTAGAATCAGCGCATATTAATCGTGCACGCAACAATTCATCCGGATGATTGCTTATATCTGCATTCCAATACGGCCAATTGCCTGCCAGCATATATGATAATGTAATTCCACTTGGTCCATTTCCTATAGAGATAATCAACGAAAACAAAAAACAATTGAACAAACGAAAATATTTGCTATTTTAATCAACAAACACTAGTTATTTGTCGTTTCTTCAAAACCATTTCATAAATAAAAGTTCGGTGTATCTTGAAACCGATAAATTTTCCATCGCCGAAGCGTAAAAAGGTATTTTAAAATCATGGAAATTTTATTATCATCATGATAATTTTGTAAAAAAAAAAAACAACAATTCTATAGTGTTTATTTGAAGAAGGAAAAATAATGCCAAACATTCCCGGCGTTAGAGAAATTAGAATCAAACTACGTACAGTTATCAATGCTGACGAAATAAAAACGATAAACAATGACAACAAATCGTGTTGATATACGAATAGGAACAGGTGATAGAGACGAAATGAAACCCCCAAGCAAAAGTGCGTACACCAATGTATCAAGTCCGCATATTCAAGTTGTCTACAATAAATAAATCTTACGCAATTTCATTTCATATATCATAGCAGCTTGTCTTGCCATGTGTATGTGTGTAGTGTGTGTTATTCTTTTTTGATAACAATATTAACATTGTACAAACCATATACATTCTCGTCAACTGATTGATAATAATTTCCATAATATCAACATAATGGCATCCGTTTAATTTCAACTTTTGAATGAAGTTAAAACGTAATTGAGAGATAGATAGAGAATTTGAATGAGATTTGATTTTCATTAGTTTCCCGTCGTCTCATCACAAATTCAATTGTGCCGTCATTTGTCGATAATTATAATAGGCTGGAGGGTACGTTCAAAAATATTCAAATTGTCGCTACTTTGTTTCACAAATATCACATTCATGTCATTTCAAAGGTTATATATTTTTAAAGATTAATCTCACATCAAGTTTAGACAGATTTTTTTTCATAGAATTTCAGATAGGTAATGAATGTACTTAATGATAAAGGGCTGAGACATCGTGTGTGTGCGCTCAGTCGCGCGAAAATTGAAGTGTGGTTTCCGTTATCTCAGATAGTTCAAATTCAAACAAAATGCGACAATTGATAACTGTGCCACTAATCAGTTTGATATTTTATCGCAATAATTGCATTAACATTTACATTATAAAACAATTCTCTCTCTCTCAATACTTTTTTGTTTCCGTTAAAGTGGTTAAAATAATGGATAGTTTCGATTTGATAACAAAAAAAAATCGACGATGTCATCAATATTTGTTCGTGGATTGTTAACGTATATATAAGCACGTGCATTATGCGATTAGATCGGCTTCTGTTCTATAATTTGTGCGCTATCAATATTCAAACTGAAATGAACCCCTGCCTTATTTCTCCTCCAACAAAATAACATCGTAATTATCGGAATAGTTCATGGCATGATTTCATAGACGCATTTTGAACAATAAAAAAAAATATGTATCAATTTTTAATCGATTGTCGTCATGGTACCGTATTTTTAATTCTATTCTTGACCTTCGATTTTCTTTTATTGTCAGTTGGTTAATGTGAGACTATCAACTTTGAGAACATCAATTTACTATCAACTTTTAAATTGGGGAAAAAAAATGAAATTTCTATTTCTCGTGATTAAAACACGCACACATAAAAAATTTATGCTTACAAACACCCGCGACATTGACATTCACTCATTTATATACCGGTCATTTATTTACACTTTTATTTTGCCTGACTTTTTCCGTTATACCAGTTTTTTTCTTCTCTCTCTTTAAATTGACATTTAATTGAATAGTTGAAAAAAGTATAAAACAACTTGCAATTTACTTACCAATAATAACAACGTCTTTGTACGCACAATCAATCGACGAATTTACGTTAGCATTTGTGTACTTCATTTTGTTGCAGTTTATTTATTATTATAATTTTTTGTTTGTTTCGCTCGTATTTTATGTATATCGCGTGTGAGTCCCCTTCCGGCTTTGAAACTTATAACACACTCTCTTTCATGCGCGCCTTTGTAATTCAATTCATCAAACTGAAAAACGTAAACAAAAGAAGAACAAAAAAATGTTTAATCTTCAATTAATGTTTAGTGTGTGAAGGCATTTAATGAAATATTATGCGTAATTCGATCGACAAACAGAGGACGCTCAATCCGTCAACACATGTGCATTTTTTTGTTGTTGCACATTCGTTCTTTCTGTTGATGTGTGGTTTTGTTTACTTTTTCTTTCGTTGAACAAACTTTTTTTTTTCTTTGGTATAGAATTTTTAATTTTACAAACATTTCGCCACCGCTTAATCGATTTTCTCGGTTTTAAACAGGAAATGATTTATGGTATTGTCTAAGTGGTTTTACGCTGCACCAATCATTTCAATTTTATGATTTGCGCAAGTTGAATGAAAAACTCCGATAAATGAAATCAAATTGTCATTCGTTCTTGAAAAAAAAATTTAATACGTTTGAGCAAGTAAAAGAGAGCGAGAATGATAAGAATGGTTTTGCCCGACTTCCATTGAATTGAACATTGAACCATCGACGTGTACATGATGTCATTGTCTGATGTAACTTTCCAATGCGACACAATTGTTTGGGTTATATTACGTTATAATTTGAGCGGGGGGAAAACGTTGAACATATATGAATAATAACTGTAGCACAAAGTGTATCATTGTTTAACGATAAAGAATGTTGTCAAAATATTTATAAATTTGGCGTGTTGATGTACCGTCCAAAATACGCTACCATCAAAGGTGCCGCTTTTTGCATACAACTTTAATGAATGTCATCAGCTCGTCGGCCAATTAATTTTAGCTCAATTTCTAATCGCTTCCAGACAGAAAGTAAAATGTAGACGATTGAAGTCTTGGCCTTCTTGCACATTCACCTCTTTGTCATTTTCGAAGCAGACGAATCACTTGGCAAATGTTTGTTTATTTTTCGCACACAGGTGTTTTTCATAGAATTTAACCGGAAACTCGTAAAACTTTTAAAGTTAAATGAACTCACGGCTTCTACTCTTTTTTTCTACGGATGTATTTATTGTATTGCAATAAATATTAATTTGCATTTCTATTGTAAATTGTATTAAGTATAAGAAGAAAAGGCCGTTTAGTTATCAAATAATTTGATTGATGTTTTACGTTGTTTATATGGTTTGATAATTAATATTTATGAATTCTACGAAGAACCGAAACAAGATGTATCATCTGTTTTTTTTGTATTGGATACAAAACATGTTTGGGTTTAAACTTGAAATACTGGCTTTGAACTGAAAAGTGTGTGTGTAATAATTCGCACGTTCGCCACTCCATATTGTAATACACGGAGAACGCCAAATACAACAAAAATCACATCATATTTCATTCAAGCGTTCATCCAACAGAGCTTGTGTGTCTACTCGAGAAGAGAATGATCTGTGCATTAAATTAACATTTAAAATCATATGATATGATAGACGAATTCCATATCTCCCTTTGCTCATGGTTTTGTGTGACAGCATTTCCATTTGACGCATTATTACACGTGCTTATTATGGAATTTGCATATCAAAATGAAAATTGAAAAAAAAAGAGCACTACTATATCCAATTCAAATGGTCGCAAACCATGACATTAGATTAAACATGCCAATGCGAAAGTCGACTCAATTGAATTTTTTACACGAACAACACATGGAATGCTTTGGTTGCTGCTGCAACAGCCATATAGAACGGAATTTACGATATATGATTGTATTCATAAAATATTCAGGCTCATCAAATCATTCGTATATATTCGCTCATGAAATTTCAACGAACGAACGAAAGAAAAACCCCGATGACAAAAAACAAAACTACTATTATTTAAAGTGCCATTTGGCAAATGTACTTTTAATGAATCGGGTTTAGTTTCTATAGCATATGACAAATGACATCGTTTTGCATTTTCATGCAGATAAACACATACAAAATAATGCGCGTAATGTAGTACTTAAAATGTGTTTCTTTTTTAGAAAATCATTCTGATGCTCTGTCATGGCCTCAAATTCACTTTTGTGGATTACGAAATGTTTTCGTCGTCGGTATTTTCCACTATAATTTATGGCATTTCAAATTGGATGAAATGGGATTTTGTGAATGCCCACGATTGGAAATACCACAATATACATATATCAACAATCGAACGATAAATTCAACGTAAACAAACCAATTGAAACATTTTTTTTTCTCGGTCTCTCTTTCTTTCTTCATAAATACATAATGTAAAGTGGCGCACGCTTGTCTTTGGATCCCATTTTTTTTTGTAAGCCATTTCATTTTATTGCTTTGCTTCGGTCAAGTGGTTTCTAGATTGTCAATGCAATCGAGTCGCTTCCACTTTTCGTTGTTTTTTTGCGCTTCTTGCAAATTGTCACAAATATTTTTCTAAAAAATAAAATAATTTTCTCTGGCGTTCTCATCCCGTTCGAACCTATTCAAAGCCATTCAATTAATTTAATTGTCGTAAAATTTCAATCATTTTAAATAATCGTGCATATCTCACGTTCTCGTTTTTTACACTGCGAACATAACAACAGCCCATAAGGTATAGAAAAAGGATAGTCACAAATAAACAATTGACTGTGCTAGCAACTATTTTAGCGAATTGTTCTTTTTTTTTATTCAGGCGCATTTGATCATCATTAGATATACTTGAGCATGACTTGTTGTTTTTTATTTGTTTGTTTGACGAAAACGTGCCGGCACGTTTTAGTCAGTCGATGTTGAAAATTAGAGGAATCGTATTTTACGTCATTATATTGATTTGATCGTTTGAAAGGCTCAATTAAAAACGATTGTTCAAAATTCATTTATTGACAGCAACGAGTATAATTGCTATTTAACTGAATTGGAATTTGAAATAAAAATCTAAAGAAAATAGAGTTGACACAAAATTTGTTTCGTTCAACGGCATCAAATTGGATTTTCTCTAATTTTAATCCAATTTTTATTTGAACAGAACTCCTGTGACCAATGCCGTTATTTGTTAAGCTTTTTTACTCTTTTTTTTTAATCAACGTATTTGTTGGTCCATTGGCATTTTTTCTGAACATGATTCATATCGATTGAATCGCATTTAATGTTTGTTTCATAAAGAATGAAACACGGTAACTGATTATGGCTATAGCATTCTTTAAATTGAATAAAATCTGATCGTTGCTTACTATTCTAGTCTATTTATATAATTTTTTAGGTCAAAATATCGCATTCAACGTATATCTATGAAAACCATAATTCATTTGTGGTGGTGGTGGGTTTTTGTTTTCATTTGATTTGTTTATTTTCTGTCTTTCTGTTCTTAATAACAAATTGACTATAATACACAACTGTCGCTGATGTTATTTATGTGAAAAAGAAATGGTGCATTCACTTAGCCTGTCCACAATTGCCGAGACAAACAATGTTGTCAGCTCGTATGAAACAAAAAAAAAACAACAACAACAGCACCCAACTACTGTTCAAACGTTGCGTTTTCACTCAAAAACTTTCAAGCCATTAAAATCAATGAAAATAAAATGTTGCTTGGATAAAAATGGGCCGTCACGTTAGACAAATTGTTTTTCTCTCTGTGTGTGTTTTTCTTCTTATTTCTTTGCGGAAATAGATGCCATAGGACTAAATCAAAAACGAAAAAAAAATACAAATTTCCGATACAAATTGTTAGTTAATGTGAACTTGGGAGTGAAATTCCTTCGTCGTTGAGAAAATAGACAATCTATGACTGAGAGAAATATAGAGAGCATGAATATTTTTTCTCGAAACAATGCGCATTTGTAAAACGATTAAAACATCATTTTACTGCACATATTTTCATTCACCGAAAATGACAGCGACAACAAAAACCGTACAATGTATCTATCTTGAAAGAAAAGTGTGGTTGTGGCATAAATTCTTTGATTCATTGTTAAAAATATACATATGCCGAGAGAAAGGAAAAAAAAATAATTACACTCGAGGACAGTTTTCGTCGACAAAACAAAGTCTCGACTCAAAATGTTTTTTTTTCTTCTTCTTTCTTTTCGATCATTTCTTTCGTTCATTCTACCTGTTTTCATTTCGAAACAACACGCGTGTACAATCATATCTGAAAACATTTTTTTTTTTCGATGCAGACAATTGCACTAAGATAGAGCAAGAGAGCATAGAATAGTCTGTGTCAGTAATTGCATTTATTTTTACGAAAAAGCGAAAAAAAAACGTTGCCTCTAGAGTGGCTCACTCAGACTTATTACAAGGCGGCAATCGAAATAAGCAAACAAATGAGAAAATGAGAGAGGGAGAGAGAGAGAGAGAGAAATCCTCTTCACTCGATTAGTTTAAATGAAGTTCTCAAAAATTCAATTTTGCTCTTCAAGGATCATTTCGGTTAATTTGTTCAATTTCATACAGATAACGATTCGTTTGAGGACGGTTCCAAATGTGGTTGACAAATTTATCTAGTGAAAGTTGAATGAAATTGTGTAATCAGAGACATGCCTGAATCACTGACATCGAATTTAAATCTGATTTACTTTGGATGACAGTGTTCACGGTAGAAATGGTTAAATATATTCAATCGTGCATACACACACTCACGTCAAATGATAAATAAATAGAACCCGAGCACCGATTATCTCGCGGTTGCGCTACAGCACACGATTGGCTTTCGTTAGGCGACAGGTGATAACATTTTTCTCATATATTTAAAGGTCGATGGAAGAGGAAATATTTTTTCACTCTTTCATTACTTTCTTCTTTTTTTTAATCGTTATTCAGGCTTGCACTCGTTCATTTGGATGAGCCATAATATCATTAATTGTGCCGCCGTGAAAATGAAAGCAAACCCGGAGAGCACTGACACAACGCGAGAGAGCGCAATATCTTGTGAACGCAATAGAAAATACACAATATATCCCAAAGCAACGAGAGAACCGCGAGAGATTCAGCATATTAAACACGAAAATAGATCAGCCTCTCTAGTGGATGTATTTATATTTATTTTTAAAGAAATTAACTCTCACAGTGTGAGAGAGAGAGAGAGAGACAGAGACAGAGAGGGAGTTAAGAGAGGTGCAAAATAAAGAAATCGAATGGCATAAAATGTATAGGAAAGAAGGATTTTGCGTGTGAGATTTCAGGATGATAAAATGTTTCTCTCACTAGCTATCGCTCTACCTTTTCGATTAATCTCTCTCTCGCTCTCTTTCTTTTGCTCTCTACGATGAATTCAAATTGGCTTCGAAATTAAAATTGAGATTCGGTCGTAATTCAATTAAAATTGTTCATTTTCGAGGTTCTGGTTATTTAATACTTGTGGTTGTATATTTTCTTCTCATTACCCACTACCTTCCGTGTAGTGTACGTTACTTTTAGCACGCATCAAAATACGAGCGTGTTGTTGTTTACATTTTTAAAATAAAAATCTTTTGTCTCTCGTCGGTTATTTATTTGTTCATTGGATAGTTTGATGAAAGGGGACGTGTAATCGTTCCGCATTTTTTTGAAATGAATCTGACAATGAAGATGCAAATCCACTGCGCTCGGTCGCAGAAAGTGAATTCGTTGGTTAAAGACGGTTGTGTCGTGTCGCCTCAATTAATGACTACCGTTTAAATTAAACTAATTTAGAAAATCGTTTCGAACAACTCTCACAGAATTGATGCCATCTTACCATGCCATTTTCGTCGTAGGTAAACAACGTACCGAAAAAAATCACCAAGTTCGTGTCTATTAATGCCGGGAATGTGACTAGTGTTCAACGCAATAAACAGCAAACCGAAGAATGATAGAGAAAAACTCTAAATCAAAATTCCATCAAATTGATACAATGTATAAAAACATCATGTAATTATTGTATTGATGGTTGTTGTCGTTTTTTTTCTTCATTCAAGTGTCTATTGTACGTTATTCAAGTGTGATTACTCACAATGAATTGAGAATATTTTTAGCTAGCTCACCACACTGTAGCTGTCAAGTATCAGTGTCAGTGTACAGAAAAAAACCTGTTTATCCATGGATTTTGGTTTTATTTTATAACTACAAAACTGACGATTAAAGTCTCTCATTGCAACAAACAATAGTTTTGAGCTCATCACGTTCAATACAAAATTGAATTTGAAAAAATCTATGCTAAAAGTCACAGTTCATTCTCGACACCAAAGCTAAATAAATCAACTACTAATTTCTGTCTCTGTGTCAATTTACGTCTGAAATGAAAAAAAAAATCGCGCAAAAATTGACTCAAATTCTATCGTGAGCAGTAAATAAAATGTTTCATGGCATGTAAAACACATAACACATTTTAAAATCGAATCGATTAATCGCGTGCATGTGTGTTTTTTTTTTCAATTCAATGGTGGCGTATATTCTTCACTGGATAATTTGTTGATGCATTAGCTGGAATAAGTACTGGTACTGGTACTTACACTTCATATATATAAATTGTGGACACAACTGATGATATGTTGTCCGTGTCGTGGTTTTCTGCTGTTGTTTTAAGCACTCTTTAATTTCGACTAAATTGTCTTTGAATATTGGTTTTCAATATTCAATTCACACTTTAACATTCACTTGATTCGCTTCTTTTTGATTAACAAACAAAACTGAAAAACCAAAAACAAAAATTAAAAAAATAAAATCCAAATTAAAACCACTGTATTACGGTGTGTAAAGTAGTTGGAAAAAATGTGAATTTGAGACTTAAGTAAAAAATAAAAGCACCTTCTTCCTTGGCGACTGTTTAATATACTGAACGCTTCAAAATTGAAAACAATCTGTCGGAGTGTAGAGTAAAGCGAATCGGCAAAACGTCGCATGGCGCTTCACAATCCCAATATCCGTGTATGTGTGTGTGTGTGTGTGTGTTTGTATTGATGTCTATTTGCTCGCATGATGGTTGATGTGCTTGCTTCTGTATATGTATTTTCCACACGTTTTTTGTGCTACGGTTATTGCTATTTCATTCGCATATTGACTCGTTCACTCATCACGTAACCATGAATGCGCAAAAGAGACGAGAAAAAGAGAAAAACCACACTCTCGTTGATGTAGAAAAGGTCACGTGTACGGTCTTTATATCAAATATTATATCTAACTCTAATAATATAATCAATTGTATATTACATTGAAAGCTGGCGGTTTTGATAAAATACAAACCATTTATCGTGATAAACTTGTTTCCTTTTTTTCGCGGGTTTTTTTTTCTGCACGTTCAAAATATGAATTTGCTTCACAAAATTCGTCATACTTTTTCTGCTTATCACGTTACTTTCATCATGATCATTTTACAAGAGGGCCATAAAATTTGACTGAGTGTAAATTTAAAATGGCGTTCGTTTCATTCAATCGAAATAACTTTTTCGTTTTGCTGTTGTTTTGCTGTTTTACAGCGAAAATGTCGTTGTCATACATATATGTAGGGCTTATCGGCGGCACATTTCTCATAATGCATGCGTACCGCAATCGTAACATAACGGTTCATCCGGTGTTTGTGGTATAAGAAAGCTCTCTCGTTTTTAATGTACACGCTTATGTAATGCCATGCATTCTGGATTCTTATAATTCATGCGTCCCCCACAAAATAATGGGTTCCAAGAATAGAATCTTTATTTTTGACGCAATTTTAACCTTTGCAATGATTAATTATTTATCAGACCGAATCGTGTATGAGCATATTTCTGTCAAGGTAATCCAATACTCTCAATATATTCCCGTTTGCGTGATATATGGCGCGCTGACCAATTTTTTTGTTGTTTATTAGTTCCGTTGTCGCTTCATTTTTTACGGTGTTAATACCAGAAATTTTTGTATGTTTTCGCGCGACAAACTTGTTGTAACTCGCATATACACAAAAGCCTTTAACCATTTGATTATTACATGAACTCATTCTTCTATCTATCAGAAATGGCCACATACGACGGTTCAATCTCCGTTGACTAGCTTAACTTATGCTGACCTTCTTTTTTTTCTTGTCTCTCTGTGTGCTGTCATTTTTTACGGCTTTATCAACATCTAAATCGCAAACCATTGAACAAATAGAGAAAAAAGTGCGCACACACACACATACATAAAGTAATCAATGCAAGTGAATTTTCATTGAAATGGAGTAAGAGACGTGAAGAAACGTGAAAAAAAAAATTTCATTTACCGACTTGTTCACAATTTAGTAGTCAATAAAGAAAAATTGCAATGGCGTGCAAGTGGTTTGGGGCGGCTTGACAAGCAAACAAACAACTAAGCAATTCAAGTACAAACCAGGTCAATAACTCAACCTCATTGCTTAGCTCGGTTCATCACTCATTGTGCTCCTGATATACTGAATATATAAAAAAAAATTGCACGACATGCTCCATCCATTAGACTTCGTTCAATTTTTTTTCCTCATTAAATCACTGAAATGCCAAATCAAGACCATGCCAAGCAAAGGACCATTTTCATCATTATAATGCATGAGATTTCGGTTTAGCATCAAAGATTCAAATTACGCATTATATTTCTGTTGGTGTTGTTGTCGTCCAAAATCAGTTTTAAGTGGTTCCATTTAGAAACTCCATGTGCAATGCATACGTTATTGATAAATAGTACTCTAATCAGCAGGTCTCTTCGGAAGGAATTTGGACCGATTTTTTTTCTTCTTCTCTATATTTATTATCTGTATGAAGCTATTTTTAGCATTTTCTTATTCAATAACAATTTTTTTGTCTTCCAAATATGATTGCAGCTTCGAATTTCGGCATGAACTTACATTTATTGATTTCAAAATCGTGCCAATTTAATCGTGAGCTTAATCAACTTAACCAATTTCGCACCATTCAAAAACAAAGTATAAACAGAATTTTAAACAAGTCAAGCTGAATTTTCACCAAAAAAAAAAAAACAAACAAAATCGAAGGAAATTGTCTCTCATTTTCAAAGTGATACAACGTCATAGCAGAGTTTATTTTACCACTCAAGTACCAATCATGTGATAAAATGAAAATAAAGATAAATTTTATGATCTCATTTTAATTCCATTGAAATTTATTAGTACACTTGATGAATTCGCAATTCGGTATATGACGATTTTGTTATCTGATGCACGTCACAATAATCTTATGACTTCTTGCATCCAATTGCAATAAGAATATCGAATCTCTTTATCTCTCGAAATTCGAAATGAAAAACATTCTCGAAGCTTTATCTTTTTTTTATTTATTTATTTTTTTTAAGTTACAATGAATCAATTTTTATTTGGGATAAAACATCCAACAAATTATATGCTTCAATTCACTATTTTTTTTTTTGCTAAAATTCATTTGGCTAAAATTGTTTGTATTTGAAATGCCTAGGGTTTCTCTGCTGGAATCTCAATTTTAATTTAATTCTACGTTGTGCATATATGGGGTTCACATTATCAATCAAAATGCATGTTGATTTAACAAAAAAAAAAGAGAATGAATGTGAAAGATAGAGAAAATTACAATTAACGTTCCATACAGTTTTGAGATTGATTGAAATTTGTTTTGGCTGTCGGTGACATTGTGATAATTTGTATCATATGTTTATTTTTGTTTAAAAAATTGATTTATTCTAGATCAACATTAGTTACTTAATAAAATCTTCCATGCAAATTTAAACAGATTTTTTCTCTCTCACCTAAATAAAATGTCGAAAATATAGTTTTACTTTTATTTTCTCATTTTCACTTGAATTTTCAATGACCTTACAGAATTTGTGTGCTTATAGCATCAACTCATGATTTAGTTTTTTATTGCACTGGAATGCTCCATAATTTGGCGATCGATTAAAATGGTATCTCATGTTGACTAAAAAAATTTCGTTTACATTCAATTTTTGTGTAATAATTCTTTTCTTAAAAAAAAAAATGGGTAAGGAGGGGATACTTTGAACATCACACATATAATAAGTATATATTATGAAAATCTCTAAAAAAAAAATGCGCTGTAAATGGTGCATTGATTTCTTCAGGATAATACATGCTGAGTGTTTTATAGTTTCAGTTCCTAGTGCGTTTGATTTCTTCATTTTATAGAGAATTTATGCGTTTAAATGCTAAAAAATCTAACTATGAAATGTGGAGAATTCAGTCCGATTAGTCGTTTAAGAGTTCAACATAGTTAGCTGGGAAAAGGCCGTAAGATCCGTCACGTTCCGAGAGGCCTTGCCACCATCCTTGATCGATTTTATCAATATGACTGATTATATCCCCCGGATCGAATGTAATTTCGGACTCATCATCTACAAATTCAGAACGAAGAGAATTTTAAGCAGACAATATTATATTGGGCTGACTATTCATTTGAAGTGTGACAACAACCATTTGTATCCTCAAAAATAGAGTACCAAATGGCGTGGTATTTTGTATCATTTCAAATGAAAAATCAGCTGAAATTAAGTGAATTTCAATAGATTCAATTGAAACCAGAGCTTTTAGAGCTTTGGCATCGGAGAAGTACGGACCCTAATGAATTGACCAGTGTTTCCATCCATAAATGGATAGATATATTCGCTGAGATGAGCGCTCATCCAGGTATGTTTGTGTGTATTGCACACATATACGTGTCTGTGTGCAATAAACATAAACATATCAGCTCAGCGGATATATCTTTCCATTTATGAAACACTGGAATTCACATAATTCATCAGGTGCTGAATACAAGAAAGAGTCTCCACACCTCCACGATGACCATAAAAGCTCTGATAGAAACATATGAAAATATGATTTTTCTTTGAAATTCATGGCGAACCTGCTTGATAGTCATATAATGCACGAGCTCGAAGACCATGATCTTGCAATGATCCATCGAAAGCCAGTTGATCGCCTGCAATCTCTTCTAAAAACATAAAATTATCGATAAATCGAAGAATCGATGAAAACGATTGATTTTAATTTTATTTCCAAATTGTCATACCTAGTTCATGTTCTGCTTGTTGCATTTCCTGCTCTTTTCCGACCGTATTTTGTTGATTTGTTACGGATTCCGTTTGGACGTTATCGCTTTGCTTGTTATTGGCACTCGTTTCACTTTGACAACTATTTGTATTTACTTTTGTATAAGGCGAACGTTTAATTGTTGAATATGGATCGCTGTCATCGTCATCCAATGTATGTATTGGTTGATCAGCGACGGTAGTCTCTTGTAAATTATTATTCAATGTGCCGGTAGGTGATTCGGATTGTTCGGATTGTTGTTGCTGTTGATTTTTTTCTGGTTCAGGTGATTGCTGCTGTTGTTGATTGTTGTTTGTTGATGTTGTTGAGCGTGTGATGGAATTTCGAGCCGGTTTTAGCGGTGCTATTTTTACCGACTTATTCTGTAGCTGTCCAGCTGCTGTGTTTTGAGCAAAAATTGCTTTTGCTTTATCCACACTGTTTCCAATCAATTGTCTCGCCTCTTGATTGCGCTGTTGTCGCATCTCTTCAGCTTGCGTGGTCGAGCGTTCAACACTCGGCTTTGGCATTTGAATGCTGTTGCAAAATAATAAACATAAAAAAAGACAATTAACAAATATCTTATGTTGAAGAACTTAAAGAAATAAATTGTGTAAAAGGAAAAGTATTTAAACGATAAAAATTTATTTACTTCTTCGGCTCGTCTAATTTAACGCCATTGGCATTCGATTCAGCAGCCGCTTCAAGTCTTCTTTTTTCACGCTCCGAATGTTCCTGCGTTTCACGCAATCTCTGCTCCTATTAACGACGCAAAAACGTGAAGTTAAATAAATTTTTTAAAAATATCCAAGAAAATAACGTTGAAAATGTCGTACTTTTTCCAACTCTATCTTTGCAATTCGTTGCTTTTCACGTTCAGCTTCCGTGCGAATACGTTCCTCTTCTTCTTCTTTCTTCCAAAAATTGTCACGATCTTTCGAATTTATTTCCTTTGACGGTATCACACGCGAATAATTTGTGCCAATGACTTTTTGAGGTTCTGCAAAAAAAAAAAATATAAAAAAAAACTAGTGAATCAACTCAACTGATCCATTTCGCAAACAGCTACAAACCATCTTCAATTCGTGGTCGATTTTCTTTAACCGCAAATCGAATGCTATTCAGTTTTGCTAAAATGCGATCGGTATCGATGTCATCTTCAGTGCGAGCGTTTAATGTTAGATGAGCTCCAGTTAGGACCTTTGAAATTTCACGAATATGATTGGCACAAGTGCCTTTACGAAGTGTCGGGGCTCCTTCTCCCTGCAATTTTTTTTTTTTTTGCAAATTCAAAATACATGAAAATATTTTTGATAAAATATGAGTCATAATGCACAACAATTACCTGCCAATTAATCAATAAATACTTGGTTAAATTGGTTTTGTCATTAGAGATATTAACAAATGCATATAAAATTTTGCCACTATTCAATTCATCGGTAAGTTCAATGAGGCCGCCATTTCCCGTCGATACCACTTTCAGTACATTTGAATGACCTTCGTAACCAAATAAAGCCCTACAAAATAGTAAAAGACCAAAACATTCAGCATTTTACATAAAAAATTTAGATTAACTTGGTGCATTTGAAACAAGTGAAAAAAAAAAACAAAACAAATGTTTGAAACTCACCAATCGGTGTCGGTCTTTGCATCAACAACATCCTTCCAAGCGTTCACAATGTCATTTCTATTTTTGTCCAAATCCACTGCCATTTTTGAACTTAATTACGCCGAGAAAAAGAAAAACCAATCGAAAGACTCCTTCGCCGACACAGCAATATAAAGCGCACAAGGGACGAATTTAAAATGAAACGAAAATTTCCCGTTAAAACATTCAAAATGTATGGTGTAAAAATAAAATTCAGACTGAAATCCGCCTTAATAATGTTTGAGTCGGTTTTTAATTATTATTCCAGTTCATTGTCGGAATGACTCATATTAACTCACTATCGTTGGATTTTCTGCAATGTTTTTTTTCTTCTTCTTCTAAATGTGCATTCGAATTTCAGTTAATGTGTCACATTCACACACCCGCACTCTAGTCACACACACTCGCACTCAGCCAGATAAAAAATTCTTCAAATAGCGTAAATAACAAATTCGATTCATTGACAAATTCTGAATTAAATTTTTTCACAAAATAGCTTTCTTTCAAACTCAACTGAATGAACGCAGAATGAGCGATAAAACGAGAGAAAAACTTGGACGAACTCTCGCACAATCAAATAATATTAAATCCAAAAATAGACATATACAATCGTGTATTTGTGGTTCGATGCCCGTAAACGGCGGTGTTCGTGTGCGAGTTCCTCTCTAGTTTCTTTTCTTTTTTTCGGCAAAAAATATTATTGAGAAAATTTCTCGATGGCTGTATCTTTTTGGTGCTATGGTCTTACTTTTTTTTACACGCACATACACACACTGTAACTTTTGGACATACCACTAAATTCACCGATGCAAAATAGCGAGCAAAAATAAAATGAAATGAAATTCAAACAAACAAGTGTAGTTTCCGTTTTCGTGGTCTTCGGTCTTCGTTCAGTTTCATTAATACTATGCAATAGATTATGTCGAATCGGATGTGCCGAACAACAACAATAGTCGAATGAAGACAAAAACAACAACAACAACACACTCACACCGTTTACATGGTGTCAGTGTAAAAAAAGACTTTTTATGGCTTCAAAGTCTCAACGATGTCATGGTATTCGAGCGAAAAGAGAAGTACTCCTTTGTGTGTACATTTATCAAAACCAGCAAAATTTCGTTGTAGTGGTGCATTTGTCAATCGACTTTAGTCGATGTAACTTATAAAACGATGAAAAGAGGTTTTAGTATTATACCAAAGAGTTCTTTATTGTGAACTCTATACAATACACTCACATAGACATATGATGGAAAAGAGCGACAATCGCATACAAACACACAACCACAGACGCCCGCATTGAATTAACTTGATTTTTGACAATTTCGGCACCAAATTTAACCAAATCATGAAAATGTTGTTTGCTTAAAATCAACACAGGAAGTGTCATTAAATGCACTTGAGTAAAAGGAAGTAAATCGTTCTCTGAATTTTTGTAGTTCTTTTTTTAAATATTTACTTACTCTTTAACTCAAACAATGGAATCGAAATACATAATTTGCAAATGAAACTTATAGTGCGAGAATAAAAAATACAACAATTCAACGATAAGAATAATTCACTTTCTTTAAAACAATTTCCATGCAATTGCAAGCATGCATAACCGTTTGAAAAATGAAATAAATAAGCCGATAACGACAACGGAGGCTGCAGCGAAGAGTCGTTTAATTTTTGTTTGCACGGGATGTAAACAAAAACAGAATTATGACAACAAAGACAAGGCAAGAAGAAACAATTTTATGTTGCAAAATGTGTGAGCGCATGCAACGACATCTGCGCATCGAAATGGCAACTACGTCAAATATGCATTAAGTGTCAATTACAGTCTTATAATAGAAAATGTTGAATTTTATAAACTCTCTCGTTCGTTCGATGCAAGCCAAACAGAGAGAGGGAGAAAAATCGATGTGTGATTGGATGAATAAAGCATATATGTTACTTGCTGTTGAATGATTTGTTTCTTCTTCTTTTTTTTTTCTTCTTTCTGTTCATGGTTGTTACAATGTTGGGTATGAGCGCACCGCATTCTTGTACACCAACGAAGCATACAATAAAATCTGGCCGAAATGTGTAGTTGTCGCTGTTATTGTACAATGTGAGAAGGCAGTAGGAAAGAGTCGGAAAATGCACACACAAGTCGAACGAGCAATCAGTTCTCTGGCTGAGAGATTACGTGCAAGTTGCGCGTGTGTATGTTTTGCATGTATATGTGCGTGTCCATTGTAAATATATGTGTTTGCTGTATTTGTATATGCGCGCGACTAAATCAAAGCATACAAAATAGTCAAGTGTAAGAAAGAGCACGAACCAGTTTCCAGATAATGTCGCGCATGTCGTCTAAGGCCGTTCCACATACCAAAAATTCTTGACATACCATTGTCGTTGCGATAGTGCTATTGTGAGAAACGCTTAAATGTCAAATAAACAAAGTGTGTGATGTGTTTGTGTGTGGTTTTAACAAAAATATTTGAGTGAGCACAACGAGAGAGAAAAGAAAAAAAAAACCATCAAACACACGGTGTGTGTGATTATACCGACCATCGGACAGCAGCAACAGCAACAGCTAAACATCAAACAGCACAAAATAATCAGACAGAAAAAAGTAGTCAACCAGTGAGAAGACAGAAGAAACAGCGAACACAGAATTTGAATTGAAAGAGAAAAAAATCACAGTTTTTCATCCGGAATTATTGGTAATTTGATACATATATTACAGTCCAATAAATTACACCAATCAATTTGTGGAGTGTTATTGAAACTAACAAGTAACAACAACAACAACAAAATAGTAATAAATTTGTGTGTAACAATTTCGTGTGTGATTTTTGTGAAAGACGAAACGAACGGGAGAAGAGAAAAAAAAAAATCGGGCGCAAAATTACGAAAACAATCAATATAAAAGAACTGTGTACATTTTTTAAAGAGATATATCTACAATCCGATAGTAACATCCAAAAATGAAGAGATTCAATTGGAAGCTAAAGAATGTATTTTTTTTTGTTTTTGTCTCGTGCGATTACAAGAAAAATTCATACAAGAATTTATTGCATTTTTGTGATGCTCACTTTGTGAAGGCCCCTCAAATCCAAATTCATTCCAGTTTACTCACATAAAACTTTTCGGCATTCGAGTTGTTTGTTTGAGTTTCACATGTTGTACGCTCTCCTATTTTATTTTATTTTTTCATTGGTGATGTCTGGTGTGTGTCTATGATTACAACACACGAATATTATACAAATCGAATTTCGAATTAAAAAAAATTTTCGCTGCGAATTGTAATCAATATGTGATTATTTCAATTTTTAATGTGTTGCACGTGTGCATTGCTGATATACAATGTTCAATGTTGGAATTTGCATTTGTTGTTTTTTTTTCGTCGTCTTTCATTGCTCGCGGAATTTTTGGCAGGAAAAAACTGTAATCGAAAAATGTCGCAATCAATTCATGTTGTGTGGTTGTGTTATTGTGTCGCGTTGTTGTTGTCGTTTATCGTCATCGTTGCCGTCGTTGTCGCGCGCGTGTGAAGTGATTGTAGCTATCTGTCCATAGGAAATTTGTCATTAAAATGCCTTTCGGAACAACAACAAGCCACACCGAAAAAAAAAACTGCTCGATTCATTTTCGTTAATTTTATTTATTATCTGAATGATATGTGTGTTGATTCTAATGTCGACGCACACACACACACACACTCACGAAACTATTGCTCCGAATGCGAAATAAAAACAAAACATAGAGAGAACCAGAGAGAGAACATATCGGCTTTATTTAAATTTACAATGCGTGTATGTGTATTATTTCGGAATGCGGATTTAGTCAGCGCAAAAATCCTTTACGGAATTTCAAGCCAAACCAATAATAAATGTAAATCATCATCAACAACATAATATTTTTGTGATGTTGTTGTTATTGTTCGTATGCAAAGTAATTCGAGGTGAATACCAACGATAAAATGAGAGTGAGAAAGAGTATACGCACGACGAAATTCCTCACGTAGCTGATTTTCTTTTGCATTCTTTCGCAAAATCAAATTCATGCCCGATATACAAAATCGGTTGCTTCTCTCTCTCTCTCTACCTCTCTTGCTCAATCGATCACTCTAATTCGCTCTCTTGCTCTGTGAGTGTGAAAAAGTGGTTGCACAACGAAGCTTAACGTACTACACATCTTATTTCTCAGCTTACAAAACAACTTTAAGCAATTTGGCTTTTTGGCCGAAATGCGATGATGGAAGTGTGTGTTAACGAGAAACGAAACAAAAAAAAAAAACGATATGCGTACACCAAGATCGAACGCATTCAATGTATATTTGCGCTCTTTGACCGGCCCAGCGAATTCAATCATACTCGTGTGTCAGAAAACAGACAAAAGAAAAAACGAAGCCCGTTTTGCTTGAATCAACACCAGACCGACCAAACGATAAATATTTCTTTTTCCAACAATTTGCTCACAGAATGTACATATAAATTACAACCGATTTATCTTATTCCATTCCATAAAACATGTCCGATTATTATACTTCTTGTTCATTTTTTTTTCTCTTCTCTCGTTCACTGCCTTCTCAATCTCATAACAATACTGTAACTGTTTTTCTATCTTTTTCAATGCGAGAGTGAGAGAACGAGAGAGAAAGAGAGAAAAGGCAAAGAAAAAATAATGCACATTAAGACTTACGAAGCGGAACTATGGCAATAAACTCAATTCCACATTCATTTCCAAAGTTTTTGGTGAATTCTTTTGAAATAAGCAGCTACTTTTTTTCCAGACGCATTTTTCACATTGATGGATTCATGTGTCATTTGTCGAGTGTGGTGGCCATGGCAATGGCCCGAATTGGACTCATTGAATACAATTGCCAAAGACCTTGGTAACTACGTGCTATGAATTACATTCAAAGTAAACATTAAATCATTTAATAAAAAATATGAATGTTGTCTTGAAAACTCGAAAACATTGAATTATCATTTTGTGTAAATTGAAATGTTTATTCCAGACCATTCGGAAATCCGGTAAAATGCCATCGGAATCAAATACAATATGTATTTGTAGTTCGTAACAGCAAACATTTTCTCGTTAAACGAAAAAAAAAGGTTCATTTCGAAACCGTTTTCCGGCAATTCGGCATCGTCTTTTCTTTCAATTAACAATGCATCGGTTTAAACATGCTTAACTCCTTATCATTTAGTAATTTATATGTGGTTAGCAATGAGACACATTCCACAAACGCCATCAATTCATGTTCATTTGAATCGATTTTAATTCAATTTGAAACCTGTCCGAAATGAAAAAAGAAGAAAAAAGAAACACACGCAAGCCAATCTCAAGTCATTCGTCAGTTACATTGCTACCGCTTTTATCCAATTTCACACCACATAAACATAAACATACATACTGTATTTTCGAGTATCGTTGTCGACGTCGTCAATAACATTCCACAATGAAAGATCATAATCATCCCGTCTTCTTACCGTACTAAAATCTATAGAAACATTGAAAAGGTATTTATATAAAAAATGATGATGATCGAAGAAAGAGAATGCGAATGGAATGCAGACCAAGCAATTCACTCTGCAAGATAATTATGAAGAAGACGAAAAAAACGTCGAAGAAAATAAAATTGTATTCCATCGGTTAGTAATGTCAAGGATACTCGTCATATAAACACAAAGAGATACTTCTTCTTCGTTTTCTTTTCATAAATGAGATATTTATGATTCATTACTGTTGTTGCGACGTCTGAATGGATTGAAGTTGTATTTGGTGTCGATCATATGAATTCAACATTTTATTTTGAACATTTATTGTACAGAGAGTACAAAGAGTGTCTGTCGCATCGAAAATGCATTAGTTTTTGATATCTTCGATGATTTCTGATCGCATTCCATTGGGATCTCTTACTTGAAATGAACTTGAAGAAGAAGAAGAAAAAAATTGTCATTGATTTGAGATGAAACAAATAGAAAATTCTTAAAAAGCTACAAAATGACTAGATATGAGGCGAGTATACATGCACTACTCTTGCATACGCGCACACGCTCTCTGGCATTTTTGAATCTGAATATAATAGAAGAAGAATAAAAGCGGATTAAGAGAGTGAGACATGTGAAAACATTTGCAGTAATTTAATTTTATAGTGAGAATTCTTCACATTTGTTTGTGGCGTTTTTTCCCTTCTTCATCATCATCTTCTTTTTCTCTCTTTTATTTAATGCTTCAGATACCACGGAATTCCGTTGCATTGCAAATTCTTTTCGTGCGCATTTAATGCAGATTGTTATTGAATGTTCATATATGTTTTCAACAAGTCATATCATCACATTCTCTTTTTCTCTCTCGTTTCTTCTTATTAACAAAATCATTTTCATAAATATTGACGCTTCATACACCTGCTTATAATTGAAGAACAGCAAAAATAACACGCACAAACAATTTTTCAGTTGAATTTTCACCCGAAATACGTCAATATAATAAGTTCTTATTTTATTAATAACAAACCGGCAACAAAATGCGCGCATATACATGAATATATCATTGCGGATTATGGAGTAAAAAAATCACCCGTTAAGCGAATAGTTGGTGTGTATGTGTGTATGTTTATCTCACCCATCGCCACATAGCATGCATTCCAACGATCGATTGGCCCGTTCTTGAATTGTCTCTATATGGGCAATATTTAGTTGTTGTCTTTTTCGCCGTGAGTATATGGAAATTCAATTGGCCAAAAGAATGTTTTGGTAGCAATCGTATATTGCAGAGAGTTGCTAGAAAAATCTCGAGATTGTGTTGCGCTAATTCATCTCACTCAACGAAAGAAATTCGCATAGATATCGAGTCACAGTGCAATGTACAGTCGTGTATGAGACATTTTGCACATCGCTCAACCAATGCAAAGCAAAACTGACAACATCGACCATATTACATTATGGGTATTAATTCATTGTTTGAAAATAAACAACCAGAGCAAAAACATTCGACTCGAGATAACACACCATTTTGGTAACATAAACAGTCTCTTTTTTTTTTGTTTCGCCAAAATAAATAACAATTCCCGAAATTTCGCATGAATTTTTGTTTCGAACGGAAAACGCACGCTTTTAACAAAATCAACAAATAAATAACCAATACAGTTAATGATAATAAAGTGCAGACCATACCGTTCTCGAGACACAGACAAAAACAAATCGACGCGTGTTTTTCGTTTAGTTTTAAGAGAGGAAAAAGTTCAATTGCTTCAGGCACAAATACATTTTACACGCTTTATTCAAACACATACAACGCTGTTATACAGTAAACAGCTTTATATCTTTTTTATGGATTATTGAACTATTTTGGATAATTTGGTATTCTCTTCTGTTTACAGCCTCAACATCCAACGTTTAATTGCAATGGAATCGGCACTCGAAGTATTGTCACGAGCAGCGACTATGGTTAACACCAATAGCGGTATGTAATTTTTTTAAAAATTTCTTTTGAATTTAATATAAGGGGACTTTGTTCATTTCTTTTAAATTTTCGATAAATTCAAAAAAAAAAAAAAACGATACAATTAAAAAAAAAACATTTTTAATGAAAATGTACAAAATAAACTTGACTTCAATAATTTTGAAATTTATTCGATTCAATAAAATGCATTCAGTTTTATTTTCTAGAACTAAAAAAATGATTTGAAATGAAAATTTGATGTATTACAAGAAATTCAAAAATGATATCTTTCGACCAATCCTTTGAATGAAAAAAATTCTGACGACGACATGATTTAATTAAATTCTTAATAATATGAGATTTCTTCGGCTAAAATGATAGAAATTGAAACATAGGCGATAAAAATTAAATTACAATTAAAAACAAAATGAAGAACAAAGTCACAAAATAATTAAAATAAATCAAATAATATTAAAAATAAGTAGAAAAATAAATGGCACGTTATTTTCTTAAATTTTCCCCATAGATAATCGGATAACAATCAATAAGGAGTTGCCGACAACGAAATGGAGACGTGATCGTCGAATTCGACTGTCATCGGAGTATCATCACAGTAATCACAATCATGAGCCGATTGTGGGAACGGTGAAACCGTTAGGTGAATCGAATAGTTTAAGTGATAATAGCATGGAAATACCATTGGATATGTCTGTTGGATCATCGAAACCGCCGCCCCCTCCATATCGTGATCCGTTGCCCGGTTCAACATTTTGTACGACAATGTCCCGGCCGAGTGTAATCACACAGGCACCCAAACGTGAAGTTATTTCCAATCAAGAAAATAAACAAAGCCCGAAAAAGCCAATTGCTTTGTGCGATGACACCCCTGTGACTGGTATGACCTTTCAAAATAAAAATCCATTCTTGCTCGTTTTTTTGTATTATTTTTTTTTTAATTTAAATTTATTTTCGTTGTCCACTTCACAGACTCCATATCAATGGTCGATCCGGTAATTGATGAACACTTCCGACGATCGTTGGGCGCCGATTATATGAATCTCTTTGGAAAGCGATTAGATCAATTAAAAACAACGTCTTCAGCAACAGCCACAATAAGAAAATCACCTCAAGTATCGCCAGTTCAATCAGTTCAACAAAGTGATAGTATGCGTATAAAAGAGAGAGATGAAAGTAGCTCATCAAACCGTGATAGTGTTAAGGAAACAGTTGAAAATATCGAAATGTCGGTGGATGATCATTTTGCCAAGGCATTAGGCGACACCTGGAAGCAATTGCAACAAAATAATAAATCAACAACGCCTTCAACTGAATTGAATGATGAAAGTGATGTAAACAGTGATCCAGATAACGATTTCAATGCAAAAGACGATGGCAACGATGATGATGACGACGACGACGTCAGACGATCATCAAAAAAACCAGACGGTATAAATGACGACAGCTCCGAATCGCAAAGTCACCGATAAAAAAAAGACAAAAATGAAATTGCGATAAAAAAAATAACAACAAACAAATAACAACGTATATTTTCTACGAATAGAACTATTTTGATTTTAAATAAGTGTTATTTTTTTCATCAAATGGCAATAATTTCTACTTTTCTTTGGGAAAAACATATGAGAATGATCATAAATTTGTTGTATATTTATATATATTGTAAAAAGAAGCGAAGAGATTTTAAGATAAAAAAAAGAGATAGAGATTAACCAGAGCATGGGGGAAAAAAACCTTGGTGCTTGCATCAAATTTAAATGATGTATTTCTCCTGTTAATGGACGTCGATCGTAAATACTCTTCGTTCAAACAAGAATATATTTTTTTTTTCGTCTTTGCAACATGCATATAATTCCAACAACTTTTTTATTAGTAATATTTACTTAAACTGCAATTCAAATCTCTACGTTTTAAAATTAGGATTAGAAAAACGGAATTAATTTCGAGACAAAAAGAAAACCTGACAAAAGAAAATGTGTCAAAAATAAACCTTTGTTCATTAAGCTAATAATATCAGAGAGCCATGGAAATGACTCGCTCTATTTTATTTCGTTTCGTGCAAACATTTAATTCAAATGATAAGAATTATTTAGTGCGATTGAGATACAAAATGTAACAATGAAATGTTTTTATTTTATTATTATTATTTTTTTTTAATTTCAATTTTGTATATTTCGAAAAAATGTAAGAAAAATTTTAGAAAAAAAATCGTCACAATTTTTTTTTTTGTTTATTAAATTATCACATGATTCGCAAAAAGAATTTTCCAGTTTTTTTCTTCTCGATTTTCAAACGATAAAACTTTTTAGATGAAAATATTTGCTTTTCTTTACGGAATTTTCCACTGAACATTTTGAACGATAATGATTTTATGTCATTAAGTTTCATTTTCGAAGGTATTTGCGAATTTTTGGTTTTTCGAATTATGTCAATTATGGGAGTGTTGTTTTACGGTCGTAATGATTCAAGAAGCAAAAAATATCAAGTTTCAAACCCGGAGAGATGTTTAGCCGTTTTTTAATATATTTTTTTTCGCTCGATGAAAACTAAATAAATATTAAGAAACTGCTGGTAATATCTCTGCGAGGAAGAAACGTGTGTCAATAAATGTATAAAATTGAATACTTTTTTACCCGCTAAATTAATAAAAATCATTACTTTTTTTTTGCATTGCACAGCCATTTAAAATTCATTATGTGCTTTAAGAAAACAAATGACTTACTTTATTTTGATGATGTGGAGAAAAAAAAAATCGAAACGTTGATTGATTGTCGGTTGTGAATGCATCCGTAAAAGAACTGATTTCGAATGGTGCTAGAATTTAAATCAAAGTCATTATTGAGAAAATTTTGTCAACCCGCACAAAGATGTTTGAGGATTGAACACCTCAAAAATGTCTATTCCTCTATTCACCACTCGACCTCAGTTCTCAAATCGGACTGATTTGCCATGAATAAATTCGTAACATTCTGAATATTCTATCAGCGCACTTGAATTCAACCAATCGGAAAAAATTGTTGAGCAAATTTACATTTGATTTTCACTGATGTCGTCAAATTCGATTTGATAAGAGCAAAAGAAATAATACTTCCATATGAATTGATGAACAAAACTGTACTAATCGATTGGATTCTTAGTATCACTAACAGCCGCCCCAGTCGATATAGAAATGACGTTGCAACAAAATTCAAATGCCGATATCCACAATGACAAATAAACGAACTAACGAAATGAACGAATGAACAAACGAACAAAACAACAATAAAAAAAAATCGAACAAAAGTCAACTGAAACTCAAGTGTGGAAATTCTTTTGGTTTGCAGAAGCCCTAGCAGGGCATCAAAATAGTTGCAAGCGATGCAGTATGATTACCACTTTATACACTATGTATAAAGAGTAATTCTGTCTAAATACTGTTTAATACCGGATTTAATTAATTGAACATTGAATAGAAAATGAATAGGAAAAAAAACAAAATTAAAAAGAAAAAACAGTAAACGGAATTGAAAAAGCAATTTTCTCTTTTTTTTTAAAGAAGAATCTGAACAAATGTTCCTTTCAAAATTAAAATGTTTGTTGTTTGAAATGCGAAAATTCTAATTTTCTGAACTGAACGTCAAGACGATTCGCGGAATACTAACAATCTAGCTACCTGACTCTGGTTTACTTAAATCTAAAAAAATCAGTTACAGCTGATGACTTTTTTTTTCATCATCTGTGCTATTGTTCAGTTGACAATGCGACAGTGAGTGTCGATGAAAAAAAAAAGAATAAGAAGCACATACAAAGACGACTGAATGCCCCGTTTGCTGGACATATGAGTAAAAAGACACCAGTTTCCATTGCAAATATACAAACAATAATCAAATCTATGAGCGTTCAGCACCATTGAGATGAAAGGGCACATGAAAACGTATAGTATTAGAATGTGCTGTGTTTGTATCGCTTTTTTTCTTCTCTTTTTTTTGGCTACATCGTCTCTGATTTGATTTAATACTTGTTGTGGTCGTTTGGTGTCTCAGTAAATAAAAGAACTAGATGAATGCGTAAACATGTGGAAACTGGAGAAGATTTAGACATCAAATACTGGCTGCCATCATCTCGGTAAGTGCACAGATCAGTGACGGGGGTATAAATTTTTGTGTTGTTGTTGGTGTTGCCACCGATTGCGGTGTAAACGGTGCAAATCTAAACATCAATTGCAACTGCTCAACTCACCGATTTGAATTGGCATACCTTTCGGAATGCTATGGCCTCAACCGACCGCATTGTTTTGCATGTGTTTCTGGCCTAGTTTGCATCAAGATTCAAAGTGTCTTTGTCTATCTCTCAATTGAACGCAACAAATTTTTTTTTTTTTTGAAATTTGATATGCTCAACTCAATATGATATGAGCACGCACACACAATCGCATGATGCACTCATACAAAAAAAAATATGGAGAGCGACACACACGCGCGCAAATACAATCGACAAATGAGTTGTGCATTTCAAAACGGATTCGGCCACATTCGATACGCGGTCACAACAATAAATACACTAACGGGGATCCATTTTAAATTAAACATCACATTTCGGCCTTTCGCATTCTCGCGTCAGTTTTAAATCTCACATTTAATTTAACACACATTTAAATTCATTTCCTTGCTCAAGCAATGGATACCTCTGTCCTATATCGATAGACATTATTGTTGTTGTTGCCATTGCTTTGCATTTTCCATCATTCGTTATTCTCAGCTTTGTTTGTTTTATTTTCAATTTGGATTTTATTGACGACAACGACGACGACGACTGAATGCATTCAGAAATGTGTAATTCAATCGCTTCGGTTGGTTTCAGAATCACTATTTCAAAATTTATTCACGCAATCTCAATCTCATTGACATGATGCAAACAACAGTCAACAAAAACTTTATTACAAATCAAATAAAACACACGTATCATTTTGTTGAATAGTGAAAAACGTTCGCTTTATTCACAATTTAAATGAAACAAAAGAGTGAAAAAGAAACAACAATTTTTTTTTGTTGGATTCAATCCATTTATCAAATACTTCATGGAATATAAAGAAAATGGTGATGATGGTGTGGCGGAGACATTTTCAATCGATGTAAACTATTTTTCGAGTAGTTCATCGATTTTTGGTGCAATTTGAAGTGGTGATGTTGGCGAGTTAAAACGTTCAACCACTTCACCATTTTTGTCAACCAAAAATTTGACAAAATTCCACTTGACATTAATGCCATCGCCTTGTTTTTGTCTTAAAAATACGTACAATGGTGCCGCATCCTTGCCGTTTACGTTACATTTTTGAAAAACTTCACCAACATTGACATCACGTTTTTCCAAATGTGCCATCATCTCATCACCATCCATCAGTGGCATTTGACCACCGAATTGATTGCATGGGAATGACAAGATTTTAACATCTAAAAATTTAAACGAAAATGAAATATTATGTAAAAAAAAATCGCTTGTTCGGTGTCCAATTTGATCGACAAACCTTTATTTTTGTACTTCTTCTGCAATTCGTCCAATTCTTCGTAATTTTTCTTTGTATATCCACAACGTGCGGCAATGTTAACAATGAGCAATACTTGACCTTTGTACTTTGCCAATGGCACATCATTACCGAACGTATCTTTTACAACAAAATCGTAAATTGAATTTGCATCGGAAATAGACTTATCGTCTGGTGTGACATCGTTTGCTTTGGCTTTTGACTTTTTCGGTACTTTGGCCGTTGTACTGTCAGCCGATGCTTTTGTAGTTGCAGGTCTTTTTGGAGCCTTTATGCTCTTAGCTGCCGATGTGTCACCATTTGCTTTTGATGGTACTGTATCAGTTGGGTTCAACTGAAAATAAATAAAAAGAAAGCAACAAACAAACATTTTAAACCGGATGAACACATTTTCTTAAGTAAAAGATACATTGTAATCGTGTTGTGTATGTTTTTCCTGCATTTTTTTGATAGTCAATCGAACGTAACAGGTAAAACTGATCGAATACCTCCAAGACACTTACCAAGTTATACATAATATTTTCGACTGAAATGGTGCAGAAATCATACTCCACATTACGCTTATGGATTACTCAATTTACTGGCACAAAGGAAGACGATCATCAAATTGACAGATTCCATTTTACTGTGATCAAGTCTCAAACCACATCACACCAATAGTTACACGCAATTCATTTAAGGAAAATATGAATGCACAATAAAATTAGACAAAAAAAGATCAACAAAACAAGCAAAGTTTACCTTCTTTGATCGGTTTCTGGTCATCATTTTGGAAACTGATTTTTATCGTTCGAGTCGCTCGTGAAATAAGAAGAAATAAAATGTTTACCAAGACGAATCCTTTTACGCACTGATTTTACCGGTTCACTGTGGCTTGTATAAAGCCAAATGCATTACAAGAACGCGCGGAAATAATGTCAGAACTACTTCAATGCTTAAGTACGAAAGATTGCTTTTATTTTGACATATTTCTATTTTGTTGAAGTTTGAATGAAATAAACATGAAATTTGAATAATACAATGACCTGAGAAGAGAATTTGAGATGCTTACTAATTTTATATCTATAAAAGAATTAATTTTATTTTGATTTTTATCATGATTTCGTAATTTTTTTCCGATTTGGTAAGAAAAAAAATACGTTCAAAGATTTTCATTTTGATTACTTTAGGTAATTTTTTGTATTTTAAATATTATATGTGGAAGATTTTAATACATACCGTTTTATTTCTACATCGTACCAATAAAAAATGACGAAATTCGAAAGTATTTAAGGAATTAAAGTTTTCAAATAAATTCATCTCATACAAGCTCGAAAATATTGAGTTATTTTGAAGAAAGATGGAAAATTATTGAAAAATTCTTGCTTTTCAATGTTTAAAATAGAATGGATATAGTCAAAAATAAAAAAATAAAAAATAAATAAATAATACTTGGTTTTGTACTTATGCATGAATTTTAATTAATTTTTTGTTGTTGCTTTTATTAAAAAACTGAATTTTATTTCGTTACTGAGTTTGTCCACCCAAATCGAATTGATCGAAATTTCGAGACACAATACAAATGATTAAATTCAATGGCATCGCACTGTCAACAAAATCTTCGGCCTTCAATTTACTTCGAACACGATGACATGTTTTGCTTATTTTTCGTAGTGAATTTAGAAGATTCGGTTCGCATGGCAGACGCAAACAACATAATGAACAATAAACCCATTGTGGAAACCAGTTTCTATTGGTCAAATACCAATCGAGATCATCGACAAGCCAATTTGATTGGTACTCGATTACTAGTTCCAAGTCTCGTTGATTTATGTGAAGCATATTATTCAATAGTGGTTCTTTATTTTGGCAATACTCCAACCATGATTCTTCGGTGTTATCGTTGGGCAGTTCAGCATGCTCATAGTCTGATCGAAAAGTTTGACGGATGTTTGTTATGCGATCATGCAACTTTTGAAATGAATATGATTGTAGTTGAAGCCATTCGGTTGTTGGCAAGAGAGATTTTGGTGTTTGATCTGCTAATGGTACCTGAAATATAATTATGAATTCTTAAACGTTTCGAAATCGTTACAGTACAAATCGAATTGTGCGACGGGAATTTGTGATAAATGCATCATCGAAATACTAACCTCAGCATACTGATCCCAAACGGATCGTCCTGCTTTTGAGTCCATTGTTGTGTTGCAGTCAGGTTCAACGATTTTCCTCACAGGCCTTACAACAACAGCGGGACATTTTTTCCGCTCATAAATGACGCTCTGTAAATACTGTTCACCGTCGACGGGCACCTGATTTGGATCATATTCGTCGGTTGGCATATTAAAACAAAAGGCTGGCTGCTGAAATGAATCCATTTTTCATTCGAAATTTTGAAACAAACACAAATCACACCAAGATATGTTGGTGCACTTAAAATTAGGTAAACACAATCGAAATCTGTCTTTGTGATTTCGTTTGACAGGTCTGAGACTAGGAATTTTAAAAAAAAATCCACTAGAGGTCGTTGTTGGTACTATTGAATAAGTAAAACCATTCATTTTGAATTTTTTTCTCTTACCATTGTATTTTATTTTCATTTCGAATACTTGCGTTGAAAATTTTTCTACATTTTTCGCTTTCTCTTTGCATTTTTATACTTTGAATTTTTTTGGTTGAAAATTCGTCTGTTCAATTTTCTTATCGTTTCAATAAAAAAAAGCGCAAAGAATAAATTTCGACATTGATAGAAAAACAAAATGCGATTTAAACCGTCCATCCGTCTTCATCCTTATAATAAAAAATGGGCTTGTTATTGACCTTTTCACCGTATACATAAAAAATGGTGTCTAAAACGAGCTGTTGTATTAAATCAACTTTGTCGGCTGGGCAATAATCATCTTCCGATGACCTTGATATTGTAATTATCGATGGTGTATAGCGAAATGTTTCTAAAAATCGCTTAAAACTGGCTATAAGCTGATTAATTTCATGTTCATTTGAAATATGGTGTGGTAGTTCATTTGAATCAAATGTGCAACCAGCATCGAATATCGTTCGCCATTCAATTACATTGTTTGGATGTTTTTCTTTAACTTTTTGCACCAAATTTTTTATTTGACTTTTATATTTTGTCAATGTGTTTGGCATGCAAATATTTTCGATATCGATATGGTCGTCGAGTTGTTGAAAAATGTCTTGCAAATCGTCTAAAAAATTGGACCGTTCTGTTGTGAAGGTGGCCAATTCATTTTCGTTTGATGACGTTGTCATGGTATCAAAAGCTTCATCAAAAAAATTCCCTTTGAACAAATGCTTTAGATCTTCATAAACTTGTTCGTGTAACATTTTTTTAAATGGATTAGCCGTGCTGAAAAAATCTAAATCGATATCTAATATAAATTGTTCGTTGTCCGTATCAGCGCAATTTTGAAATTCAACACAGCGAAAATCTTCCATTGATGATGAGTGCGACTGCTGTTGACCGCTTATCAATTGTTCATTTAGCGTAAATACACGAAGATTAACTAAACGTTGATTATTTAAATTATATTTTGGTTGATATGTGCCCTCTGATAAGAAATATTCAAGTGATGAATCACATCGAATATGTCCGGCATGGTCGCCAATCGAAAATTCATAGTCGCCGTCATTAATTTGATTGGCCCAGTGTGGCTTCATCCAAATCAATTGATCAATATGACCGGCATACACTGTTGGCATTAGCCAATTTTCAATCGAAACGGTGTTCAATAATTTATCTTTGTCGCGCACAAATTCGGCTGGCATCGATTTTGGTATGGTCATATCGGGATGACTGTCGAAATGAAGAATTTTGTTAGCGGTAAATGGAATTCGTCGTGCGCCCAGACAACGATAAATGTAACGAAGCACATCGTTATGATCTTCAACCACGAAAATCGGAACTTTTTCAAATGGGCGTAGATTATTGATCGTTTTGCTGCCACTGCTGCTGTTGGCGGTGGTTGTTTTGTTTTTTCCACTCTTATCATTTTTTACAGACAACATCTCAGTACAGTGCTTAATCTGTCTCGCTGTTTTCTTGTGTTCGCCTAGAAAGAAAAACACGTACAAGTAAATATTTGTGAAGAAATAAAAGAAGAACACGAAAATAAAGAAAACAATCCCTGATTAATGTAGGCTTGTTTGTGTGTCAGATTATCTGTATAAAATCTTAAACTTATAATATTTAGCGAAAATGTAATAACTTTTTTCTCATTCTCTCGCTATATCTATTCTAATTGGTGTTTGTTTTTCAATTTTCCATGTTAATTGGCTACACAAGCATTATGCTTGTTTATTTTTACAATTTCTCATTTTCCCTGAATTGTTTTTTTTTGCTCCTTCTATTTTTTTTACTGAACAGAAGATATAGATATATTTTTTATAATTGCTGTTGATTCAATTTCCTACATTTTGTATTTACTTTACTTTCACATTTCGATGGATCGTCAATTAGAATCGAGCAATTGAATTATTTCAGCTTTTATAACACGCAAAGGGTATGTATAGATTATGGTGCTCTGTTATGTATATTTTGTAACCAAGTGTTGAGCGAAGTCAAACGAAGGACGAAGAAAATTCTCTCATTTGGCCCACGCATATCGGTTGTGATTTCATTCATAAAAGGCAAAGAAGAAAATTATTTCTGTGTACGCTATTTACAGATAAAAACCAAATGGCACTTGGTATTTGGCACTTGAGCCTTGCGACACATTCATTCATTCATTCAGTACATACATATACAATCATCAATACACTGTTGTGTGAATGTATCGCGGCACCAGCACTAGCTAACGCTAAATAAATGGCATGTATTACATGCGGTACGGTGCACGAGATCCGGGGGAAAAAGGAGTGAATTGTATGGAGTTTCATTGATTATTTTTCCATGTACAAATGCGAAAATGTGTGCTCTTTCTGTACTGTTGTTGTGATATCGACTATATGATGAGTTAGAGTATAGTTGTTGTGCTGAATATAACGAAAAATCTAGTCATATATGCATATAACATATCTGAAAATCATTTCATCGTTTACAAAAAAGAAACCATCGCGTATGCGTATGCCATCAAATTGCTGATGTTCTCACTCTATTGTTTTTTACTCTTTTTTTCCAGTATGTTTGTTGTTCTTTTATTTCTTCAGCATCGCACATTTGTTTTGTTTCGACCAATATTCGGTGTATATTCAAAAATAAAAAGGGAACACATTGCGTAGGCGACACATTCTCTGTGTATGACCCGCCTGAAAATATTTCCGATACATAGCCAATTTAATTTGCAAAATTTGACCAAAAGTTCAATAAACTGAAATTAAATGAAGTCAATCGTTTTAAGATAGATCCGATTGACGGGCATTCAATTAACTATGACATTGAGTGTTCAACAAGGTTACCATTTCTTACATACGGGTAACATATTTGAACAGTCGATATGCGTGGGCGATGCTCACTAAGAGCTTTCTCTCAACAAAACTTTGGAGTCTCTCCGTCAGATTTTTTTTGTCGTCTCTACTATGCGACAGTTCTATTCTTTCTGATTATCTCCCGTTTCTTTCATGTATTCTCACTCATTCTACCATTGTGGTTATTGTTTTAAGCCAGGCTCGTATTTATAATATAATTTTGCTGTTTTTTTTTTCGGTCGTATTAAGCCTATTGTGAGCGAAGCTTTGGTATTCTATGACTGCCGAATCCTTACTCTGCCTCATTTGTTTGCAAATGATTTTTTCTGATTCTTATGTTCATAAAAATGTAGATACAGTCTGTCAATCAATCGCATTTGTAGCGTTATACAATTGAGCGACAGAATATTTTCTTATATGTATATGGCACACAATCTCATTTTTCCGAATCAATGCAGAGAGAAAGAGAGCGAGAAAGAAGAAAAATATAATTCACGAAATGATTGTGACACGGGAATAAAGCAATAGAGAGAGAGAGAGAGAGAGAGAGAGGTACTACATTCTGGGTACGTATGGGTATGTATGTATGGAATAGCATTCGTGAAAAGACAACAAAAACGACGAAATTTTTTTATGAATGAAATCACGCGCGCGTTTATTCGCAAATGATATTGAGGTGACACTCATTCAACTCTCTTCATAAAATTCAATGAGCTTAAATGCTCCACCATAATTAAAATATATTTTGGTAAATATATTTCATCTTCTTTGGATTTCTTGTTTGTTTAATTCATTGGTTCACCCGTTCGCCTAACAAAGAAGTATTTCGTATTAAATCCCCCACAACAATCGCTTTATTACGTCAAAACCCCGACTATCATATAATAAAAGCTGTAATAAAAACAACTCTTCAATGATAGAGAACGCGGGAGTGAACAGAAGTAAAAAACAGTGATGTGTCTTTTGTTGTTGTTGTTGTTGTTCAAATTCATTTGGTCGTCCGTTCGCATTCAAGTGATTCCGCTTTTGTATTTAAAACACTTTTGTTGAATTGAAAAATTTCATTCATGATATCGACTATATACAAGTGTATACATACACAAATGCACGATACAAATTCATTCATGGAATAAATTTCACCCTTGCTGTGTGTGCATAGGCACGCTCATTTTGCTATATATATATATTTATACATACGTACAATACAAAAATCTATCTGTATTTATATATCAATCCATATTCCGTTCATAATGATTCGCTGGTTAAGTTGGGGCCGTTCGCTCGTGACATACAACCAAAATTAGAGAGAACGAGCGGATTGTTTTGCTGTGGGCTTTATGGTATATTATTCGCTCTTGTTCTCATCGTATAATAAATGTGTCGTATATTTTCACGTGGGTGTGCACGACCAACATCATTTGCAATAGTATGTGAGCCAGAGAGATTGTTCGTTCGCACTCTCTGTATTATTTTTTTTCTTCTGTTGCAGCTTGTTAGCTTATTCCAATCAATCAAACGCACATAACTGTTATACATATAGCATACAAATATCGGTTTCTCTGTATAGCTTTGTTGGATTATATATTTCTTTTCGATAGCAAGTTTGTATGAATATCAATGCAGCATTTGTACGACAGTATAACTTTACTCTTGTGGTTGTTGCTGCTATTTTTAATCAACTTTAGTGAATGAAAACATTGACACTAGTATAATTCTGATATACAATAGGCTGAATAGTTTAAAAAGAAGACTGAACTTTAGGGATAAAATTGAAGATAGAAATAAAACACTCTCTCTCATACACATACACGCACACACAATGGGATGCAAGACGGCTTGAAATTATCGATTAAATGTGCTAGAACAAAGGCCTAAAAATAAACAAACAACTCAACAAAGTCACGTTGCTTTCGCCGCCACCGCTTCAATCTCATTCATATAGATAATGTTGGCTCATCAATATATTTAACATTTGAGCTTTTCGTGAAACCGGCCACTTGAATGAGACGGTGCCGTTTGCTTTTCTAAATCTTTATCGTGGGCATTTTTTCTTATTCGTGATTACGCATCCCTTATAAATGCTGCATAGCACCCAATCGATTTGGATGAACGAAAATCAGTTGAGTGGGATGAAATCATTTTCTCTCTAAATGAAGATTGAAACAAACAAGAATCACGTTTATTTCTCTGATTCTCTCTCTCTTCACATCTCTTTATTTAAGTTCAATAATAATGAATGTTGATGATGATGAAAGTGCTGGTGGCGATGACGACCATGATAACACAATTTAATTGTGACTCAAGCTCAATGTGACGATGAAATTTTCATATGAACACACAATTGATGTATATTTGGAGCGCCAATAATCGCATTATTGATTATACATTTGTACGATTCAACGGTCATGGTCAATAAACAAAACAGCGACCGATGTCATCTATAAAATGAATTTCATAAAAAAAAACTCCATGACAAAAAACCATTGGTTAGTCTCAAGTAATAAACTAAATTCTGTCAAAATGTGCGCTGACTTCCAAGTCATTGATAAAAAATTAACCTTTTTGCAACGCAAATAACAGCGTTGTGTGCGTGTGTGCGCGATTCTTTTCATTGGAAAGTGCCTACACACAAAACTCATTCACAAGATTTGGCAAAAAGGTGTATCTTTTTTCGCCTGCGGTGAAAACGTCAATCGTTGAGAAGGCGACCGATTCCGAAAATGATGTTTGATTCATTATTGCGTAAACAGTCTTCGGGCAAAAATGATTTTGATTGCGATTTTTTTGACGCAATTAAAAAGGAAACATCAGAGATGAGTCGATCAAATCACTTTGTCGAAATCAATTAAAAGCTTCAGTGTTACATCAATATTATGACAATATTTAATAATGTGAGAATTTTCGGATTTGCACGCCGGTGGCAATGTGCGAAACAAAACACTGCAGATTTAATAAATATACATATTCCATACTACCCAAAAAAAAGCATACGCATATGAATACAATCTATATAGCGGATAATTCACACTCAATCACACACATACAAACAAATTCACCACCCATGCTTCTGCTGCTGCTGCTGCTGCTGATCATATATAGCAGTACATAGCGGGCGTAGTGTGTTGCTTCCTGCGATTCAACAACACTATTTGGCGCGTTTTTTCTACTTTACCGCATTGATATATGAATGAAATTACGTCGACGCACACACAAATATTTGTATGTTGTTTCGAACTCCGTTCAACATATTCAAAAGGTTTTTACATACGGTATATTTCTTGCTTTTATGTGTAAATAATCTTACTTGAATTTCACGAAGAAAAGAAGAAGAAGAAGAAGGAGCAGAGAAAAAAAAACCACGTAAAATAAACAGGCACAACCAGAGATCAGAACAAATGTGCAAAAAAGAGAAATAATCAAACTGAAACACATAAATTAATTTATTTAAAGCTTGGTACGAGGAACAACGTCACTGAAATAATTAATATTTTATTGAGCCAATGAATTTCTCGTATCAGATGAGTTGATCTGTTTCCTGCTTAAATATCGGAATCATTTTCAAAAAAATGGAAATAAAATTTGAATAACTTTTGTCAAGTTGTAACAGGCCCAAAGGTCATTCAAGCTCACACTCTCCCTCTCTCCATGTCTGTATCTCTGGCAAAAATTCAACGAATCGATTTTTAAGTTTGTTCTATGTACTCTCTCTCTCTCTCTATTCAGAATGTATTTTTTTTTCTGTTCACTCGAAATTGAAAAGAAACAATAATATCGTTGGTTTGTTTTTCTAAAAATCCAGACCGACTATGCGAGAAGACTTGCACATTTCATTCTGGTTCTCATACATGCGATGTGTGTCTCATTTTGTGTACATTTCTTAGAAACTAGAAACGATGGCACAATTATGGGTGTATTGCACATTTCAAAAGATGTGATGTGCATTGTATGGCAATATGGAATGTGCAAAACGTTCAAAGATGAAAAATAAAATTGTGTGTGCGTTGAATGTAGTCGACGGTTGACTAGCTATTTGAGGTCGACTTGCATTGGTCATATCATTAAGATGAATTACAGTCATTCGTTTCTCTTGATTTGGTGAAAATAAAATCGTCTCACATCACACAAAACGCAAAAGAGTGCTTGAAATCGCGCCCGCTGTCGTTCGTTTGCTCTCTTTCTCTATATCTCTGTCTGTCTCACATAAATTTTGGTGTGTTTGTTGCGTACAAGTGCGCCACTCATCGACTACATCTGTGCAACGAACGTGATGTGTGTAGAAATTTAGTGCACTTTTAAGGTGTAGCATGTGTGTACAAAATGAAACACGAAACGCTGAGCATGAGAATGCAGCGACAATGACGACGACGACAACGCCAAGGGACTGTGTGTCTGATGAACGCAGCAAGAGGATACGCATCCGCAAACGTTATGTATAGAATATGTATCGTAATCACATTTTCAATGCACAGTACGCAGAGCGTAACAACCACAACTGCGATGTTGTTGTTGCTGTAGTTCATATTAGTTTGATTCAATAAGATTACGCAAAACTTGTTGTGATAGATGCTTGTCGTTACGGTGCGAGGAAAGGCGCGCTCTTTTCTATCTCTCTCTCCCTCTCTCTCTCTCTCTCTCTCTCTCTCTCTCTGTCTGTATGTGTAAGTGAGTTGCGTTTCCGAATCCATGCATGCCCGTCGATATACGGGGCGAATCCAGTGTGATAGACAGAGAAAGAGAAATTCGAAACTCAATGCTGCTGCTATTGACTGCGAGCGAACGAGTGTAGTGGTTCATATCAAACAGTACGATGGAACGCGAAAAGTACGTGCCTAATATCTGTGTATGCGTGCCTGCATGCCTATGGTCGTATGCTCTGTCTCTCTTGTTATGAACAGAACACATTTTTCTATTTGATATTCTCTCTGTGTTTAATGTTAATCGAAACTTCGATGAGTGTGGATCGCGCGTGCTATGTTTGTATATCATAAATAAAAATCCTATTGTATGTTTTTGTTTTTATTATTTCGTTATATACACGATATTATTATTATTATTTTATTGTTTTCATTTTTTTTCGCCACATTTCCACATCATCGAACAACAACAGCAATATTTTAGTGCTCATCGCATTTAATTCAGTTGATTGTTTTTCATTTCATTTTTTCTCGCACTCAAATCTTTCAAATGTGTGTGAGAAAGAGAGAGAAGAAAACCCATTGAGAAGAAGTGAAAAAAAAACACACATATTTTCTTCAAGTTGTTGATGTTTTGTTTGCGTATGGTGGGAATTAGTGCGTTTTTATTTTGTTGATTCAAAAGATGAAAAATGCTCGGTATGGTTCAATTGTTCATTAATATCGCGCCACAAAATAAAAACAAATGCACATTCTGCATTGATGAATGGAACGGACCAACAAAATAATAACAAACTCGCACCACAGTGAAATATACAATGTGTGTTTGCGAGGAAAAGTGTGAATTGAAATAAAAAAAAAAATTGAAATAAAATTCAATCGAACGAAATTAACTTACAATTCAAAAAATATTTATCAAAACTAAAAGTGTGTTTTCTTTCTTTCTTTCAGTGTTATTGTATTTTCAACGAACGTGAATTATTAGTGAACAATGCTAAGCATCGCCAAGACTAGTGTTTCGTGTATTTATATACCGATGTTAAATGTAAAAGAACAAACATTTCAACAAATCGCATTTGACCAAAGATAGAGCACATACACGCACACATCATAGATCCACACACACACACACACAAACACACAGACACATTGAATTTGCTGGGTTTCAGTCTAACTCGGTAATTTCTTGGATGTTTGCCTTCTCATTTCATACCGATATATATATTTTGTTGTACATACTATAATCCGTCAGTGAAAAGGAAATCGAGACGAAAAAGATAGTAAAGAAAACGACCGACACGAAAGAGAGAAAGACATTATGTTAACGTTTAGTGAAAGAATTGTTGCTTTTATTATCGGTGTATTAGTAGGTGCGTTATTCGATGTGTTTTTGATTATTTTGTTAAAACAATGTTCTACTCGCTATTCTAAACCGCATGTTTTAAGCCACCGACAAGAAGAGGAGGCAAAAAAAATATTATGAATAAACAACACATTGATGAACAATGAACTGAAGATTTTTGTGAATTGATGACGAAATTCGTTCGTTATGTTTTTCCGTTGAAACAGAACAAAACCAAATAAAAATAAACGAATATATAGTAGCGGCAACCGAAAAAAAAATAATGTTCTTATGTATACAGAATGGATGGCAGAAGTGAACCAAATTAAATAAATGAAACAACCAAAATAATCGAGTGAATGTACACAGAGGAAATCTCGTGAGATTGCAATTACGACGAAAACGGCAAGAAAACGCAAAAAATCAGCGCGTACTGAGAAAAAAGCTCAGCATTTTTTGATGATTATAATTGGGTGAAATAAACAACAGAATTTCGATTTTCATTTTTTGAACAAGATAAAGAGACACACACACACACATAAATAATTTAAACAATAACTCACATCGACGACTCTTGATATATATATATTCCGCTGATTCAATCACAAAATCGTAATTTTTTTTTCTGCGAAATTGACATGCACATACCAATACAAATGCGAACGGTTCAAATAGAATGTAATACAGGAAGCTCTTGTTGAGCCCGCGATGAGTGAACATGTCTAGAATAATGTGCGAGAAACATTGCTCCCGTTGAAAATTGAATACGAACGAACAAAAAAAAATCAGCCAACAACAACAATAGCAAAAGAAGAACGAAGAGCAGCGAGAACGCGAGCAACAGCAGTGCGGCGAAAAACACGAAGAGTGCATGTGAATAATAAATATATATATACATAGAGTGAAGGAGCCAGCGTGTGTGAGTGAAGGAGACAGAAAACGAGAGATACAAATTATAATCGGACTCGCAAAGACACACAAAAAAAACAAGAATTAAAAAAAACGTAGCAACAGATCAACAGCCAATGAAGTATATTGAATCGAATTAAACAAAAAGAAGAATAAAAAACACTACGAAAAGGAAAAGAAACGTTTACAAAAAAAATATATATATATAGCAGATTTGAAGCACTTTCAATATTTTAATTTATGCCGACGCGAATTTTTACACACTATCGATGGTTGTGACAGTGCAATTCACATTTCGACTACTCTAGAGAGAAACAACATAGCAAAAAAAAAGATATCTATATTTATATATGATTTATATATTTGTAAAAACAACAACAACAACAACAAAGACAGCAGGAATAGTATGATAGTGCAAAACCAAAAATTGCATGGCCAAACACAACACCACGATTCAAATTTGAACTAAGAAAAACACTTACGCAGAAAAACACAACGACTCAATAAGACAAGTAGCCAACATACAATTTTAATTTTGTTTTCTCTTGCACATACACACACACACAATTGAAGACAGTGAAATATTAAAATTGCATTAAACGCAAAATTTGAGTCACGCTTACCTGAGAATAGTAGCCAACGTAATTGAAATAGTTTCAACGAATTTAATTGCTGCGTTTTTCGACTGTATGTCTAGTGAGATATTCTTCAAGTGGAACTTGGACCAATTCGATAGATTATCCGCGCGCCGTTCTTAATAAAGGAAAAGTAGAGAGTAAGAGAGAAAAAGAAAACACAAACGAAACGTAACAATGCCCGAACACAATATGGATGCTGTATCGAAGGAATGGCTTCAATCCGAATTGAGATCGCCTACGAAATCGTTGATTGTTTTAGATTGTCGTAGTTCAAATGAGTTCCAAGAAGGTCACATACGATCGGCCGTCAATTTTTCCATACCTAGTTTAATTTTAAAACGTTTGGCAACTGGTAAAATTGATTTAACATCAACGATTAAATGCCGTGATCTAAAGCAACGCATTCAAAGCGCATACAGCGACAGTTTATTTGTTCTATACAACGATGTAAGTAATGATATTTAAAGAAATTATTTCTTGTGTTTTTTTTTCGGTTTAAAAAAAATTGAATTGAATTTATGTTACTTTTAATTGTAAACGAAATTTTTGAAAAAATCTTTTTCTTGTACACGCACACACTGTGAATATGGCCGGCTATGACAAACACGAAACAAGAATCCGAAGAAAAATTTATACGAAACGTGTGTGTTGACGTTTTAGTTTTTGTTTTTGCCGAATTATATTATGCGAACGTATATATGTGTGTGTATGAGCAACAACGGTTTCATTCATTTGATAAATAAGATCAAATACATACATAAGCATCAACTTTAAAATTACGTCTATACCGGGACGTTTGCAATTCTCTCATCTTCTTTTTTTTTGTTCGTTCATTTCGAATGTGATGAAGAACACAGCATAAAAAGAAAACCGTGCTGTGTCACATTCATTTCTCTTTAATTTCAATGTAATTTTTCCATTAGGTTACGACAACCGCTACCAAAACGAGTACATCGGACAAAGCAGCAACAGCAACGGCCAGCATTGATTCAAATGCAATTACAAATTCCGTTGAATCGAACGCAAACAGTAGTGATGCGACTACAATCAACGTGCTGCATCGTCGACTCAAACAAGATGGCTGCTCGGTTTATTGGCTCAAAGGTAATCAAATACATACAGTATGACTCTCTACTCACACTTACAGCAACAGCAAACAACAAAATCCGTGTGTAAGGCACCGAAACGCACTATTGAATTGTGTTCTTGTTGTGTCTTATTATTATTTTTTTCTTTTGTTGTTGTTACTGCTTTTTCTTCACATTGTATTTGTTTCTCGCTCATTCTATCATGCTCGTTATGTCTTCGCTCGAGCGTTTATTGTGACTTGACTTTGTGTAGTCGTCGTCGTCGTTCACGGTGTTTGCCATCGTACAGAACGAAAGAGCGAAATAAAAAGATAAATAAACACATCGTTTAGCAAGCATATACACGCACATTATGCGCTCGCTATCAGCAAATTGAATACATGAATCGTGGAGCAAATGAGGAGAGGTAGGTAGGAGCCGTATGCGCATTTGAACCAGAAAATGCTCAAAGAAAAATGTGCGTTGTCGATTGCATTTGGTGTAATCGGAGAAACACTGTCGACTGTTGGTGTTTTTTTCTTACTTCTCCCATTTCCCCGATTCGATGTGTCTGTGCCATTGCCATTTAGCAAACGCTTTTGTTAATTCGATATGTGCGACAAATCGTTTTTTATTTTTCAGGAATTTTCTATATGACAAACAAAAACAAAAAAATCAATGAGTTCGATGATACGCAGAGTTTTTATTATTTGTCCGAATCGTTCATATCCGCTAGCATAAATTGTGCCTTATCAATGAAATAAAGCGAAAACCACCATTACGTGCGGCGATCGCATGCTGAAACCAATGAAACTTTTGCTTTTTTTCTTCATTCTCATCCCGTCGCCGTCTTCATATAATTTTTTTTTTTTGCTCTCGCCCCAATTTCTTGCGTATACGAGCTGTACGAAGGTTAGAAATTACTCGTCAAGTACCAATTCTGCCAATTTCTTCTGTCTAACTGTAGGCCATAGATATTACATTTTATTTTCATCTCCAATTCAATAGTAGTACGCACGTTTTTGTTCTCACTCCCAATTAAATGGGTCATTTGCTCTGATTACAAGCTCGCTTGCTATATTAGTTTTTGTTGCTGTCATTTTTCCATTCCAAATGTCATGTTCTGTATAGAATTCTACCATTTCGTATTTCACATTATAGCGCTTTGTATCGGTTGTGCGATAGAGAAGAGACTGCCTGCTGCTATATCAATATAGCATAATTGCTTGCAGATTGTCAAAGCGGAACGGCAACAATATCACTAAAAAATATGCTCCGGATATATACATATACAACCGATGAAATAATAAAGTACATTAGTGTACTGTGGTTGAGTCATTCGGTTGGGTGTCATGAAAACGAAGGTCAAGAACATGCTTGATGATTAAACACGCGCGTTCACTATATTGACTAGATCGAAAACGGCAAGAGAAAGCTTGCAAGCAAAAAAAACCAGGAGAATGAGAGTAAAATCGATTTTGTTGAGCTGGAAACTGTTCAAACTGATCGATTCTCGATAGATTTCTTTCTCGAATTTATTTTGGCTCAAAAATAATTATTACACAATCAGAGACGGTCGTCTTTGTCGTGTGTTTAGTACAATAATACATGAGGCTTAAACACTTAGCTTGTGTTGTAACGATATCGAACGGATATTTGTGGTTTTAAGATTGCTAAAATGGATAAAATTCCAATTTATCGATAAAGTTTTCTGTTGAATCCAATATGTTCAATGTTTGTTATTTAATGTTTGTACAGAACAAATAATAACAGCCAAGCCAGAGAACGTGAAACGAAAATATGATATAAAGTACGAGCATTGAGAGAGAGAGTAGGAGAGAGCGTTAACATGTTTAAAGTCCAAGCATATGCAGCATAGAATTTATTGCGGTAAAGTAAAAACATTTACACACAAATGATGAGTGTGAAAGCCAGTGCCAGGCAAAAAGGGACACACAAGAACCACACCAACGAAATGAATACGAACAAAACAAATTTTTACCGTGGTCAAGGTTAGATCAAGTACTAGTCGGATATGTTGTACTTTTTCGAATGTGCATATACATAACGCTCAACGCTAGTGCTAGTCTATATGTATATATGAATCACGCGCGTTCTCAAACATGAACAAGACAAGAATGAAAATAATGATAATAATAACAAGAACCTTGCAACATTGAAGAGAAAACCATTTTCGCAAGCGCGAGAACATTCCAATGTATCGGATGCATCGAGTTTCAATGCGTTTGTGCGTTGCACATTTTTGTGCGTATCCATTACATTGCCGACATCGGTGACGACGACGACGACGACGACTCCGTCGATACAGAACCCTTTTGTAACACAATAATAAGTATACAATTCTCTACTTCTGCTTCTACTGCTGTTGCTCATTATGAAATACTTCTGACAAGTTCAATGAATTGCACAAAGCGATAATATTGGAATATATCGCGTTCCACAAAGCAATAACACCATTGATGTGACCAAACACTTTACCCATGGGAATACATTCATGTTTGCTCATGTTTTTCTGTTTGTGTGTACCTTTTTTTCTCTTTCTTCATTCGTATTCATCGGTCGCATTACACACAATGGAATAAAAATACACTTATGAATTGAATTTCTCATTGTTTCTTGTATGTTATTCTTTTTTTTTCTGTTTTGTCTTCGGCCAAATGTTATTCTTATATTAAATTTTAATAAATTGTTGTTGTTTTTCTTTTGTTCGATGTTTCCATTTGGATGCTTAGACGGGTTTGCAAGTTTCCGCGAAACATTTCCCGAGTGGTGTGAGGACGACAGTGTCTCATCGACGGAAAGTGCAAAAAGTCATGGTACCAATCATTCAGAACCATTGATGGGATTGAGGTATTTGACCGTTCATATTCATCAAAATGCGAAAACTTTGCTCAAAGTAATTGCGAACGATTCTCTTTTTTTTCTCTTTTGGTTTTAGGTCTCTCCGAATTTCAATACCATATTCGGATTCGGTGTGCAGCAGTTCGGCTGAATCATCGGATTGTGAAGGTTCAACGTATCCACAATCAGATGCACCCACTGAAATAATTCCAGGGCTATTTTTAGGCAATGCATCGCACAGCGAAGACTTGAAAGCATTACAATGCTATAACATCAAATATATTCTGAATGTGACGCCCGATCTTCCAAATCATTTTGAAAACACAACAGAAATTAAATATTTACAAATTCCAATCACCGACCATGGTTCACAGGATTTATCCATGTATTTTCCAACTGCCATCAAATTTATTGGTAAATGAATATTAATTATTCGCTTTCTCGTTCTCTGTTTATTCCCCGTTAATAGCTTGATATATAATGTGAATTCTTTCGTTATGTGTGTGTGTGTTTTTTTCTTCTTCAATTCTTGCTAGATGAAGCGCGAAGAAATGATTCGGCTGTGCTGGTGCATTGTTTGGCTGGTGTATCGCGTTCGGTAACCGTAACGCTGGCCTATTTAATGCATTCACGTTTATTGAATTTCGAAGAGGCATTTGCATTGGTGCGTTTACGTAAGCCAGACATATCGCCAAATTTCCATTTTTTGCGTCAGCTCCATGCATTTGAGCGTCAATTAATGGAAGAGAATCCAAGCCGAACACCACAATCGGCACAATCAACCGATTCCGTGTATTCAGATTGTTGTGGATGTTCATTATCATCGCCGGGTCCAGTTGTGCCACCATTCCATCATAATCGTCCACATCAGACGCTGCAACAGCAATTAATATGCCAAAAACATTACAACCAAATCGGTGTGTCACCCGATTCCGGTATCGAATTTGACCGCTGGACATCGGCCGATAGTACGCCAAAATGAGATAAACTTACAAAGCGTTTCGCTTTGCCATCAATCGAAGATGCATCAACCGTAACAGCGGCTGACATCGAACAGCGAGACCCAAAGTAAAAAATGTAGAATTTTCTCAGTAAGTCATGTCAAAAGAAAAGAAAAAATCGACATTGCGTGCTTACTTACATTTTTTGAGGCCAAACTGGCAACGGTTGAAATAAATGTTTCGGATTTCAAAGTGGATTTTGTAATTTCGTTTGGACACATTTTTCAAAGAAATTTGGCCAGAATAAATTATTGGGTCATCAATCCCGTTTTGCATGTGAAATTTTTGAAAAATCCAATATTTTTGCTCGAATTTTTAAATGAATCAATTTTGAAAGGTTTCGCTCCAACTTTGATGGAAATTTATGTATTTTTTTTTTTTTTTTTTTTTTTTTGAAAATATCCACCTATACCATTTACGAAAGATGAAATTCATTTTCACATTCGAAACATTTGCAAAACAAAACGCTAGCAAATCACTTTTTTGACACAGTCATTTTTTTCTAAAGAAATTTAAAAAGTAACGTTTTTCCAGAATGTTCACCTGATGAATGTATTTAGTTTTAGTAAAATCAAAGAACAACAAAAAAAATTAAAATAATTTTCATTAATATTCCTATAATAAATAACACAATACTAAATGCGTGTGTTTAAAATAATGTGAAAATGTTGCAGAATACACACATACAAAATAAACAATTGAAAACTTAGTCCAAAGTGGCTGAAACCAAGCAAAACTGAATGTAAAAAAAAAAAGTTAATGAAAAAATCTATACTTAGAACATACAAGAACAAAATGCATAGAAATACAAATGGAAATGGTATTTTTTATACAGATTTAGGAACAAGAAAGACATACAAACGAAGAAAACAAATTATAAGCGAATAAGAAGAGAAAAAAAAATAACAACAAAATAACCACTTACTTTTTTCAATCTGCAGGGACTTATACTCTATATATTTTATAAATGTTCTCATAATTGAATGCGCTCGCGCAAGCACATACACACATACACTTACACAAAAAAAAACATTATATTATCAGACAGACACCGAATGAAAGAAAAAGCAAAATGCGATCGAAAATGAATTGAATGTAGCCTATATTTTTGTATCGGTAACATGAGATGAGTAAGAAACGAACACCCCAGTTGATAAATACATCTATATATATATATTTTCGAACAATTTGTATGTTTCTTTCGTTGTTCACTGTATTTTTAAAATTTATTCTTAAATTATTACACAAAACGAAATAACTTATTCAGTCAATTATAAAAAGAAAAGACTTTCCATTATCGTCGATCGGAAGAACATTTAGAATTCAACTCTTCGGTCTTTGACACGGTTTTATTTTCAGTTTGTACGCAATTTACAATTATAATAGCAATTTTGTTTTCATTGCATCGAATTAATGGTTTAAATAATTCATATTCCCTTCTTCGCTTAACAAAAGACATCGCCGATCGCACGATATATTCAACATTTAATCTCACTAATGTTATTAAAAGATAAAATAATATTTTTTTTCCTTCGATTCTACGTCAAGCGTGATTGAGCGATTTTACGTTTCGTAAAATTCCTGTAATTCTTGTAATTATTTGCTAATTAAATTTTCATCTTTGATATATATTCGGTGTATTTTTCGGTATTTTCGAAACATTTGTTAATTATATGTGTTGATTGACTCCCGAATTAAAGCAAATGAACAAAACAAAATATGAATGTTTAATTAGTCATTTGTTATGCATAAGAATGGTGTAATTTTTTCTTCGATTTTCTTCATCCTCAATTACAAATGATTGATATAAGACAAATAAAAAAACATGCTCCAGAATGACTTTGAAATAGAATCAATATTTTATTGACTGAGCACGGTCATAGGAAGTTGATATATACATTTTGAATAAGCATGGAAAAAAAAGAAAGTTTATAGAATAGCATTTGTGCATTGTTCCGAGAAAGAATAACAGACTTGTTTCGTTTGAATTAATTACGAGTAAATATGTGTGTATACGCGTGATTAAAAGAAGAGTGCAGCAAACCCCCCAGAGTGCCAAACTGTCTTCGCGCGGACATCACTAAAGCGATAATGTAGCCATAATAGATCTAATCTTTTACACAGTCTTATTTCTGACGACGAAATAATGAAACATTTTATAACAGAAAAAAGGCAAAACATGCAGTTGTTTTTATACGCGTTGATTTTAACAATTTAGCAAAACAAATAAACAAAGATAAAGAACACTGTTCACTATTTTCTATGCAAAAAAAAAAAAAAAACAAACATAAGAAATAAAAATCGAATTACCAAAAACAACTGTTTCACTACATAAATAATAACTCAAATGAAAAACAAAATGATATTAGATATTGTCAATAGCAAACAAAAATATAACAATGTTCATCATATTCATTTCTTTCGATATATTTGGAATTGCATTTTGATCAGATATATTACAAGTACAAATATTTTAACATATGCATTTGTTCAGACCCGGCTTGAAATTTTGGCAATTTTTTTAACGACAATACAAAACAAAAATCTCTCAATAAAATTTTTTTTAAGAAATTCATTCAAAAAGTAAATCATTCGAAAAATTGATTCCTTTGGGCGAATATTTCGACTTGTATACAGTTTAAGTTTATTAAGTGTTTATCTAAAATTGGTATACTTGAAATTGCATCAAATACGACTATTTTTCATGCGCTTATTAGTAGATTTGGGCTACACTCGATTTTTTGCGCACAACGGTTTTTATTGGGAGATTTTTTTTAAAAAAAAGTATTGACTTCAATAATTCAAGTTAAATGATCATGTTTTATTCGGGCTTAAGTTTGCACACTCAGAATATAATTTTTGTGTGCAAGGGTTGTTGTTGGCTCCTCAACCAAATTCGTTTAGGCCCACATGTAAACAAAATATAAATTGTCCAAATCGAAAAATACTTTGCCAAAAATTCGATCCAATGTGAGACAAATGAAAAAGATAAAAAAAAAAATCCCCGACTCGGTTCAATAGAGAAATATTTCAAATGGAATTCATGTTCGCAATTTATTTTTCCTAATCGGATTTGAATGTGATAAATTATAGACAACAAAAAAATTCTAATCTTTTTGAACACCACTTAAGTCACATCCTTTTGCACGACAAAAGAAATTTTCATCGTATGATTCTTTATTGTGTAAATTAAAGCGAAAAAGGCTTGAAATTAATAACTAAAACATGGAATTACATGTAGTTTGAATGTTAAATTTGTTCTCGATTATTTTTTTTTCTTGAATTTTATTCGTTATTAAAAAGAGACGGTTGCTTTCGACAATCTCAAGTTGGTAACTCTTTTGAATGTCTAATCTCGGAGCAAGAGACTTTTGACGAAAATAAAAATTCAGAAAATTTTAAATTTTACTCGTTGGCCATAAAATGAATGGAATACAAAAATATTGAACGCAAAAATATTGTTTAAATGTGTACGATTGGGGAATTAAAATTAGTGCAAAAAATTTAAGTAAAAAAGTAATCCATCAAAGAATGTGTATGAATTAAAGACTGAAAAATAAAAACACGAAGCATGCATGTGTGCGCGACGTACATTTTCGAAAATATGGATAACAAACCTACAACTTAGTGCAATCAAAGTCGTGTTAATAAATTTTTAGATGAGAAACAAAACAAAACAAAAAATGTACGCACAAAAGCACATGCATGCCAATTCGAACAGTGCTATTGATTATTTCCAAGTGAAAAATGAAACAAACACATTTGCAAATGGACGTAGTTAGTCAGATATTCATTTTCTTTTTTAGAGTTATTAACAGTATTTTAAAAGCAAACAAATGTGCCAGGAAATTTCCATTTTTAACAAAAACATTTTTCCTCTTGTTTCGAATCGAATTTCGTGTTACACTTCAAAAAAATCCCAAATGGAATTCAAGCGAAATTTTCGAACTTTATAAATGTGATTGTTTTTTTTTAAATCTATTTTTCGTTTTGTTCACAAAAGTCAGTGAAATATTTTTGACATAAAAAACGCCCAGATACATTTCTTTTACTTATTATTTTTTTGGTAAATGTTATTTTTCAAAACTCAAACATTATAAAAAATACTGTGTTAAGCTTGAATTAAAAAAAGGAATTTTATGTATTTTAACAAAACAACACGGCGTTGTTTCACCCATGCGGGTGAAATGGCATTAATTGAGAAAGTGATTCGTTTGATCAATTTAAAATTGAATGTGAATGTAGAATATATATGTGACATATTTCACATAGTTTTTTTTTTTGTTTAATTTTCGGATAATTGTGATTTATTTGCTGCAACCTATTAACAAGTAAATTCCAAGAAAAATTCCTTATAATTGGATTTTGAAAAATTAATATTCCAACAAATCATTTAAATTTGAAGAAAGCAGCAACATCTCTGTAAATGAAATATTTCTTTGAGAAATAGTTAAAAATCTAATTCATATTCTAAATATATTTATAATGGAAGTGGAACTGAATGCATTGCGCTCTATACTGTGCATGTTCACCACATTGCACGGTGGCCCAAGCATTTTTGGTTCTGATTTTTTTCTTTCTTTTTTTTACTATGTGCTGTTGAAAACTGATGATTAAAAAAATATGTATTATCCTTTGTACAATGATATTGTACTGTTGTATTGCATATGCTGTCATCGTCTTCATGACGAATTATTTGTATATCAACGACATTCTTGATAGAAACAATCAAACGTTCGGTTTGATTTTATTTTCTCTGGACAGGTCACGTCATTTTATAAGGCGCATCTCTTTGGCTTATCCAAAATGAGATTCATTTCTGCACATATACATTTATAGATTTAACAGAGTTGACAATTTTAAGGATATTAATGTTATGAAATTATATTTTAAAACACACACACACAGAGTTATACAATTTAAAACTAATAAGCACATGAATATATTTGTTACATTGTGAAATTAAACAAATAAATGAACAAAAAATGGCAATACAAAAAAAAAATACTCTAACTGCATTTCTTTCTTTTTCCGTTTGCTGGATAGCCTCTTAACTATGGATAAGGCCGAAAACATTTTTTTCATTCAAATAAGTTTAATTTCAAAAGCAATTTAAAAAAAGGTAAAATATTAAATGGAAAGTTTAATTGAAAAGTTTTGTTTTGTCAGCACTCACCAATTTTGTGGAACCAATTTTCATACCGGCGAGGAAAGAAAAATTCAAATTTACATGAGGAAAATCATCATTGCATTCCAATTTTGGCGGTACAACCCTAACCGGTGATAAAAAGAGAGAAAGAAACAAGAAAAAACTCCTTAAACTAGTTGTCGGTCATCCTTATTTATACACATTATTTTACGGAGTAAAAATGTTCACAATAGCACCGTATTCATTCACAATAGTATTGAATTTGTTCATTTGGTTGGTACACAAAAAAGCTTTGCCCAAGTTGTCTTGTTTGCAAATCGGAATAGAACGCATTCATTCCGAAATGTCATCGGTGCAACAACATTTTTATCGATTCATTAGTGTTCTGACATAGACCAAAAACCAATTACACCAAACATTAGTTTTCATGCTGGTGTTTCCCTCTAACATTCTATTCATCTTTTAATTGATCCAAATATCTAGCATAATGTTAAATAAATTTGTAATTCTTAGTTTAGCAATAAGTACCATACAAGCTGTAAGTATATTAAATGTAAACAAAATATATAATTTTCACAAAAAAAGTCATTGATTTTCACGAAAGTTGGTATGTTCGGTTAACTAATGTGTTTATTTCTTTTAATTATTTACAGACAATTTTGGACTTTGATAGTTGGCTGAATATTGATTTATATCATGCCATCGATAAAAATAATCCACATTTGTTTACACCCAGAGGAAATGTGTCAATTACCAGCATAAATTCGGGGTCATTTCAACTCACGCAACAACATTTAAGCTCAAGCGAACGAAATCTGTTCAAGGAATTGGCCGAAGAGAATAAATTCTATCGAATGAAAGCAATCGTAACGCACAGCAATGGTGCCAAATCAACATTTCTCACATCATCCAAAGCGGTTTGTTTGACATTTTTCTCATCTTTCTCTTCATCATGGTTTTGAAATTTAATTCTATTCTTTTTGCAGTGTGCATTTGCTAATTCGCAATTGAACGATATTCTCTGGATTTCGGTTGATTATGCTGCAAATGTGTTGGGCATTCAGCATACCGTGTTAGGAAGTGGCGGTAATTGTAATGGTGACTCAACCATTGACAAAGATGCACTTGAGGAATTCAACACAGATGTTTTAGTTAAACGATCTGAACTTGGACAAGTGTAAGTATTATAGATTTAAGTCGCTGATAACACTATGGAATATCCCAATCAGTTTCTTTCATGAACGAATCGATTTTTTTTTTCTTTAACATTTAAGTAAATATTTTATTTTTCTATTCATTTACAGTCCCGATACGGCCAGTTTCATTCAAAAACTCGAACGTGAACGTGAGGCACGTGACCACGGTGAAGTGAAAGATCATCGTGGATTTTTCGCCAAATATTGGATGTATATTGTTCCAGTGGCGATACTTGTGCTTGTCTCTGGTGCAACCAGCCCAGAAGGTGCATCTGGTGGTGGCCGATAGAACCAATGAGAATGCAATTGTAATTTATACCTAGAAAAACACTTTGCATGTTTTTCCATCAATTTTGTGTGTGTATGAGTGAAAAAACGGCAAGAAAAAAAAACCACCTAAGACAAAAAGACGAGCAAAAAATGATTATGGTAGTCATATGAGTTCATTTTTTTGTTTTTTGTTTTGATGAATGAATAAAAACAAATTGATTAAAAAAAACTGATTGTATTTTTTTTCCTTCTTTTTAAATACATCATTTTTTATTGAATAAAAAATGCCATCAACAATAACTAAAGACAATGTTCATGCTTGGACTAAGCGCATTATTTTTTCTTCTTGTTGTTATCCTCGTCATCACTTTCGCTGTCGCTAGACGATGAGCTATCCTTGTCTTTACCCTTTTTGGCCTTTTTTTTAGGCAAATCTTCTGATTTTGCGGCAACTTCTTCTTCATCGGCTTCATTAACTGTGTCACTTTCAACTGTGTCACTTTTTTGGTCCGTTTCTTTTGCTTTTTCCGTCGCCATTAACAATTTTTTACGCGTATATTCCTCTTTCTTGGCTTTCTTTGCGGCTTTCTTTGCTTTTTTCTCTTCCAATTCTTTCCTTTCCATTAGAGCCTGGAACCGTGGATCTTTTTGATCGATTTTAAAACCAAACTCCTGACGAATATCTTCCAATACTTGTTCGCGCTTCTTTTTCGCTTCAATTGCTGCTTTCTCTTTTTGAGCAACACGTTGCTTCAATTCAACCATCCATTTATCCAATTTGGTGAGATTTTGTGCGATTTTATCTTCACGTTCACGTCTTTTTGCCATTTTGTCGGCCTTTGCTTTTTTATTTGCTGCAATAATTTCCTGAATTGTATATGGATAAGCGACCCGTTCGTATTCAGCTTTATCGGCAGCTTCTTCTGGCGAATAAAAGCATAGACGTGGATCAACGCCGCTTTTTGAACCAAAACGACCAAATTGTTTTCGACTATAGTCCAATGTTTTATCCCATTTTTGTTCACCTAACGATGGCATATTGAATACAATATTTCGATGTGTTGTATTCAAACGAGATTTATTTCTCATGAGCTCTATTTGCTGTTCACGTTCGGTTAAATCCACATCGTCTTGTAAAACATCTGATACACTCAATTTACCATCGTTGTCTTCGTCGTAGACTTCATCGTCCTTTGGTTCGACACTTTTTGAGTAATTGGCCACACTCAAACGATTTGGTTGAAATCGCATTGCATGACGAAGCAACGTTCGCAATTCACATATATAATTCATTTTACTTAATTTTCTTGATTCATCAAATTTATGAAAAACAAAAATAAAATAAATATTGGAATTTATACGGTTGTAGGCATGAGCTTTGCACCTAACCTCAATCTTTGTTTGACTCGAAATATGTCATAATAGAAAGAATGATAACTACCACGAAATGGAAACGTTTAATGATTGTGATTGCATGCTCAATGATTCAGTCGTTCACAAAATTTGCCATTTGAATTTCGAGCGATTTTTATTTAAATACTCTGATTGAGAAGTTTATTTATTGCAAACATGTAAAACACTTTTTCATTCAATTTTGAGAAAAAGAGAGTTGAAAAAAAATTAATGTTAAAAATATCGGCAAAGTAAAGTATTTTAGTTAGAAAATTTAATGTTTCATCAAATATTTCCATTTTCTGAATAAAAATAACGATAAAATAAAAAAATTTTTTAAATTCATTCGTTTTTATTGGAAAAAATTTGAAAGAAAAAATCGTTACACTTATGTTACAATTTTAAACTTCACATTTTGAATTACAACAACTTCCGCCTTGTATCTTTTCAAAAACAATTTCTTCGAATTTCTTTGTTTCGGAATCAATGGCTCTATAGTTTTTTAAAATCAATTCATTACCGAAATCGAGATGATCTCCATCTCTACCCGACACCGGTCATGTGATATTCAGCAATGGATCGTTTTCACCATCTGGAAGAAATTTGCATATAGACGTACGAGTTGAATTGTCTTGAGTGCAGATGGATGATCTTTTAATGGCAGATCATTTTGAATGTAAAGTGGTATTTTAAATATCAATTCCGAGTCACCATGTGCAGTTCCTAAGTATTGGAGTTTTAATTAGCTGTATATGATTATCGTGTTTGAATCTCTCTCACCATTCAATACTGTCACATTTAGGTCTACTTGATGGCGTGAATATTCTTTTGCATCAAAAGAATTGCGCAAGTAATAAAATTCGGGAGTCCCTGTTTGTGTCATAATTTTTTGTTTCAAGTCAGTTGCAGCAAAATAATTGACTTTCAAAAGAACCTTAAAATGAAAAAAACATTGATTGATTTTATGCACATTGTAAATCTATAAGACAATAAGAGTTATTTACATCAATGAGTTGCTTAAACTTCTCTATGGAGCTGTAATGATCTGCATTTGTTTCGTTTTTGATGTTTTCGAGAATGATTGATGAAAAGGCTCATAACTTTTAACATCCCGAGTGAAAAATGGCATTGAATTTTTCAATGCGTAGTGTCAAACGGCATTTAAGCAATAAATCGAGACCGCATGGTCCGTGCGCACGTTGAGTGCATACACCACATCGCTATAGCCATGCGGTGTCGATTTATTGCTTAAATGCCGTTTGACACTACGCATTGAAAAATTCAATGCCATTTTTCACTCGGGATAGTCATATGTCTCACGTTTTAAAGCATTAAATGACTGCACACCTATGACCGAAGTAAATATTTTGTTATTACTTTCTTATAAAGTTACTTAATTGTTGATTATTATTTTTTTGTAAATTTAACATGTTCAACAAGATTAACTTAACTTCGTCAGCAGCTATTTCACCAATACATACTATAATTGCCAGATAAAAACTTATCGATGTAACACTCAGTTAAAAATTTAGTATCGTTTTTAGAAATGGTAGCGTTTCCCAGTGACGGTCTGAAAGGACGCCACTGATACGAAAAATAAATAAATAAAAACTCATGCATACAGTCTAGGGGACCTTCACAAGTAGATCATTTCCCCCAGCACCCAGTGACTTTTCCATATAATTACTTGAGGAAGTAGATTGCTTTTCAAAACGATTTCGCTGGCGTCAGCTTTCTGTAAGATCGAAATGATATCTTCCACATTGCTTGTGCTTTGATTGTTATTCAACAAAGCACCAAGTTCAAAAGCATTTTCTTTGGCCTCTTTAGGTGTTGAGAAACCCCATGAAAATAGAATCAATCCACCATCTGCTATAGATCGATGGAAAAGTCCTTTCGATAAATCAGATACGATGTGAAGATCAACACACATGCTGCCAGAACTCAGTCCGTAAATCATTACTCGGTCCGGATCTCCTCCAAAGTTTTTAATGTTTTTATTGACCCATTGCATTGCCAGCACTTGATCCTTCAATCCAGCATTACCCAAAACATCCGGATGATCGAGACGCAAAAAACCCAATTTGGATTTGCAATGATTTTTAATGTTGTTTCATGAAAATACCTAATGGTCCTAGGCGATAATTTATTGACACAAACACTATATCTTCTTCAATAAAAAAATCAGGACCATGCCAGAAAGTTCCACCCATTAAAAACTGTCCACCATGTATACTAAATATGACTGCTTTCAAATTCTTGCCATCAATCTGATACGATTTAATTGAACGATAATAATTGACAGTGAGATTTTCATGACCTAAGAAACTTTATTAATTTAACTAACCGCAGGAGTGAATACATTGAGAAAGAGACAATCTTCTGAACCAATTACATCGCTATCACCGAATTGAAAGCATGGTGAACCTTCTTCAACTGTCTGCTTAATATCAGTCCATGGCTCTGCTTCGATAGGTGGCTTTTATATTAGAAAACCGAGAAATTACATATATTCGTTTTATCGAAATTAATTATTAAATTGATGTACCTTGAACCTTAGACTGCCGACCGGTGGAGATGCGTACGGTATACCTCTGAACGAATAATATCTTTGACCATTGCTAATCGTTTTCAAAATTTCACCCTGAACTGGGCCCTTATTTGTCTGAACAATTGGTGTGTGCAATCGTTTTTCATTGCATTCGATTGCTGCAATGCAAATGACTAAAATCCAAAGCGCTATCATATTCACTTTTTTCTATAAGATATATTGTTACTGTGTCGAATCTAAAAAGTCAATTTGGAAATTTTTCATTTGTTTCGCTTTTTATGTCACCTTTATCAGCACAAGCAATCGTCATATTATCACCTCATCTATTTGTACAGATTCATGGCAATATCTTCTTTATCAGTAGCTACACGTTTAAGTGTTTTCACTTTCGTTATATTGCCACATGTTTGAACAGATTTATTGTATATCAGTTGATATCGAAAGCAAATCACACATTTTTAGAGGTAAACGTCTTTTGAATCGTGACACTTCTGTTATCGTGATTTGAACTAATTAAAATTTAAAAAAATGATATAAACCTAGTCCATAGATAAGGATTATCACGTTTCTTATGAGAAATATATTCATTTAAAAAAAAATGTAATTTGTGACAATTGAACAGAATACATATTTTTACTTCATTTTAAAATTTCAAATGGACTTCTTAAATGTTCGTCGTCTTTTAAACAATTCCAATACAAAAAGAATTTTTATCCAAATTCGCCGTCATTGTGAATCGAACTAGTTATTGTGCTGTGATGAACGATTTCGTTCATCTGCCTAATATATCATGCATCATTAAAATATTTGCATGTCAGCCAATGAGCAAATGGAGCGAAGAGTACAAGCCGTAAATGATTGTTGTCGAAGAAAAATGGTTTTGGCGCAAAACAGCAATGAAAAATTGATAGAGATTCAATTACATATTAAGTTATTTATTGTTGACCATTTATTTTAATCTATTGTTATGTTGGTTCTCGCTTCGTATCGTAGATTGACTGTTGTGCGTTGTGCTTCGATCGCATATTGTATACCCATACAACGTGCGGAAGAGGAGTGATTGGAGTGGCACGGAATAATCGATAATTTTATACTCTCGATGGTATTTTTTTTTTCTTGGTTCACATTGCTGTCGGTATTGACCTTTAACACTTTACTTTAAATTAAGAAAACAACGAGCATACAGATGAAAACGAACAAAAAAAGGTCTTGTATAACAGCTTAACTTGCATAGAAATACAGTTTTTCACGTTGGTACACTTAATCGCTGAAATCAAATGCTGATAATTATTTTTTTTTTCTGTACGTTTCCGTTAGGCATGTTATGTGTATGTTTAGATGTCGGTGAAAGAGAAAAAAAAATCACTAGCATCGGCCGATTGGTGTCTCTATAAATGGTGTATTTGGTGCGAGAGAATGAAATTGGTCATCTCTAGACGCGCGTGCAAAACAACAAAAGCAAACGTAATTTGCTCATAGAGTGAATTGTGCGCACTTTATGTTCAATTAACGTGATATCTTGTATTCAGTCGCGCGGCCCTGCACACATTCTATGCTTATGAGCATCGATTTATAAGTTTTTAAGCAATTTGTTGTTTTCTGGTTCGTTTCTTTAATCATCTCATTTTCGCGCTATAATTTTTTCCATATCGTTCTCCCACCCTCTCTATCTCTCGTATTTGTCTACGTTCTCTCTCTCTCTCTTTCTTTGTTCGACTTCGATTAAATCCTTGCTTAACACTGTATAAACAAAAAAAGCCAATATGGTTACATGCTTACGTGTTATGGCCATAAAACGGTTCTCACTATCGAAAATCTATAATATTATATTTAATGTGTTCCATTATTTTGTTTGACGTTGATATTCTCTATTTTGTGTGTATGCATCCGTTAAGCTACAGTGGACACGAACCACAGAGGAAAAAAAATCATGCTTGAGAGATTGTTCTTCTTCTCTAGTTTGAATCTTTGCTATTTGGCTCTCGCACTTATAATCTAAACCAATGTGCGCGCGATCCGGCACACCATTGCAGCTCATTTAGATCCGTTCAAATTTTAACATGGTTATGGATATAAAGATGTTAATCTCATGCAACATATATTTTACTCTCAATAAATTAGTGTTGTTTTTAAAAATCCATATATCATGCATATAATTGTTGGGTATTTTATGGTATTTATTTTATTGAGAGAAAAATTTAATTCGACTGATTAGGCTTGACCACCGCACAATACAAAACGACTCTCATCTTTCGCGAGAATGAAAAGAAGAAACAAATCTGAAAAGATAGAGAGAATGAGAGGGAAACAACAACATCAACAACCACGGATAAAAGCATAAAAAACCAATAAAAATTGTATAAAAGCAACGGAAAAAAATCGATCGAAATTGTGCACAGCGTAAACGTTACATTTTTGCGGATGTTGTAATGTGCGAAATACGCGGCTGATCTAATAGAGTGCATGCAAAGAATAAGTTTGGGAGCATTTGAGCCGTGCCCACAAGAAAAAAAAGAATCACAACCAAACAGACGGTAATTTGGTATGTTAGTGAACAAGGGAAAAAATGAACACGATAAATGCGAACAAATCGAAAAATTGTGTGGACAGCGTGCACGCTCACACCAAGCGAATGAAAGAAAAAAAGTACACACGAAACCAAAACTCGAATGAAGACGGTCTAATATCAGATGGAAGCATGAAACGAAAGAAAGCGAGATGAAGACAACAATCGTTTAGTAAGTAAAAAAAAAGAAGAGCGAACCATTTTCAAATGCACCGTTTCTCTGTCCGTTCGTATTTTTTCTCCCTTTCTCATTTTCGACAAAAATTATCAGCAACTTTGCACTCGCTACGACTTTCGTATGTGCTCGCATATTTATTTCTAACAATAAGTGGCAACTATTATGAGCAGCGAAGCTTTGTTTTCTCGCGCTTTGTTTTTTCGCAACTCAAGTCTGAGTGTTCATATGTACACACTCACTGCACTACGGTCATATCGGTCGGATATTGAAAATTCTCTCTCTCTCTCTCTCTCTCTCTCTCTCTCTCTCTCTCTCTCTCTCTTTTACGATGTAATACAGATGTATCGCACGAACAAGCGAGCGTTGTGAAATATTTTTTTTGTGAGGCCAATTTCTCGCGCGCCACTTTAAATCATTGCGACCACTTTGTAATTCGCAGGTTTCTTTTTCGTTTATTTATTATTTTTTGACATAATTTTTGCTCCCACACTCTCTATTTTAACTCACATTTCTCTCTCAGCTGCCTGCATAATCGATTGTCGCCGTTATTTCTACTCTGAACGATGTTGTTGTGCAAAAGAGACTTGAATTGGATCAAAGTTATAATAAAAACGAATTGAAAATGCAACAGAATTGATAATCATAATAGCGTAATGACGATTAAACTTTTGTTATTTGCTGTTGGCACGCAATGTATAGACAGATTCAATGGACTTATGTGGCGAAGCCACATCGCCGACTAAATCAAAAGCTAAAAGACCTAAGCAATGCAACTGATGAGACCAAATATTGAAAGAGAGAAAAAAACGATTCCATATTTCATTTTTTTTACTGATTTCTTTGCGTTCAAATGAATACAACCTCCTGATTTTGCAAAGGATCATCTTAAATTGCTCATTTTCTGTCAATCGTTGAAACACATTACATTATTTATGGCAATTTTGTTCGGACCACACTTTTTCGAATTGAAGCGCGGGGAACAAGATTATTTCCTTTGTGCCCGTGCACATCGTTATCTCTGTGAGAAAGTTTTTGATTCAATTGAACCTCTTTTTCGAAATGCAAATAGCATGGCAAACGTATTTCGTGACCACATTATTTCTTTTACTCAATGAAAATCGGAGAGTGGAGCCACCATTTTTGGAAATTTATTTTCTTTTACAAATGTTATAATGAATACAACTTTTCATATATTTCAATTCGAGATAGAAAACACTATTTGAAAATTTCGTTAAAAATTATTACATTTCATACGTTCCTATTGAATTAACCACACTGCAATTATGTTCCATAAGAGACTGTATAAAATGCCAATCTATATATAGCAAAGCTAGCGCCATTACGTACAACTATGGAGTTCTAGTCATTTGTTTGTAACTGAGCAAAAGTCTTTTCACTAGTTGGCGGCAACTTAGTATAGATTACATTGAATTCCGTAATGGCGCTAGCTGTGTGGCACTTTATAGCATAATTTCGGTACGGAATTAACCAAACTCCATTTATATGAATAAAAAAAGTGCAATTTTCATTGAGGTACATTGCTTTCCATTGGTTTTTTTTTGTCAATGATATACATTTTTTCGCCCTTTAATTAAAAAAAACTCGAACATGAGCGATATTCAAATACGGTAAAAAATCTGTCCAAATCGATAATATTTCCTGCAACAGTTGAAAAAAAATCTCTACTAATGGAATTTTCTCCGATATAGGCGAATCGCACTTCATCGAATTACTGTATCAATTTATTCAAAGATCGATTCGTTGAAATTCTATACAATTCATCACCGTTCACTTTTGCAGCGACATTATTCATTTGTTTAAACGATTCGCATGGAATCAGCATCATATCGAACGATTCATCTTCGTAAAATGTGAAATATTTAATTTCGATGTGTCAGAAAATAAGGTGTTGTGTAAACGCATATAATTAAATGTTGCACCAGTTACACTCAATATATCAAATTCTCCAGAAAAGTATTCAATTTCACATTTATTTTGCGTAAAATAACCCCCTTTTCTGAAGCACAAATTGGGGTATGCAAAGAATTTCTCTCCGGAGAATCATCTCTTTTGGCATAATATTGATAAAACAAACCATTTAAAATAATTAATGTCTTTTCGAAGCATCGTCACTTTTGGATTCAAGACAGCAACAATAAGGGGCGAAATTTTATGCGTTAAAGACCTGATTTAGAATTGAAAAAACAAATGAAGAGATATGGTATTGATTTTACATATACAAGACTAGTTTACTGAGTTCGATATATACATTAATTATGCAACATTATTTTGCCGAATTCCCTAGGGCGAATTGGAAGAAAATGTGATGTGTGTCACGTGTTTCCATTCACATTGAATTTGCGTTGATTTCAAACTCAAGTTATGTATAATGGTATTGAGCAAAAGAAGAAATGAACAAGAATGCTTGAAGAAAGTTGGAGAAGCTTCAGTTCGAGTAAGTTTCTGAAGAAAAAATGATATTTGTGTTGAGATGGTTTAACGTACACAAAATTAGACAGTTTTTTTTTTTGTATTATGGACAGCAAATTTAAGTTTTGCAAAGGATACAGTAAAAAGATGAAGAGATGTTATGAAAATTCAAATGAAAATCTTTTGTATTAAATATTCTAAATTTTGCAAGTTGAATTACAACAAATTCCATCTTGTAGCTTATCGTAAAGAATTTCTTCGAATTTTTTTGTTTCAAAATCACCAGGACTGTATGGTTTTACTATCAATTCGTCACCAAAATCAAGATGAGCTCCATTTTTACCTGAAGCCGGCCACGTGATACGCAATAATGGATCATTCTCACCATCCGGAGTTGGGTTGCTAAAATCGGACAATGGTTATTCAAATGAATCTTTGAAAATTTAGACAGAAACAAAATTAGTAAAATTCCTTTTTACCCATATTTTACGAAATTTGTGTAAAGTCGTAAAAGTTGATTTCTCTTAAGTGCGACTGGGTGATCTTTCAACGGCTGTTTATAATTGCGAAGAAACATCACCTTGGAATCTGTATGCGAAGCTCCTAAATATTGATGTTTATATTAATTGTTAACAGTCTATCATATTTATTCTGAATTTCTCACCATCCAATACTGTTATATTATATGTGCGATGATTCGAATATTCTTTCGCATCAAAAGCATATCGAAGGTAGTAATATGATTGCGTTCCAGTTTGTGTCATAATTTTTTGTTTCAAATCGTGGCCAGCCACATAGTTAATATTAGTAAGAACCTGAAATGGAAAAAATATTTAAGTTTATATCTCTTATATAAAAGAGTATAAAGAGGGCCATTTACATCGATGAGTCGTTTCAAACTATCTTTGGAGCTGTAATTATCTGCAGTAGTTTGGTTCCTGATGTTTACGCGAATGATTGATGAGAAAGGCTCATAATTTTTAACATAGTCATATGTTTCACGTTTTAAAGCATTAAATAACTGCGCACCTGTGGCCGAAGTAAATATTTTGTTGATAAAGTAACTTATTTTTTATTATTATTAACTTACTTAGAAGATGGTATAAATTTTCATCAGCAGCAAATTCCGCAATGTGAGGCAGCTTACTATAATTTCCAGTCAAAAACTTATCGATGAAACAGTCACTCAAAAATTTACTCTCATTTTTGGCAATATTGGGGTTTTCCACCGAAGGTTTGAAAGGGCGCAACTGATACGAAAACAAAAACGTTTGAAAAACTTATGTCACTATGACTATTACACGTAAATACCTGAGGAAATGAGTTGGCTTTCAGGACTATGTCAGTGGCGTCAGCTTTCTGTAAGATTGAGACGAGATCGTCTACATTGCTTAAACTTTGATTGTTGTTTAACAAAGAACCAAGTTTAAAAGCACGTTCTCTAGCCTCTTCAGGTGTTGACATACCCCAGGAAGATAGAATCGAACCACTCACTGCGATTGATCGATGGAAAAGTCCTTTCGATAAATCAGATACGATGTGAAGATCAACACAAATGCTTCCAGAACTATGTCCGATAATCGTTACTCGTTCAGGATCTCCTCCGAAATTTTTAATATTATTTTTGACCCATTGCATTGCCAGCACTTGATCTTTCAATCCAGCATTGCCCAAAATATCCGAATGATCCAGCCTTAAATAACCTAATTGATATTTTTCGATGAAATTCATGAAGTTAAGATATCCAAAAAATGCAATTACAACTAATTACCTAATGCTCCTACACGAAAGTTCATTGCCACAAATACTACATCTTCTTCAATAAAAAAGTCAGGAGCAAACAATGAGGCGGATCCATATTTATGTTGTCCACCGTGTATAATAATCATAACTGATTTCAGATTATTAACATCTATCTGCGGAACGATTTTTACATTTCATTTGTTCACCAAAAAAGAAGATCATAAATATCTTAAAGTTCAAAAGATTATGTAAGTTTCATGATTGTGTATGTTACCTCGGGAGTGAATACATTGAGGAAAAGACAATCTTCTGAACCAAATAGAAGATTGTTATAGACTTGGACGCATTGTGAACCATCATTGATTGTCTGTTTTATACCAGTCCATGGTTTTGCTTCGATAGGAGGCTTTTATACAAGAATATGGCCAAATATTTTTCAAATGAGAACTTCAAGTGGCTTCAAATCACCAAACCGACTTATTTACTGATTTTTGATTAAAATTTCAAGTATTTTTCGGAATTACTTCATTTTGTAGACTTTTTTAAAATTTACCTTGAATCTCAGACTGCCGACAGGAGGAGTTGCGTAAGGTATTCCTCTGAATGAATAATACGGTTGATGATTAAGAATGGTTTTCAAAATGTCACCTTGAACTTGACCTTTATCTGTTTGAACAATTGGTACCGAAAATCGTTTGTATTCAATTGCAACAATACAAGCCAATAAAATAACTAACGTAACACAAACGCAAAAAATCCAAATCAAACTTTTCTTTGATTTTAAACTCATTTTATCGAATATAAAAAAGATGTGTCAGTTTTGTGTGTTTTTGCCTTTAATTTTTGCTTCAAATTAATTATCACAAGCAGTCTTTATCACATGATCATTTGAACATGTTTGTTGAAATATCTTTTTGCAATTCAGTTTTATACATCAATTGATGGCAAAATAAAATCACACGGGCATACTAAAGGCGCTAGCGTGGCATTGCACCATCGTGATAAAAGGTATTGAAAATTCAAATGTATGTGAAAAGAGACATACATCGTCACCGTTCACAGTATGAACAAAACACTGTCAAAATGAAGCCAGATAAGAATTGTTATCATACATTAAAACGATATCTTTTCTCAAACATCGTAATAATTATATCCAATATATCATGTATACTTAAATATATTCACGTCTTCACAGTGATGAATTGAGGATGATTTTTTTTTAAGTTCAAAAGTTCTGAAAAATTTGGTACCCCAGATAATATGAAGCAGATAAAAAATAAACTCAATATTCACTATCTAAATACTGTATTTCTTTTATTAATTATTTACCCCAAGAGACATGACAAAAAAAAACTATAAATTTTTAGGTGAAACTAAACACACATGGATGGTTATATAAAATAGAAGAAATCCTAGAAAAACCATGTCTATCGGGCGAATTCACTTCATATTATGCTGGATTGAATAAAAGCTATTAGTAAATTACAAAGTCTGGACGATCGACTCGAATGGCGCGTTTCGCAACATTAAAGTATGCTTCGTATTCGACTGTATCTGGTGTTGTATCAAAATGGTAGTGAGCACCCCAATTATCGCCAGAGAAAACATGGAAATGTTCCTGATGTAAATTCATACCCAAATCACCTGTGATAAAACGTCCGACAGCAACTACAGGATCTGCCATTGCTTCATAAATACGATATATTTCTGTATCTTCTGGCGAGTAAACTCTGCTAGTCTGATTGCCAATTAGGTGATAAATTGCACTTCCATGTTTTACATGAAAAACTCCACCAAGAGCTTTTGAAATAAAATCGAAAGTAATATTTGATTTGTGATTTGTACGAAAAATAAAAAGGGCATAAATAAAGATACTTACCGACTGTGTGATTGCCAAATGCATCGATAATCGCTTTTCGACAGACCTCGACGAAACTTGGTTCAATTCCTATACGTTTTTTAACTTTGATTTGAATCACCTAAAAATAATTACAACAATGTGAGAGGAATGTGTTTAAATCGCAATGAATTGACAAACCTCTCCTCTGAGACCCTCTGATGCATAAAGATCCGCCAAAAGTGAAAATTTCGTTTGAGTCGATGGAATTTGCTTAATTCCGAATGATTTATCACTGGGTTTAAGATACGACATGTAAGACTTGCTTAGAAATGGTCCATCTTTAATAACTTTTGAATTGAAAATTCCCTGAAGCAAAAAAAAAAATCCAATAATCAGATATAATAAGAGTTTGGTCGAACTACTCATTCGTTCAGTTGCTTCGAATAAAATACACTTAGCGATTCATTCACCTGGCTGGTTGAGTTTAGCTCCTCATAAGGTCCAACTCCTGCACCTATGAAAAAAACACTTTTGGCTTCTGGTAACACTGATTGTGCAAGTTGAACAAAATCGTATGTTTGCCTATAATTTGGCATTCTATACTCGTACGGATCTCCTCCAACGTCTAATAGAATTTGTGACCCAGACAATCCGCTTGAAGCCAAATTGAATGGAGGCTGTGTTAAATCTGGGCAGTACATAACGTTGACTGATACATTGGCATAGTTTCGTTTCAATCCTACCATCAATGCTGTCGAACATTAATTGATTGTGTTAAATATTTAAACGAAAAAAACCCACTAAATTTGATCGTATTCACCTCTAGCCAATAGTTTTAGGTGTGGTACATAAAGCGGTCGCTCCTCAATTCTTAGCTCATTTATAGTAATCACAGTATCTTTTTCACTGGTAAAATTACCTAGTGAAAAAAATAGCTAGAAATTTAAAAATGGTTACCGACGAGTATTTAAAATAATTTCATACTATAATCAATTACCACCAATGCAAGAATTGCAAGGATACACGAAAAACCACAAGTCACTTGACAAAAAGTGTTGTTCAGTAACATTTTTGTTTACTTTTTTTGTGCTCAAAAACAAGAAATCTTCCAAACCGGCACCTAAAACTACGAATTCCCACCCAATGAAATTTCGACAATTTTTCAGCATCTTTTTTTTCCATAATGTTAACATGAAGGAAAACAATAAATGATTACAGGAGAACAACACAATCAAAGTTTTCTAGACTCTAGATAATAGTTTAATTGGCGCCGGATTAAGGAAACTTCAATCGTTGGATCATTTTTTTATTGATGAATTTAACTCATTACATGTGCGCTGATATTATCAAAAGGCGAACGGCCGCTCAAAACGAAATCTGTTCACTTTCGTTTCAAATATAAAAATAACAATACTCACATTCAGTGTATATTTTTTGGATGGATAATTATCATTTTTATTAGATCATTTTATTAATTGACGCGTTTTATATGTCAATAATTTTTAGATAAATATCATTATTGTATAAACAACAAGAAGTCGCAAATATGTTATCGAAGATCTATATTATCGTTTTTATTGTCGAAATGACAAGCATGAAAAAAGCATATTGTAAATAAATAAAGGAATGCCTTCCCCATAAGGGGATTGTCACAAAGAACGTACTAGAATTATATAATTCGGAATAGGTCGTAATAGGTTGAAATAGTTTTGAATAAGCGGCAACGTACATGTCAACAAATACACTGTACTGTTCACAGAAACATTAGGTTTTTAATTCAGTCGTCGGCACCGGAACATTTCAATATTTCTGTGAATATATTTTTTTCTATAATTTAAATAAATATATTAAACACTTACAACAAAAAGTTGAAACGGACTTACTTTGCTAGCTCGCTAATTTTTATAAAGTTGTCGTTGCCCAGAAAACAAATGAATGAAAAAACACACGCGGTTGTTCTTTTTTTCTTTAAATGATTGGGATCCGGGTTTTAATTAAATTCCATCAAAATGTAGAACAATTGTACTTACAAACTAAAGCCTAGCTTCTATTCGGCCGACCTCACCTTCAAACTTAATGCACTAGAATATCTTCGATGGAGCTCATTTGTTCTTATTGGCCGATAATATTCATGCAATTCGTTTTCCGCTCCAAATCTTTGGTTATGCCTCGATGTTTCACATGGTCGACTTCACGCCGATGATGGAAGAAAATCGTCGGATAAATGTATTTCGCTTCTTTCGATCAGCGAAAATACATAAGCAATCTCCCACTAATTAAATGACTTAGTTTTGCGGTAAATCGATTGCGTTATCGAAAAAGCTTACACGGTAGACGGCCTCGTGTAAAACATTTGTTCGGTACGAACAAATGCGCACCAACTCTCTAATAGGTCATACTTGGGCGACGGTCCGACGAAGAAGCCGTCTCTCTTCTTTTTTTTCTGCGTTGACAGTTTTCTTTCCCGTGTAGAACGGTTGTGACGTTGGTCACAAATGGCGTGGCGAGTTTGTCGACTGGAATGTTTGATAATTATCGCTATCTAGACTGACCTTAATTCTAATAGACAATTGTGTTTACATTTCGCGCAGCGTCATTTCGCAAGCAAAAGTATCAGTTATCATTTGACTGAATAAAATCCCATAACAAAGTATATTCACAAAAATATTGAAATGTTTCTGACTGAATTGAAAACTCAATGTTTCTGTCACCATATCGGCGTATTTGTTGACATTTATATTATCACTATAATTCCAAACTATTCCAACCTATTTCGACCTATTCCGAATGACATAATTCTAGTACGTTCTTTGTGATATTCCCCTTGCTTACCCCTTGTTCCATGGCCGTCTGATATTTTTTTGAGTATTTTCAGTGTTCCATTCTGGCCACAAATCTGAGACAATTCATTTTTTAAAATGTTCATAAAACGGACACTGTTCGAGTTCACATTAGCTACGATTAGTAATTTGGTGAAAGCAAACGACAAAACCAACGAATAGAAAACAGAAAAAGTGTAGTAAGAGATATTGTAGCATGATGTAGGCGATCGTAAACAATAATACGATCGAAAAATCAATGGCTGTAGAGTAAAAAAATTAAAAGCAACAAAGTATCGAAAGCAAATCGAATTGCATAACCAAGATAAATGAACGTTCGCCATAGACCGTCCAGTTTATTCTTAGAAATATCCCAAGAGAAACTAAGAGAGCAGAGATTTTGTGCATTTCTTGGAAGTTTTTTTTTAGATTCAAGCAACCACTATGAGTCCCAAAACCAAATACTTTTTCTTCGTTGAAAATTTCGATTTGGTCAACATTCGATTTGGTTTACTTCTAGGGGATTTCCACTATTCGCGAACGGCACTTTATTCACAAAATATAAACTTTTCCTATTCATACGTAAAATATACGAAATAAAGTATATTCATTCGCATCAACATCTATGAAAATTCGTATATTTCATTCGAAGCCATTCGCAAATGCCGAATACTGTTTGCGAGATGCGACGTATTGCCGTGATTTGTGCATAAACATTCCTGTGTTTAGTTTGTCAGCGTGATCATTTGCTTCCATTCGCAAAATATGTATGAAACATTCGCTCGCAAATGTAACATTTGTATAAGTCGGAACGCCCTAGGTTTACTTGTTGAATTTTTTTTTTGCTGCACATTAGAAAATTGGATTGTTAATCCGATATTTTTGTTATCAGTTTTAATCGCATAAAAAAAAGATAGCAAGACAAAATTATGTATTGAATAATGGTAGCTTTGGCGTCAATGATGTAGATATCAAATTAACGTATTTGATTTATTTGTAATGATGCGAACATAAACATTTTTTTTTATACGTCAAAGCTGAGCTTGACAATTTGAGCCATATATTTATGAGTTTCACGCGATTTTTTTCTTTTATGGCTTTTTCTTTAATTATTTCATTGTTACGCTAGGTATATTTCGTATCTCTCGTATTTGCGTTCATTCTTCGTCTTTATTAAATGCTTGCTTAACATGGCATAAACAAAAAAACAAATGCGCTCTGCCGAATTCCTTAGGGAATTGAGAGAAAATATGATGTGTGTCACGTCTTTCCATTAACATTTGAGTTACGTAAAGCAAATATAGAATTTTACCGCATTTCTACGCTATAATATCAAATGTGTCAATAAATCAAAAATATAGCATTATTGAGTTGGGCAAAAGAAGAACTTGAAGAAACACTGTCTAAAATTCGAAATGATTGCCTCAGTTCGAGTGAGTTTCTAAAGAAAAATTGACTTTATGTTGAAGTAGCTTAACATTTAATATGTGTAATCCATCAAATGTAGACCGGCACATACCTGTCCACATTCTATATCATGTATAAACACACACGAGGATTATATTGTTATGCATAAAACCCTCGTCTAATTGTCATGGATTTTGACGATTCGTTATCATGTCGCCGTCATCGGTTATTGTGAGCAAAACTATTGAAACTATGATTAATTTGTTTGACTCGTTCGGTGGCACATAGTGCTTCGAAAGCCTCTTATACTCTAAATCTGACAATTATTCATGTATGTAAGAATGCATATCATCTTAAAACAAGAGGGACCATGCCAAAGAAATGTTGATCCGAATCGAATGAAAATACAGTCCATACGTGTTGTATATCATTGAATGTGCATTGGGGCGAAAGTTCCGTTCTAGTTGTTTCGACCCTTATGGCAAAACAAATTGTCCAAGAATGTGGTAACTGAATTCTTCATGGAGAGTTCTGTGCGTTTTTTTATTATTCTTTCGCACTCAGACGGATATATACATGTCTCCCAAACTTGACAATAATTTTTTTCATTTTATTGTAAGGGTGTTGGTTCGGTTGCCGCAACAAATGTGCTTTTCGACTTTGTCATTGAAATTGGAGATATTTTTGTGCATGAAATGAAGACACAAGTGTCAAAATTAGCAAAAGACATATCATATGCAAGACGCAAGTCCTTAAGGCACAAAATAAATCCGATCCGGTGTGCATTATATGTGATTGTGTATGGCATTTGTTGTGATAAAATGCGCCATGATACAATATCGAATTGGTATAATAAGTTGTCTCAACAAAATCGAATATTCTAAGGCTTACTCTAAATAAATATGCAAATCAAGCATCTTCATTTCGCCCGAAATGAGGATAAGAGAGTGGGTCAGATTGAATGAGCCGCACGATTTTAACTTTATGAATTCTTGACATTCAATCCAATATATTTAGAATGTGAGATATGAAGTTTTATGGAAACCAACTAAAATATAAATCTTTGCACAAAATTGTTATGGATTATTTCGATTGTGGATGGCATTCTTGTACCATTTGATAGTACGAGAGACAGAGAAGACAGAGAGAGAGATCCCTTTTGTGTTTTGTGGTTCTCACATAAATGTACAGATGTATGGATTTGTACACGCAGTTGTTATTAGAATAAAATTCATAGCTAAAATATCTGAGAAAATGATAACAAGACACCAAACCAAAACTAAATTTCAGAACTGTCAGAAGTATTTCGATGTCTTGGCATCTTTGATTTGGTTGTGTGTATGTTATTTTGGTATGAGGTGAATGTGCAACATTACTGATACACTTGAATTAATATTTTAAGATATATATTGATGTGCACTTGGATGCCCACATCTTGTGCTTGTTACTTTTCGGTTTCGATACCAAAAATATGAGACAGAGACATAAAAAGAGAATGATTGGAATTCGACAACATTGATGAAGAAATTGTTGTTGAGAATTATCTTAATTTTCTGACAATCATCGACCAGTGTTGAATGCAATGAATACATTCGGTGCATAGAAAATTCTTCAATGAAACTCATAGTCAATGTCTTATTTTTTTTGTTTGTTTATTATTCAAATAGCTCTGAATTATTCGGCCACTGAAGAATGTTTTTAATTGTTATTCGGTTATGTTTGTAATTGAAAGGATGCGCATCATATAAACCATATGCTTCATTCAAAAGGGTTCATGTTTGTTACATTGTTTGTAAATATTATCTGTTTATTGATTATGGTAGAAAACCATGGTATCACATTCAATATACATCTCACTCCCCTCGCATGTTCGTTTCATTTGGCTTGACCGTTTTACCGAACAGAAATCATATTTCATGCGTCACACGTTGACCACTCGACACACGACCGTCTCGAAAAAGGGGTGCATATTTCACATCCCTAATTTATTAATCGTGCACGCATTCGAAATGTTGATAAATGCCGTGTGCTTATGTGATATTAAACGTATTGTAACCGAATGACCAGTGTACGATGTCAACAAATTACCATACTGACATTTTCTTCGAAATTCGTTTCAATTTAATTTTGGTGTTTGTTGCGTTAAACAACAAAACGGTCATAAGTGATATTATCGTTGTGTGTACGTGTTCATGTGAGAATTTCCAAAGACATTCGACACAAGCCACATAAATTAATTAGGAACATCTCGGTGTAACGTTGACGTCGTTGAAAACGGCAAATGAATTGACTTTAGCATATTTTACAAACGATTCTCATTTCCTGAATTATTTTCAATTTAAGACGAACCGAATCGTCTTGACCGGAAATTATTCACATCCTTTTACAATTGTTTGCATACGAATTACACTCGGGCATATGATGTTTTGAGTTTGGGAAAAGTTTAAAGACCCATAATAAATCAGCACATCTTTCGGATCGATGACCGTTGCATGACACAGAAGAAGTGTATCGAAAATCGAATCTTAGCTTGGGGAAGGTACGTGTTGACATCAGAATTGAATTTTTAAGGAAAAACAACCTTATTGGTAGGTTTCTTATAAAATGTTCAACCATTTCGAAGAATGGCATGTAATAATGCCATTTGGATTTGAAAGCATATTTTTTTCACAAAAGTAACGACGAGTACAAAACGCATGTGTAATCTACATCGATGAAACTAGCTTGTTCTACTCTTATTCGTGGTGGCAGTTGGAAACATGCTTTCAATAAAAATTGATTGAATTATGTTCATTTACACCAAACATACAAGAAACATCAGAATAGTTTTGACTTCGAAAATAAATAGTTTATTCGTTTTTATTAACACAATTTTGGAAAAACTCAAATAAAAATAACAAAGACTCTTGTTTTCTCTTATAAAATAGTATATTTTGAATTACAACAGCTTCGAACTTCCAGTCTTTCAAAAAAAAACTTCTTCAAATTTCTTTAGTTCAGAATCGATGGTACATGATACTTCACTTCCAGTTCATCGTCAAAATCAATATGAGCTCCATTTTCACTCGAAACATG